GCCCATGATTGCAGAACTTCGTTCTCATCGTTGAGAAGAGCATGGAGGCATTGAAAGACCGCTTGCTGCGTCTCCATCTCTAGAGAACTCCATTGTCGGCCTATGAGGAATATGAGGGTTTGGAGAGCAAGCAAGCGAGACTCGAATTTGCCCAAATTGACTGCAGAAAGAAGAGACGATAGCGTATGTTCGACCTTCCTACGCTTTGGGGTGGACCCATTACGTCCTATTTCGACGTCGGAAGATCTGGTGAGGTAAAGCTACGAAACGCGTCAGGTTTGTAGCGATCAAGCCTTGCCAATGACTCACATACGTGCAGCAATCGCTGTATAGTTCCAAAGCAGCCCATGAGAATGTTTGGCTCACAGAAAAATGATATCCAGCCGAGAAGGATACACTCTCAAAAGGGACCAGATTCGTGCGACCCTGAATCCGACTTTTCAACCTCAAGCAACCCATATCCAGATACTCCAGCCTTTTACTCCCCGCTTCTCTCGGAAGCACTTCCCAGAGTATTTCAAGACTACTTCTGATTTCGGCGACATACTTGACCTCCATTGCAGGATGAGTCATATGAGGCAGAATTGTCCTGATTGCAATAACAACTTGATCCACCACGGATCGATCCTGAGACCTGACAGAATTCGACCATAATGTCACGAGTTGGGGGAGTATTTTGATGCTCGCCTTGGTGAATGTTTCACGATGATTGAGCTCCAGTTCAGTCAGGAGGATATTTAGAGCTCTGAGTAGATGAGGGTGGTATACAGTGACGTGGGGCTGAGCGACAAAGAAACGTCGCAGCTTGAGCAGCAGGCCTAGACCCACTCGTTGATTGGCTGACAGTATATCGCCTTGATTCAGAGAGGGGGGTATGATGGGGGCGGTACCACTAGACAGAAGGATGGGTACCAGCTTGACGAAGCTCTCATTGTTGTTTGAGACAGGTATTTGTTTCGTTAAGAGGCTGGGTCTTTTCCCACTTCTTTCTTCCTCTTCGACGATTTTGAGCTCCAACGTCACGCCGAGCGTATCGGGGTCGTCATCCGATTCACACTTGACTTCGTCTCCCAGGATGACAGCAAAGCTGATAGACATCAAAGACAGCCATGAGGCCCGATCTAGTACTTCCAGATGGGGAGGGTGTGAGAGGAGAGTGACTATAGCTTTTGAGTAGTCGATCAGAGCTGGCTCATATATCTTGCGAGACCACAGTAGCTGTTGCCGCATGGTACCAATAAGCGCTAGTAGGGAAAGCCTGCCAATGTGGTGGACAGATTGCTCTGCTACAAGCCGCACGATGCTGATCGCGTTGGATAGCCGCTGCTCTAAAAGGTTTCATGAGTATATACTCGTACAGCCAGCAGGTCACCACTCACTCTGAGCGGCAGTATCTTTTTTGGACATTAACACTTTCTCTGAATGGACGGCATTCATCACACAGGAGAAGAGACTGATCCAAGGCCTGGCACTGCTCTCTTGGGCCGCATCGGCGAAGCGCAAGATTGTATCCCTGTTGTGGAGTAGGTCTCTGAGCTGATCATGGCCTTGAGAGCGTTCTTTGAGTTTGTCAGATCTGTAAAGTTCCAGCGCCTCTTCCAGTCGTTTTAATATGCCCATGATCGTTCTTGTGGAAGAGATGGTGGTGTTGGTCGGGCACTGTATGTATGTCGGTGGCCTTTTGCCTTTTTATGGCCGTGGGATGTTCATGGGATGATTTGCCGTCTGAAGGTCGTGGGATGGCTGAGGGTTTCAGGTGGTGAGGTATGGACGGCTGATTGGCCAAATTCAGGTGGATATGTGGAATCCCATATGAATCGCAGCAATCGGTTGACTGGACGAGGAGCGCGTCGCGTCCGAGGTTTTGCTTCCGCTACCGTCACTGTACGAGTATGGCGTCGTCGGAGCGAGGGGCTTGTGTCGAGCCTAGTACGAGTACTTGTACTCTAGAGTACTGGGTTTTTGCAACGCATTACTTTTGAGATCTCTGGAGCTCGGACTGTCCGCTGCATTATATACGTGTAAGATTTTGTCGTGTCGTAGGTGAGGCGCTTCTGGTCACATATGGAGTAACTTTGAGGCAGATGATGATGGGACCGAAATGGCCTATTCGGCATGGGTATGAAATTCCGATAGCGTAGCAAGCTCGTACATGATACAACAGCCCAAATCACCTCAATCTATCAAATTCCAACAAACGACGAGAGTCTACCCAATACCGCCAGGACGACGACAGCCATCACCCAGCGCCAGCTAGGGAGCCAGTTCCCAGCAACACGCCGCTGCGCTCGTTGCTCTGCTCTCGCTTGTATGGGATTTTGCGTTCGAGGAAGAGTAGCAGGTGGAATAGGAGTAGGATCCGTTTGAAGGCTTGATGAAGATTGAAGAGACGGGTCTATTGGCTTGGGGTCTTTGGACACCTCAACGAGATCAGAGTCAGGTCGCGATACAGCAAACTAAATCAAGTAGAGCACTCACAGATGCCGGGGGCACACCCATATCGGGAAGATCAGTCATCTCGGGAGTAGCGTACTGGCAATTGAGTTAAAACAGGCTATACTATCGAGTCGAGGAAGCTTACGTCGGGAAACACATCCTGATCGACAAGTGTCAGCGCACATATACGGTGAAGCAAGGGCAAGCTCACTCTAAACTTTTTGCTCTTGAGATTGTACGCATGGCTCTGCCTGGCCAAGATTCTTTTTTCCTCGTCCGTAGTCTTCACGCCACCTGCAGTGATCCTATGTTTCCCTTGAGCTGGACCACCTGATTCAAAAAAGCTGCACCCACTCATTGCTAAGCATGAAACTGAGAAGACCTGTAAGAATGGTTGCGACACTCCAGGCAGCATTCCACCTGCAAAGTGATGATCAGGATCGTACCGGAGCGTTGCTGCATTGTCACATACGTGCTAGGGTGGCTGGGTGATGGGTGCATCAGCGCTGAGTGACCCCCATGATTGACAACTACTCACTAAGAGGTCATGCTCATGCAGATCTTGTGCCCAATCTCGAATCGTCCAGAAGGGGTGAAAAACTTGACATCTGGGGGCTTGAAAGCTGCCGGTGAAGACGCTGAGTATTCCAAGAGTCGGCAAATGATGGGATCACGTACGGTAGTCGCTGGGGAACCAGATGAGTCCGTGGAATTCTCCTCCTTCATAGGGAGTATCAGGGGGGCCACGCTATGGGATGTGAGAAAACCTCTGAGAGCTGACGAATATCAACGTACGATGATGAAATGCCCTAGAAGAGTTCTAGTCTCAGCCGAATGGTGAGATAAGGATGTGCGACCTACAGTCAAGTATATTCTTCTCCTCCGGGCTTGCCCAAACAAAGGGAGGGGGACTCTTTTGCATGGCGAGGTACTCCTGTGGCAGTGGTCAGTCGAGCGGGTCGATCCCTCTGACATGGGACAAACCTTCTGGAGCTACATGGGGCATCAGCGTCAATTCACAGGATGTGCGCGTCCCGCAGGAGAACCGCTTTGTGACTGACCCTTTTCTGAGCGACTTTGGTGGCCATCGGATAGTGTTTGAGTCGGACGTGAGCGCAATGCTAATTTCCGATCTGAATGTATACTCTTGAGAAGAAATCAAACCAAGAACAACGAGTGGGCACAACGCTCGAGCGTCCTTGCTTGTTGCAGTAGTCGGTGAAGGCCGGTGGCGGCGAAGACCGGTGACGCGACGCACCATGTTAACAATGTGGCTGTCAACATGTTGATGAAAGGAGGAGAAACCCTTTCCAAAAGATGGTGTGCATCAGCAAGGTAAACATTAAACAGGTCATAGATATAATGCAAAGAATAGGCTGACCGGCCGCGCGAAAAGCGCTCATCGATTCCTCTCCGCCACACGGAGCGATCCTGGTGGCCACACCAACAATCACCGCAGCAGGCAGATTCCAACTGCACATATGTGTACCCATAGAAAGCCGCCCAGCGAAGAACTGTTGTACATTGCCCAAACATCTGAAGCATACAATGTTCGAGCAGCCAAAGTACACTGTGTATTCGTACAGTGAGTGTACGTCAGTTACCATGAATCATGATCGCGAGCTTGCGGCTGCACAAGGGCGGTGACCTCTGACCTTCATCTTCTGCAGCCCAGAGTCAGTAGCTACGGTGGAAAGGCGCTTGATAGAGAAGGCTCGCACATATACACGTAGATGTGCATGTCCGAGGCCACACCTGACACTCTAATATAATAATCAACAGCGAGATAATCAGCGTGGACGATAGAGCGACCGCATCCCAAACATAATTGGTGGCCATGCTCAGCAAGCGCACGAGTGTGAAGCTCTCCAGTGCAATGTACACTTCGCGCAGTATCAATGCATTACATTCTGCTGCCAACAGAGGAGAGTGCCACACGACGCAGAGGGAGAGCTCCGGCCACTGCCGCTGTGGCTCTAGAAGGGCTTTGTGGGCCTCCATCTTCGGCTTTAATGTCCGTCTTTCATTCGTGGCAGGGCCGCAAGCCGCGCAGGGCTTGTGAATTGGGGTGGCAAGACATTTTTGTAGACAACGGTGACGACATTTGTAATGAAATGAAATGCAAGATCAGAGAGGGTGTAATGATCAGGGTAGGCTGGAAATTACTGGAAAGGGAAATTTATCCGGTGTGCCCTTAAATGTCCCTTCTCGGACCTCTCCATTCGTCAGCGCTGCCAGCGGGCTGCTCCAATACGCTTTTCATACCTCTCAATCTGTCTGCCACGGCTGCACGCAGAATACTTGCGCACCACCGCCCGCCCCCAGCTGCCCAGCCCGCCACAGCGTCACTGCCACGCCCGGAACCAATTCTGGCATACCATATTCCGCATCTGCCCCACCCACGTTAGCCGAGTTGCCTCCTTTCGCTCCAGTTACTACCTCATCGCTGCCCTCTTGCTCGTCTCTCCATCTCCCAACGCCGCAGACACCCGCCGCCCTACTCCCGCCGCCTCTGTCTGTACCGGGACCACCAAGCAGGCTTCCCCCCATCCGTCTGCTGCACCATGGCCCAGGTCATACCTCCCATCGTGAGTACAGCAGCCCCTTTCACCCATGTTACAGTCGCTCACTCATATCTTCCTTCTCTCCCCCATCTCTCCCCCCCGTACTCGGCCGACATTGCCGCCACCCTCCTTGCCCGTCGCCCCCGACTTGCGACGACTGCCGATCTTTATAATCAACCTCCACCAGACATCACTCCCATCAGACTCTGGGGCTGCACCCTCAGTCGAGGACATCCAAGACCGCTTGCCGTCTATATGTGTTGACTATCTCTCACATGACTGGTCGGAAGAGGATGTCTGGGCATCATGGCGTAATATGACTCGTCATAAGCATGAGATCGCCAACGGCGTCCGGCTAGAGAACGCCAGTTGGCGAACGTGGAACAAACAGAGGAACAAGCTCAAGACTATCAGCCCCGAGACTCTCAATTGGTGAGCCCTCTCTGTCATATACTTGATTTGGGATTGTCTTGGTTGCTGCCGCAATCGGCGAGACACGGCACGACTGTGACTGAGCAATCGCTGGAAGGGGTCCCTATGGGGACCACGTATGTGCACCTGGTGTCTTTACGTCCCTTATCAGCTAGGGTTGGTTCGCTTTGGGGTTTGCTCTGGTTTCATCTTGAAGATCAATACAGGGTTTGCCACCTCTTGCATTCGAAAAAAGTTTCCGCTCCTACTTCACTACTTCTGCGCGATCCCACTTTTGCCTGTGGCATATATTATCGATGGTTTGCTAATGCTGTTCTCAGGTTGAAGGATTCAGATGTCACTTGGTTGTACGGACCTCTCCACACCGCCAACGTCGAGCCTGTCCGTCCGCTCAAGGTGTCCTCCACCGACGATCGGCTGGGCATCGATCGTCCAAACCCCGACGCCAAGAAGCCTATTCTCAAGCACCGAACCCTTTCGGAGATGCTCACTATCGCGTCCCCTTCTTCCCCTGGGCACGAAGGCTCTGACGGTGATCATGCTCAGCCTTCTGATGATGAAGACCGCCCCAAGCTGCTTCTCCAGACCAAGTCGGACACCAACATCTTGCGTAATCGCAGTGCTGTTCTGGCCCGTCAAAAGAGCCCAGATCGCCATCATAATCACAACTTCGACAAGAGCCCATCTGATGAGAACGGCCCCACTTCCCCTACAGATTCTCAACAGAACAGTAGCAAGAGGCACATCAGCTTCAACACTTTTGTCGAGCAGTGTATTGCTGTCAGCGATCCCACCGAAAACCAGCAGCATCACCAGCAGCAGCAGTCGCAGTCGAACAGCCCTAGCGACTCGGACGATGAAATGCTCGAGATCAAACCGTCTTCTTTGAGCTCCAGCAGTCGCTCTTCTCGGGAGTCTCGTCCAAGCTTGAGTCGTAATTCGTCTACCGGCTCGTCCGAACATCTCACGATTGCAATGATTGCGCCCACCATGCTGAAGACTGGGCCGGGCCACAATCCCGATCTACCTTGTGTCTACGCACCGCCGTCCGAGTACCAGTCTCCGAGCGATGATAGAACAGATTCCTACGATTTCCCTTCGCCTCAGATCGACCCCTCCACGGGCAAGTGGCAAGAAGAAGACGAAGACGAAAGCGGCCGCGACAGTGGACCCTATGACTATTTCCATGGTCCCAACCTGGGAGGCAGTGAACAGAAGAAGGGACAGGCTATTCCCAATAACAGCGGCCCCTATGGTAACGGACGGCCCCCTTCTGGCTCGCCTCCTTCAAAATACCGCATTGCTGTCGATCAGGAACGCAACGATGCGTCTCCTGCCCCTTCTTCCAACCCCTCTGCCAATGTCGGCAGTGTCACCTCTCCCCCTCAGCGCGGTATCCTCAAAGTACGTCCTCCGGGACAAGTTCCCCCTCCCGAGCCAGCTTCACCGCCCTTGGCGTACTTCAACTACACTCCTTCTGCCGCGACAGGTATTGGTGGTATGCGGGGAACGTCGCCCTACGACCAAGCTGGTCCCACTGGATCCCCGGTGACTTCTCCTGGTGCGGAAGAGCGTGGACGCGGAAGGACTCCTTCGCGGGAGCGATTGCACGACAGGTCTTCTTCTCGTGGTACATCCACCAGCTCTCTCAGCTCTTCCTCTTCGCGCTCTCCCACCGAGAATACTGCTGGGGGTGTCTCCCTGCGAAAGGTCCAAACTCCTCCTCAGCTAGACCGGGTTCAGGAAGAATCGCACAATAGCGCCGGGGGAGACCAGACTCCCAGGAAAGGCGACGGCGTCAAGCCGAAAGGCATCGATCTGCCTGAGGCTCAGCCTGTAGAGCCTGGATCCCCCTCGCTCGCTACTCCGGCCGAGCCTGATGAGAAGCTCAAGGATTATGTGGCCGATAGGTCGTCAACTCCTACTCCTCATTCTTCTCCCCAGGTAAGTCTTTAAGATTGCTTTTTCGGTAGATTTCGACTCTGACTAATCTAGATCTAAAGATCACATTTCGCCCTTTAAAAGACACATCTCCCGCATCCCTTCCCCATACATCCACTCATAACAAAGCGCGATCTCCCGACCTTCCCAAAGCCGACCCTCCTACCTCTGTTCCTTCTGCCGATAAATCCAATAATTCTGGCGCTCGTGCTACGATTGCCCACGTTGGCACGAATGCCCAACCCACATTATCTCAACCTATAGAGGATGATGATGGGGCGAGCATCATGGGGCGCGCGGCAAACATTGCCAGCACAGCAAAAGATCTGTTGGGTTCTCTCTGGTATGGACAAAATGAGGGCCAGGGGCAAGGCCAAGGTCTGGGTCAACATCCCTATCAACAGCAGACGCAACCATTGCCAGGGGCTCAGGTGCATGGCGGGAATGCGAGGAGGAGGGCGGGTTCCAGCTAGAGTGATTCTGGATATATCTTTTCCTACAACCAAGGGTCTAGCTCTGGGTTGTGTGTAATAATCTTTCTTTCTCGAGTTTCTGTGTGTCCTTCCTATCATTTAGCTTCCGACCTGTTTCTTCTTTCAAACATCTTTCCATCTTCCATCATGTTATGTTTTCATCAGCCCACGCCTTCGATGTCTCTTTACCTCCCATCCATACCTCGCAACGACTCTTCAACTTTTCTTCTTTCTTCTTCCGATTCCCTTTTCAATAGCCAATTGTCTTTTACAGAGTATCCATCCGTAGTTATAGGCTGTCAGTTTCATCGGGCTCTCTGGCTTTGGTCTGGGTGTATGCATGTAACTTTGCATAGAGTAGATGTCCCTCGTGTCTTGGTCTCCGCTGCAGAGAGATATCTAGCCCAGTCATCAACCTCACACGGCACAAATCGGTCATCTAGATATCAGAGGAGACGGTCAGAAGACGTGGGCTCTTTAACGGCCCGCCGCTGCCGCTTGAAAGCATTGCCTATCCCCCTTTTTTGGTTTCCCTTGTCAATGGTTGGCCCAATCCTCATCTCGCTCCGTCAGAGAGTACAATGAAGGGAGGCACTACTAGTTGCAAGAGCCCGACTACATAGTACGTGATCCTATGCTGGTCTTGATTTTACGTTCATTCTCGTCCAACACAGGGCGAAGACCCTCATCGTCGAAAGAACATGCAGCATTTCGACTGCAACGCTAGCTCGAGACAAACGTCCGTGAAGTATATCATAAAGTCATGATATGATGCAAATGAAGTATGCTCAAACCCTCCTCCCAACATCCACACCATATCTCCCACGCTCCCTTTCAATCTCATCCTTGCTTCTCATCCCCCTGCCCTTGTTCTCTCTAGGTCCCTTCTTCCCAAAAAGACCTGTTCCAAACCCGGAAGGGTTCCCGCCACCGTGCAAAACCTGGATGGTGGCCTTGAGAACATCTGGACGATTCCGGGACCCAACAATCATTGCACTGGCATCCTTGATACCGCATGCGGTAAAGACACGATGGATCATGGGAGGTACCATCAGACCGAATCCTGTGACAGTATGAGCGTGGGGACTGCGTTAGTCTTTTAGACACATACCGGGAGGTCGCGCACGCAAGTGCACTTTGGCAGCTCCCCATTTGCCCACGAGATCTTTGCCTTCACCCCAGAGCGTTCTGGACTCGTATTTGTTGACATAGTCCATACTCAATACAGCTGCATACAGGTCAGCGCGATGTCATGGGTACGCATGTACAAGAGTTACCTTTCTGGAAAGCGTCGTCCTGTGCAGTAGCACCAGAGTGTCCTCGACCTCGCCCGAGACCAACAAGACCTCGTTCTGGTGATCCAACGACGACATATGCTTGCTGGCTCGCCCTGTTGAACATCAGCATAGGTCGACCAAAGCACAAAGAGAGCTTACATCTTTCCCTTTTTTGTCATGTGCTGCACTTTCTTGGATCGCACAGTAAACTTGCAGAGTCCTCTGATCTCTGTTCTGCTGAGCCCCGTGATAGCCGCCAACTTGTTCTCCAACACCTGCGGTCCCTGTTCACCTAAGCCCTCGGGCATTTGGTCCGCGGGTAGTGGGGTGAAGAGCGGTGTGGGGTGGTTGTAATGCTTGTGCGAAGGGGAGTTGTAGGTGTTGGGGAAGTTGGGTAGACGTGGCACAGGGGTGTATGGGACGGAGAAGGCGGGTCGAGGGAGGGCAGATGTGGACGACTGAGGGTCGGCAGGGGTCGGGGTGGAGGACTCGGGGGAGGGCGGGGAGACGGAGGTGGAGGCGCATCGTGCGAGGTGGCGGGATGCTGGTCTGAGGGATTGCAGGGGGCGGACGAGGGCGGACATGGTGGCCTGGCAAGGGATAGAGCACTCAGGATATCAAGTCAAGCTGAAAAAGGTCCCGCCACAGACGGCATTTCCAGGTAAAAGCCGAGATCAGGACACCCAGCATCCAAGTCGCGTCGTTGATTTCTTTTTGCCATGAACAACTCGTGCGCATCTGGGATGCATTAACCAGGTCCACTGCCCGCCCCTTCCCATCTGCTCCAGGCTTCCATGCTATCCCAGAGCCTCTTGAGACCTTCCATCTCCTCTGGCCTCCAGTCTTTCGTACTGCCTTTCTTTTCCATGCTATCAACAGTCCCATCGGATCGCAACGAGAGAATCCTCTTGGTCCTCAGCTTTTCATAGCTCCCCTTGGTGCCTTGTCCGGTCTTTGATGGCTTGGTAGAGGATGTATCAACCCTCAACTCGCGCGCGATACGCGAGTATGTCACGCGCACCCGGGCATCTGCCACCGCAGCTCTGGAGGCGGGCATTCGCAGAGGAGTAAACTGGAATGATAGGATGATGTCTGGAGGGGAAGAGCAGGTGACGGTGATGTTGCCCAGGGCGTGATACAACTTGGCCTGAGAGCTACTATCAGCCAGAGTGACTAATATATTGTGCACGAGCAATCTTACTTGGGGAGTCTGGCGTTTGTATACCTCGACCAGTTTCCGCACCCTTTCCCATTCCCTTCTTTCGCCCTTTCCCCATTTGCTGCTGTGCTCTAGAATAAGCTGCTTGGGAGCTGCCACGGCACCCTCTTTGAGGCTCCTGATCGAAATCCTCTTTCCGTGCGAGCAGACACATATCTCCTCCTGAGGATCTGCCAGGCACAGTATGAGTTCGATTCCCTTCCTGGGATAGACAAAGATAGTGTCTCGATGGATGAGAGTCCGATCTGGCGGCTCCAGTTTTGGTGGTAGAGGTGATGCCAAGATGGGGCAGGGCAGGTTAGAGTGTTTCATCGAAGAGGGGCCATTTATGGAGCCCATGGGTGTGAGGGGCATGTCGAGCGGCTTTGCTGGTATAGCTTCTCTCGGGAAGTTGGGTTTTTTGAGTACCGTTTGTCTCGAAGATGTGTTGACCACCTTTGGAGATACATTGGCCAACTTGGTGTATAGAGGGAGGGTAGGTGGGGTGTCTGGAGGAGTCGGGGGATGACTGGATGCCATCTGGAAGCGCACGGAATGGGATGCGGCCACTTCTGCTCTATCGATTGCGGGTGTATTGAGAGAGGACAAGTGAGTCTGTCTTGTTGTCGCAATCTGTCTCCTGCTCAGCGCCCGCGAAGCAGCTACCGGACGTTCCTGTTGGCCTGACTGGAGGGTAATGTCCTCCAACACCCGTCTCCTTCTTCGCTTCCACTCCTTTTCCAGTAGCCTCAGCTCTTCTGGGGTCCCTGGGTCTTGCACCGCCTTCCCATAATGGATGATACTTGAAACGCGTGTTGCTGACGCAGGTGTAGGCGACGAGGCGGCGGGAGAGGCGGCGGGAGAGGGGCAAGAGGTAGGCGGGTAGAGTGCAGGGGAGCGGGGACGTGGTCTACACCGGAGACGTGCTGCAGCGGGAGAGTCCATGGGTACTGTGATGGGACGCAGAGGAGCAGCAGAGGAGACACAAAATCAAGTGCCTGAGCCATGATGCGCGGTGGTCGGCGATACGCGCTGACGGGGGTGTCCGCCAGGAACAGCACACTGCCACGCTGGGGGTTTGCTTGTTTGGCCGTTTTTTGGTCCCGGCTGGGTACTGAGACTTTTGCGAATATCGATGCATTGAGAAACCCAACGCAATTCCCGCCTAAGTGCTTAAACGGTTCTGCGTATATCAACTCGATCAAAGTGAGTCAACGCTCCCACGGCAGGACAGCTCTTGTGCGGTGCAGGGCGGCGCAGGCTGGCGCAGGGGAGGGGTGCGAAGGTGCCAGATGGACAGGGACGACATGCTAACCAGTTCTTCTCTAGATGAAGCTTATCGCCGCTTACCTCCTCCTCCAACAGGGTGGCAACGCCTCCCCCTCCGCCGCCGACATCAAGGCCCTCCTCGAGACCGTTGGTATCGAGGCTGAGGAGGACAGGCTCTCCAAGCTCATCTCTGAGCTCGAGGGCAAGGACATCAACGAGGTATGTCGGGATCAGGAGAGCAAGACTGGGCCATTGGAGTATGCGGGACCTGAAAAGGAGAAGAAGAAGGATGGCCTGGTCTAGCTGCGCTGTTGAACGTCAAGGGGTATCTGCTGACATCAAGTAGGTCATCGCCGAGGGTGCTTCCAAGCTCGCCTCCGTTCCCTCTGGTGGTGCCGCTTCCTCCGCTTCTGTTGGTGGTGCCGCCGCCGCTGCCGGTGGTGACGCCCCTGCCGCCGAGGAGAAGAAGGAGGAGGCCAAGGAGGAGTCTGACGACGACATGGTGCGTGATACTCAATTGGTCGTTGTTACCTTGCTGACGTCCATTTACAGGGCTTCGGTCTCTTCGACTAAGCATCTCGTCCAAGACGCTCATTTGGTGCTCCTGCCTAATGGATGTAGCTTCTCAAGAGCGAGTTGTATTCTGCTGGATTCTAGTAGAGCTCTCTTCTCTTTCGTGGTATATGCATGAGGTTCCTTCTACATTGGGCACGGATTCAGTGGGCACGGGTCTAGTGGAAACGGATTTAGAGGACAGTTCAGTAACATCCAGTACGGTCCCAATCTGCCGTACGTGTCCAGAGGCCACCGGTGACAGCAACATTTTTTTCAGTCTCTCATTTGCTCTTTCATACAGTCAAGGTGCGCCTCACTGGCTCAACGCTTGTAAATGGACAGTGTAAAGACTCCATCATCAAACAAGTTTCGCGGCGATGGCAATCAGGTCTGGCAATGCCGATGACGACGCCACCGTAGAGGAAACAAAGTGCGGAGCAGTCGTTCACAGGGCAGACACTCAATGCTTCAGCCCTCACGTCGAGCCTTGATCCACTCCATATAGGGCATATGAATCACTTTATCATGAAAAATAAACCAAACTATCCAACCTTCTCTAGACCCCCACCAAAGAACTATCGCTTCGCACCCCCGGGCTGCAATTTCTCGTCAGTTCTGAATTGAATCCGCTACATGTTCCCACTCACAAGTGGTCTCCTGAAAAGCACTGTGTACACCCATCGCGTCAGTACGAGCTTGCCCACTGAGTCTTCTAACCACATAATACTCACAGATATGAGGTTCAGGTGCTGTATGCTCGTCAGCTTTGCACGCGGCCCTTCAAGAGTACAGCCATCACTTACCATGCACTTCAAAGTGTTCCCACCCCAAAGACTGCGTGATCCCGATACCACGCCATTCGTCCTCTTCCAGAATCCTCAATAATCCAGTATCATCATTTGAAAAGTAGCGTTTGGGGATGAGTTTGAGCATTTGCTTGGGGAGAATGACATGGCGGTACTCGAAACGGTCGTCCGAGTCTAGCAGGCGTAAGTGAGCTTTGCGATGAAGGCAACATGTGGGCATGCGGAGCGCTCACAACGGTCAGAGTAGATGATTCTGCCAGTTACATCAGTACCGATCCCCATGACACATTTGGGAGCCGTGAAAACGTCCATGGAATATGCACTGACCGTTCAGAAAGTTCTTCGAGGGTGGCAGGCTTGTTTCCTGGCGCCATGATGAAAGTGTGTGATCTGTGGCCGACTTGGTGGGTGGGGGACGCGTCGAGCGTGGGAGTGGATTGACAGGCAGACGAGCAAGCGCGGGGATTTGACGGACTGGACGGAGCGTACGATGGCGTGTATCCACTCGGGTGGGGCGAGCTGAAGAGTCACAAGGGGGGATTCGAGAGATGAAGAATTGGAAGAGAAGATGACTTGCAACGAAGAATCGCCCTGAGAGCGAGCGCGTTCCAATCTCAGCTCGCGTCAAACGAGCGGGATCAATCTCCCGCCCACGTGGGATTGTTTTGGCTCCGTCCACTCCTATCAGAGGGCATCGAGCAGCATGAGAACAAGGTGTAGAAGATACACCACAACCCTTCTCAACCTCAGTCGCAGTGCATACCAACCAGTGCAGAATCGCGACGGAATACTCCGAGCAGGACAAGCACCACTGCTCATCACATCAAGCGCCGCAATGGCTTGCAGCTCGATACTCTCCCTACTCTTGCTGATTGCTGTATATCTTGTCACTCCTTCGCTATCCCGTACTACACATCAGCAACCATTGGCTGCCACATACTCATTTCGTATACTTGACAAAAGGCTATGCGCGGAAATTGATGAGCTCAGAGAGAGATGGGGTGTCAAGGGCATCACTCTAGGGGTCGCTGCTTCCCCGAATTTCACTAAAGCAACCAAAGACGGGGCAGGTGAGGACTGGACTTCTGAAGTCTACACTTTCGGCAAAGCAGACCGGTATGGAAATGACGTGGACAACCGAGTAAGCAGTGCCATACTCGGACAGTCGTCTCGACGACTGACATGATCACAGACACTGTTCGGAATCGCCTCCAACTCGAAAGTATTTGTGGCTATATCAATTGGGCTGCTCATCGAGGACAAGACGTACCTACCGAATGGAGAGCTGCTGGACTGGTCGACAAAGATCAAAGATATCCTACCTGGATGGGGTCTCATGGATGACTACGCCTCAACCCATGCCGACCTGATTGATCTCTTGAGTGGGTTACAGTGGTGCGCTTTGTATAAATCTAATGGAGAACAGGTATGCGTTCCGGACTTCCCAGGCATGATGCTGCCAAAGGGCGAGTGGGAGTTTTCTTTCAGCGAAGGATGCTGATTCTTGACTGTCTTGCGTTAGACATCAAACCCCCGAGGTCATTGTCTCGACGATGCGATACCTCCGACCCTCGGCAGAGCTTCGACAGGCATGGCAATACAACAACTTTCATTACATCGCTCTCGACCTCGTCATACAAACGTTGACCAACAGATCTTTGTCTGACTTTGTACAAAGCCGAATCTTTGATCCAGTTGGCTTACAAGACGCAACATATAATGCTACCCAAGCTCGATTGTCGGGTCACAGAAGCGATGGCTTTGTGAGGCTGAACAGGAATCTCACACAGTGTACGGTCGAACTTGATATCTCCCGAGCTGGCATACCCCATTCATGCCTGGGCACGCCAGCGAGTATAGGCTGGTGGGTAAAGGATGACGGCTCATTTGAAGCTGGTCCTGGGGGAATTATCATGTCGGGCAGGGATATGGTAAGATACTCTTCGCGTGTAATGGCACAAATTCATACTTGACCAGGCCAAATGGACCAAGGAACTGCTTGATCCTCGACATCTCCCCGCCGCTCTTGTTGACAAGTTGACTGTCACCTACGCCTCCATGTATGGCAAACCCCAGAATCCGTACGTGGGTATTCACACCTATGGCCTCGGGCAGTGGGTTTATACCTACCGGGGATTTACTGTGCATGGACACGATGGCTCCCTTCCAGGGCAACATTCTACCTTCATACGGCTCCCAGAAATCGGTTTCGGGTTCTTCCTGGCCATCAACGACGATGATTTTGGTGCGCCGCTTCACAGGGCTATCACCAACATCATTCTTGACAAGGTGCTTGGGCTGGACTACGTCGATTGGGAAGGACAGGTCCAATCCCTGGCATTCACGATCCCAGAGTATCCCGACGTACCTACAGACCCTCGAGAAGCACCGGCGAAAGTGGCTGGAAGATACACGGACTCGGGGTACGGAGATCTTGATCTGAAGCAGATCCCGCACCCCGCTGGCCCTTTTGCTGCCCACATACTGGAGACAGTATCTCTGTCGCTCACTTCTGCGCCTCTCAACATTACTGGGCCCATATACTTGGCCGAAATCAATAAAACATTTGCTAGCCACATCATCTTGACACACTTTGACGGGCCGCTGTTCAACATTACGCTTCTGGCTACGACCGAGACTTTATCTCAAGCGGATGAAGTGACAGGGACTGTAATCAAGGTGGAAGGGTACGGTACCGCTGTGGTGCAAGATGCAGGAGTTGGGATCTTTGGAAATATATGGGGCAAGGGGAATCTGGCGAGAGAATCATCCGTCACTGAGGAGCAGACTGTGGTCAAAAAGGCTGCCGAAATATGGTTTGACAAGGTTGGCTGATTTATATTTGACTCTCTGTTCGATCATATGTATAGCACACATACAAAGTTATAAAGTCGTGCATCGCACCAGAAACTAAAATGTTGAACGATAAAGGCTTCGCGCGACTAATGGCAGAGGCAGCTTAGGCGCGCGGGGCTGCTTTCTTGCTGAAGATGCTCAGCCGGTAGTGACTTGACTTGCGAAAACAAACTTGCTCTGTATCCTGTCCAGCTTATTCACACCCGCAACGAACAACACCAGCGTACCCGACAAGGGTCTCTGTTCGACATGCACGCCCTCCATCAGACCCTTCTCCCGCCATCATCCATCCATCACTCCCTCTTTCTCCCTCACTTCACCCCCTCCACCATCTACCCTCTCCCCAAACCTTCTTCGGCCTTCGATACTCAGGACATCCAAATTGTTGGCAACCTGATCGTTGCGGGCGCACAGGTGCTGAGAGTCTTTGAGATCAGAGAGGAAAAAGTGACTATCAAAGAAGAGTCTGAGTTTCCGGAGGAGTCAGGATTGGGTGGAGGGACTGAGGATGTGCAGATGGGCGAGTTAGGGGACGGGTTCTTTGACGATGGTCATGCAGATGTGGGTCGCATGCAGCTCGTTTCACTATGTAGATCGACACGCTTATTCCACTCCGATATAGCGTGCTCCTATCCAGCGCGCAACTGTCAAGAAGTTGCACCTGTTGACGCAGCATGAACTGCATGGCACTGTGACGGGCCTAGCACCATTGCGAACTATTGAAAGTAGCGCGGATGGCCTGGATCGTTTACTTGTTTCATTCAAGGACGCCAAGGTTTGTGACGTTCAAGTCTGGCTGCGCTGCAATACTGACTTGATCCCAGATCGCTCTTCTAGAATGGTCAAGAGGTGACATTGCAACAGTGTCTTTGCACACGTACGAGCGATGCCCTCAAATGAACACTGGTGATTTACAAAATTATGTGCCAATGCTTCGCGCCGATCCGTTGTCACGACTGGCTGTCTTGACCCTCCCTGAGGATTCCTTGGCGGTGTTACCTGTGGTCCAGGAGCAGTCGGAACTGGAAATGACAAACGGCTTTGCCAGGTGAGTGATACCCATCTTGTCATTTGGCGCGTTGTCGCTCATACCCTCATAGAGATGCGCCATATTCACCTTCATTCGTCCTCTCACTATCCGACGTCTCTGCCAACATCAAAAACGTACACGATCTCCTGTTCTTGGCTGGTTTCCACTCGCCTACTCTTGCTCTTCTCTTCTCTCCATTGTATACCTGGTCCGGTCGTTATCAAACGGTGAAGGACAATTTTTGTCTTCAGATCCGAACCTTCGACTTGTCCTCTGGCGGCTCATACCCTTTGCTCACATCGGTCTCTGGGCTGCCAAGCGATGCGTTGTACCTGGTAGCTTCTCCAGCAGAGCTCGGCGGCATTGTGGTCATCACCAGTACCGGTCTCGTCCATGTTGATCAAAGTGGCAGGACAACGTGCGCCAGTGTCAACGGTTGGTGGTCGTATGTCACCTCGCTGAAACCGCAATCATCGCACAACCACCTCAAGATGGCGCTCGAAGGGTCTAAATCTGTATTCGTGGGCCCTTATGACTTGATTATCACTCTTCAGAGTGGTGATGTCCATCAGGTTCGGTTTGAAATGGAGGGACGAGCCGTCGGGTCCATCTCTGTTGAGGAAAAGTCCTCCATCGTCCCCCCTCCATCTAGTTTGACCAATGCGGGCGAAAAAACTGTGTTTGTTGGGTGTGCAGAGGGCGATTCTTGGCTTGCCGACGTGATACGGGAAGAGATCACACGGGAGAAGAAAGAGGACCCTAGAGAAGATATAGAAGTAGATTGGGATGAAGGTCAGTTTTTCCGCTCGCATCCATCCAAAACAGCTGTCTAACGATGATGCAGATCTATACGGTGACATCAATGATCCGGCCTTGGATCGTGCTTCCGGAGCTCGTCATGAAGACGGCCCAGCCAAGTTATCGCTGGCGCCTTCTGATGTTCTTTCGGCTGTCGGCAAAATCATGGACGTCGAATTTGGCATCGCTGCTTCGGATCAAGGGGTAAATGGATCGAGCGTTTTGGAAGACACTGCTTACGAATCTTGACAGCTGCGTACATATCCACAGCTGGTTGCAGTTGCGGGCGGCTCCCGTAACTCGACGTTCAACGTTTTTAGAGTACGTCCCCGTGTGGTCCTTGAGATCTGTATATTGATTTACGGATATAGCGCGGAATACCCATCACCAAACGACGGAGATTCAACGAGCTCACGAATAGTGAGGGCGTCTGGTTCCTCCCTATTGATCGTCCATCGGGGCAGAAATTCAAAGACATTCCCGAGTCGGAGCGGGCGACAATGTTGTTAAGCAGTGAAGGAAGTGCGACGAGGGTGCGTGACAGACTTTGATTCAAGTGGCTCTGCTAATGCCTTGCGTAGGTCTTTGCACTGTCAACTAAACCAGCCCCTCAGCAGATCGGACGACTCGATGGGAAGACTTTGACGGCCGCACCATTCTTCCAGAGATCTTGCGTTCTGCGAGTATCCCCATCGGAGGTCTCATTGTTGGATAACAGTCAGTACCACGTCGGGGTGGATGGATCATCTCGCTCACATTACTTAGACGGCAAGGTCATACAGTATGTGTCCCCCAAGAGCGACCAGGCGCCTATCGTCGGTGCCAGTATCTCTGATCCTTTCGTGGTGATACGGAGAGCCGACGACAGTGTCTCATTCTTTGTGGGCGATACGGTCGCCAGAACAGTGTCTGAAGTTGCCATCGCTTCCGAAGGTGTAAGTTGATTATCTCATCAAGTGTATGCAGCATGCCTGATAACCTTGCAGAAGACATGTCCTCCATGCCAAGCCGTCGAAGTGTTCTCGGATACCACTGGCATCTATCGCACCTTCGAGCCGTCCAGAATGGGCCCATACGAACATCTGCAAAGCAACGTGACGGCCAGGGTCAACGGCGCCAATTCTTCACGCAATACTCGACAAGCCCAACTCACAGCAGAGCAAATCAAACATCTTCAAGAACAGGAACCTGCCATCACCATAGACGCGCCAAGCACGGAAGCAGCCATCAATTCGTCTCATGGTACACAGTGGCTTTGTCTCTTGACACGGAAAGGCGAAATGCAGATTCTGTCGCTCCCGGATATGGCAGTGGTGCTGCAGAGCGAGGGATTGTCGTCGTCGGCGCCGAGTTTCACTGATGATATTGGAGAGCGATATACCGGTGAAGAGAAAGTAGAGGAAGGTGAAGAGGAGGATGAAATTAAGCAAATGGTCTTTTGCCCCATCGGCAAGAACACTCTCCGCCCGCATCTACTTGTAAGCATTTTCGCCACTGCGAAAATTCCTATGTTAACATAGCTAGGCTTTGCATCATTCTGGTCGTCTCAACGCATATGAAGCCCAACCTCGTTTCACAGTGGACGCTTCGACACAGTCCCGTCGGTCTCTCGCCGTCCGTTTCAAAAAAGTACATACCCAGTTACTCCCAATCTCTGGAGGCGTGAGAACGACGAATACCGCCGAAACCCGACTGCCGTACTCCATCATACCCTTCAGCGATATCGAGGGGCTCACTGGAGCGTTTATCACTGGTGAAAAGCCTCAATGGGTAATCTCCACTGAGGCTCATCCTCTGCGAGCTTTCGCGTTAAAACAAGCTGCCATGGCGTTTGGAAGAACGACACATCTGGGCGGCAAAGGAGAATATTTCATTAGAATTGAAGATGTGAGTACTTGCATCTCTACACCAGTGCTGACATACATTAGGGTTCATTCATTTGCTACCTTCCGCCGACTCTGAACACCGAATTTGCTATTCCATGTGACCGGTACGAAATGGAGCGAGTCTATACCCACATCACATTCGACCCAACTTCGGCCCACTACGTTGGTGCGTCTTCGATCGAAGTACCTTTCCAAGCCTACGACGAGGAAGGCGAAATACAACTCGGCCCTGAAGGTAATGCTCTCGATTGAATCCCTCGAATGCTGTTGATATCGGTCTCAGGAGAAGCTTTGATACCGCCGACAAATCAACGCTCCACTCTCGAGCTCTTTTCGCAAGGGTCCCAACCTTGGCGTGTCATAGACGGCCACGAGTTTGACCAAAATGAAGAGGTGATGAGCATGGAGAGCGTGACCTTGGAATCCATCGGAGCTCCTGGGGGGTACAGAGATTTCATCGCGGTAGGAACTGGTTTCAACTTTGGCGAGGATCGAGCGACTAGAGGCAATGTGGGTTCTTTGGCTGTTTCACGTCCAATATGCTGACATCAGTAGACGTATGTCTTTGAGATCGTAGAGTCTGCGGGGGCACAAAACTTGCCCGGGTGGAAGCTTCGGCTGAGACACAAGGACCCTGCAAGACATCCAGTGAACGCGGTCGCAAATATCAATGGATATCTGCTGAACACCAACGGGCCGAAGGTACTTATGACGTCTCGTACACGGAGGGAATCTACTGATCATGTCACAGCTATATGTCAAAGGGCTGGATGATGATAAGCAACTCATGGGCCTCGCTTTTCTTGATGTCCAGCTGTACGCTACGACTCTCAAGGTTTTCAAGAACTTTATTCTCGTCGGCGACTTGTGCAAGTCCTTCTGGTTTGTCTCTCTGCAGGAAAATCCCTACAAGTTTTCCACCATCAGCAAAGACTTACAGGGCGTTTCCGTGGTCACAACGGATTTCTTGGTGCACGACGGTCAAGTGACTTTTATCTCGAGTGATAGAAATGGTGATATAAGGATGCTGGAGTTTGACCCCACCGGTGAGCTCACCTTCTGTCAATGGTGTGACCAAGCTAATAGTATTTGAAGACCCAGACTCTCTGAACGGCGAGCGCTTGATGTTGAAGACGGAGTATCATGCTGGCTCCATTATCACTGGGTCCAAAGTCATTGCGAGAAGAAAGACTGCCGATGAAGAGTTTGCGCCTCAGACGCAGATTATATATGGTTCGTCCCTAGTTCCCTCTCGAAGAGCACGCAGCTCATGTCATAGTAGCGACTGCCGATGGCGGTCTCACAACCATGGTCTCCGTCAAGGACGCCCGATTCAAGCGTCTACAACTTGTGTCTGACCAGCTAGTCCGCAATGCCCAGCATGTTGCCGGTCTCAATCCTCGAGCGTTCCGGTCAGTCTGGCAAACCTCACATACGCTATAGCTGACATGCGCCGCCTATAGTACTGTCCGCAACGACCTCCTCCCTCGCCCTCTATCAAAGGGTATTCTCGACGGTCAGCTTCTCAATCACTTTGCTCTGCAGCCGATAGGGCGCCAGCAAGAGATGATGCGGCAAATTGGCACGGATGCGGTGACTGTAGCAAGTGATCTGGCGGCTTTGGGAGGATTCTGGTGAAGGCTCAGAGGCATGACAATGTTGGAGAGTTCAATAAGGGGCCATACGTATCTTTGGTAATGATTTGATTACACTGCATTGGGCATGCATGATTCGATTTCACTCTCCACGGCGAGGGGGCTCAAGAGACTGTCCCTTTGAGCAAAGCTCCGCGTCGCATGTCTTCTACGGTCTTCTCAACCCCCGAGACGTCAACGTCCAGATAGTTGCCCGCTGGCTCTTTCCCCTGCTTGATGGTATCCACTGCTTCTTTTAATGCTCTGAAATTGGAGACCTGCTCAAGCAGCTGCTCATGCGTCAGCATGGCTTTCATGCTGTCGAAACACACTTACAGGTGTCCTTTCCAGACCGGAAGTGCTAGGAACCACAAAGAAGTAGGTATACTCTCTCTGCCTGCCGGGCGAGAGAGCATGAGGCAGTCTTATTGACTGAGGCTTTGAGAAACTGAATGGAATCTTGGTTTCTTTGCCCTTCCTCTTTCGAGGCGAAATAAGTGAAGGGGAAAGTGCACTATTCAACCGACCTTTTCTTGGTGTCGCAATGATCTCCGACGGCATTGCAATGTCATTATCGCAGTCATCATCCGTTGCCTCCATTTTCGGCCTCTTCTGTGGGGTCAGAATGGAGACCTTCCGTTCTGTACCCTCTTGCGACATCCCAGTCTCAGCCTTCATCACTGTCTCGACTTCTCCTCCATAGAAGACTGTCTTTCCCACCACGCTTTCAAACACGTCCCATATCTTCTTGCCGACGAAGCACACAATACTTGGATGATATCTGACAAATTTCAAGAGTAGCTGGTAGGTGTTGAGGCGCATTTCGAGGGTGGAAAGCTCGCTTTGCTGGAGAGAGATGTCAGCGGCGTCCAAAAGTATGGGTGCCACACACTTCTGAAGTGGGTCTATCGACCAGGTTGGTCTTTCATACAGTGAGCTGAAAAGAGATTTTACGTTGCACGAGTGGCAGCTTACCAAGCCAAAATTGAACTCGCCGATGACCAAGTGGTCTTCAGTCGGAGGTACAAGTCTCGATGTAAGACCTGCCACAACCTTTAAAAAGAGTCTCTTCTTGTATCGGAGACACGAACCTGATTGATAGAGGGCGCGCTGACCGATTTCCAAAGATAAGCTCAAGCCCACGCTGGACGCCCGTTCTTACCCAGAATTTGTTGGTGGGGTGGGCAAAATGATGGCCTAAAGAAGCCGACTGTTTGCCTGTGAATGGGTAAACGGTTGACAAGCCACTCTGATTTTGTGTTGAAACGTGCATACCTGGACTATCGGGTACAAAGATACATATTGAATCAGTGATCCTCTAGAAATGGAAAGATCCAACAGTGACCGACGTACTTGATTCCACAAAAAACCACTGCGTGCAAGAGATCCCTGTCAAAGACGTTGTTTGCTAGCAAGTCGTATACTCACAGTCTAGATCATCCGATAGCAAGTCATTCACTGGTCTCAAATGCTCATAAACTTCAGGGCCTGCATACCCCCTTGGTTTTTTTACGGCCTTCTTACTAGGGCTTGCCGACATGGACCTCTTGGGTGTCCTCTCTTTTCGCTCTTCAACATTTGAGTGTTTTGGCGGCCTCCCAGGGACTGATCGCTTCAAGTGGGCAGAAGTATCTTCCGAGGTCGTGCCAGAGGAGGACGAAGCGACGTAAGCATATCTGGCCAAAGAGCTTGCAAAGGCTTTCGAAGCAGGACTGGCGGATTGATGGTCTTCTGCTGGCATATCGGCTGTGGGTTGGCGAGGTAGCAAATGCAGTTGGCGGTGCTTATCTTCTGGGTTGGATAGATGGACAGTGGCTCCAGTGGCCTATGCAAGCTAGTTTGAGCGAAGAGCAGGTATAGAAAGCAGGTGTAGAACGCAGGTGGAGGCTGGTTTCTGGAGCCGCCGTAATCATCCTGTAATCATCTCTGCCGCTGCCACTCTGATCTTCATCAAGTCTTACCAGTATTCTTACGTACTTGTACAGGAGCCGGCGGCAGCAGGAGGAGAAGGCGCGGTGGTGGTCAAGCTTCATACATGCAGTATGCTGTTGACCTCGAGTACCGTATCCCTACGCCTCGATGACCCTAGAATGAGCCCCCCCCCCAATGCAACGATTCGCCTCTGCAGTGGGGTTTTTCCCGAGCACTACAAAAGGCCCAATACCCAAGTGTCCCGCAACACGCTTTGATTGGTGCTCGGAGCTGCCGCGGACCGCCGGGTGAAGCAGATGCTGTAGCAGGCCACGGCGTAGACTAATGCATGTATGTGGCACACGGGATATGCAGAGAAGAAGCGTATGTATCACCTGGCAGAGCAGGGGACGCGGAAGAGGGCTGCTGGAGGCAGGGCGGGGCGGGGCAGAGGGAGCGAACCAGCGTTGAGGGAAAAGAATGGGGTGCCACACTCTGGCTCTGTCGTTTCCCCGCGGCATCCGGGCGGTGGGCTATCATTTCTGGTGGCTTTCATTGGGCGCTGCCTACAAACGCGCTCTTTCTCTTTCCTCAAAACATCACAATGCTCTCCCAGGCATTCCCCAGGCTCGCCGCGAGGGTCTCCAGGCCCATCCAGCCCTTCGCCAAGGTGTGTATACATGGCTCCCATCACAACCCCTCCCTGACCCCCTATTAGGCTCGATTCTCCTCAACCTCTGCCCCCGCCCAACCCTTCCTCGCCTCCCGTTCAGCCGTTCTCGCTTCCTCCCTTGCCGCCGCCGGTTCTATCGCCTGGTACGGCCACCTCTACGGTCTGCCCTTCTTGCCCGAGGCTTCAGCCAACAGCGCCGGAGAAAATGGATTGCATCCCACGTCTTGGCCCTTCGAGCACTACGGCGCTTTCGAGACTTTCAACCACTCTGCCATTCGACGAGGGTATCAGGGTGCGTACAGAGAGTGCCCGCTGCATGGGGAGAGACCGAGCGCTGACGATTTTTTGCCCTTGTCCCATATTTTTTTTTGCCGCGTCGCTCTCCGTCGAATATCGCTCTCTCGCTATTGGTGAATCCCCGATCGATCAACAACAGTCTACCGCGAAGTCTGTGCCGCCTGTCATTCTCTCGACCGAATCGCTTGGCGTAATCTGGTTGCCGTGTCGCACACCGTAGACGAGGCCAAGGCCATGGCTGAAGAAGTGGAGTACGAGGATGGACCCAACGATGAAGGAGAGATGTTCCAGCGACCGTGAGTTGTCTGTTTTTTGGAGGCATTGTTTGGGCAAGTTGGGCATTCGGATGGTGGCAAGCATTTTGTCCAGGGCATTTGGGGCAAATTTCTGCGTGAGATGGTCGACGTGACACCTGGCCTCAATTTGGTGACAGGGTACCACGTCAACGCGCGCGTCGCCCCAAAGATGTCAATCCGCGCGACTAGTCAAAGACTGCCGATTCTGCCTGCACTATCATCTTTTCATGCAACGGCAAACTGACTTTGAATGCAGGGGAAAGCTTGCCGACTACATGCCCGCCCCCTACCCCAACGAGGAGGCTGCCCGTGCCGGTAACGGTGGTGGTCTTCCCCCTGACCTTTCCTTGATCATCAAGGCTCGTCACGGTGGTGCCGACTACGTCTACTCATTGCTCACTGGTTACTGCGACCCCCCCGCGGGTGTCAAGCTTGCCGAGGGCATGAACTATAACCCCTACTTCCCCGGTGGTGGTATCGCCATGTCCCGAGTCTTGTTTGACGGTCTCGTTGAGTACGACGACGGAACTCCTGCCACCACCTCTCAAATGGCCAAGGATGTCACCACCTTCTTGTCTTGGGCCGCCGAGCCTGAACACGACTTGAGGAAGAAGATGGGTTTGCAGGTGAGTGACCATAGCCTGCCGATCGCATGGGCATCGTACTGACATTGACTGTGCAGGCCATGATCGTCCTCTCTACCCTTACCGCCATCTCCATCTACATTAAGCGATTCAAGTGGGCTTACCTCAAGACCCGAAAGATCGTATACGAACCTCCTAAGCCTTCTAGGCATCACGCCCTTTAAGCGGTTGCCGATCTTTACGAGATTAGAGTGTGGGGAGTGGCCGGGGAGTGGCTCCAGACCCCTCGACGTCGTTTTTTTCATCTAGGGTTTGACGATCGATGGGCTGGGTGTTGGACGAGTTGTGCATGGACTTGGAATGTCATAGCTTATGGCATGCAAAAAAAACATCATTTCTAATAGGCTCGCTGTGGAATCATGGCTGTGGAATCATGGCATGGACCTCGAGCGCAGACCTGTTTAAAGTTGGGGAATAGGTTCATAATTGTCACTGTGATATATCATGTTTCACCTCCGATGGATCGCAATTGTATGAGAGAACGTGGCGTCATACCACAAGAGACAGCTGATATGGCTGCAACTATCTTACGCCATCTTCCCAGGTGGACGTAGTGTTGCGCATCAGCATCGGGGGAGGTATTCTAGTGCATAGCGGGGCGGGATCACTTGTGAGTGACAGGGCTTTGCCGGAAGAGGAAGCCCAACTGGGCAACGAGTTGATCGTGAAAGGCGAAGTATAGCTCAGCACCAGACAAAGGTGTTAGGGTTGTCTGGGGCGGTGACGGTCACACTGCCTCCTCTTCTCCACTTTGCAATCTCCATGAACGTTCCCCTCATGATACTGATGATACATTTGGCGTTGGTCTGGCGCGACGTGCTCCTTAATGACCATAGCCAGGATTGCCGCGGGAGTGTTGACGTCGAGGGGCTTGGCTCTGGATCCTGCTTGAGATAGAGAGAAGCGTGTGGTGCGAGAAAGATGCGGCAGGCCAGGACTGATGATGTCCGGAAACGGTAGGCAGCTGGATGGTGTTTTTCTGTGAACGAGGCGTCGAGTGGGTAGATCATATTGCAGTGGACATGAATGTGGGCGAGGCTCACTTTCCCGTCTCCTCATGGATGCCGTGCTTGCCTAGCGACGTGCGCGAGATGACTCGCTGAATCGCTCGTCTCCAGTCTAATGCCGCAGTCAGAACTGGATTCTGCATTCTGCTGGCCACAACGCCTCTTGGAGCTATGCTACTGGGGATGCTAACGACACTCGATTCGAGTAGTGAACTGGGTAGCGGCCATACTAGAGCAAGCGACGTGTGATTGGTTCGGGCGGTGATTGGGCGGTGCCCCGAGGCGTTAATACGTAACCGGCTCTGGGTTTTACCATTCCGATCGAGTCGCCCAGGCTTCTCCTCCAATTCTCCTCTGATCTCTCCATCTCCATCCCCATCCCCATCCTTTCCCGCCCCTATCCGTGAGTCCCCCGGCCCCCTCCGCCGCACCCCGCTGACCATCCGCCTCCCCTGCCCCGTGTGCCGTCCCGTCTTCGGCCGTACCCCGCCACGTGCATGCATCCCCACTCAGGCCCTATCATCAACATTCAACATGGGTGAGCTGCAGACGCCTGTAAGTACCCAGACCCTTTTTATCACACTCCCCCATATAACACCGCTGACGAACATTTCTTTCATTTCCCCCAACTCCACACTTCTTGGCACTCCACCATGCCCCTCGACGTTGTTCCCGAAAACGACCTGGATCGCGAACCCTACAACCATCGCACTCCATCTACCCATCAACAGATCGAAGCCTGGGTCTCTCACCTCGGTATTGAGACCTCCCGTCCTGGTACCCCCACCGCCCCCACTGCCCCCACCGCCCCCGGGACTCCTGTCCACACGTAAGCCCTTCTCCATCTCACAAGAGCACTCCTGACACATTGCTAGCATCCATGGTCTTCGAAAGAAGCAGGCCGGCCACTCTGGGCCGCTCAAAAAGGTCCTCGTCGCCAATCGAGGCGAGATCGCCATCCGTGTGTTCCGTACGGCCCACGAGCTGGCCATGTCCACCGTCGCCATCTACTCCCACGAAGACCGCATGGGTGCCCACAGATACAAGTCTGACGAGTCATACCTTGTCGGTAAGGGCCTGAGCCCTGTCGCTGCCTACCTGGACCAGGACGATATTGTCAGGCTTGCCGTCGAGCATGGCGTCGACATGGTCCACCCTGGGCAAGTTGCTTTCGTCTACCAGAATGGCTGGCTGGGCTAATCTATTCCTAGTTATGGTTTCTTGTCCGAGAATGCCGAATTTGCTAAAAAGGTCGAGGATGCCGGTATCGCCTTCATTGGCCCTCGCCCAGAGACCATCGACGCTCTCGGTGACAAGACCAAGGCCCGAAGCCTCGCTATCAGGACCGGTGTCCCCGTAGTCCCCGGTACTCCAGGTGCTGTCGAGTCTTACGAGCTGGCTGCTGAATTCATTCGGGAATATGGCTTCCCTGTCATCATCAAGGCCGCTATGGGTGGTGGTGGTAGGGGTATGCGGGTTGTAAGGGACCAGGAGAGCTTCAAGGAGAGCTTTGAACGAGCCGTCAGTGAAGCCAAGGCTGCATTCGGCGACGGTACCGTCTTCATTGAGCGTAAGTACCTAATAGACAACACGTGCTGGGCTGACCTGGCGTAGGATTCTTGGACCGACCTCGTCACATCGAGGTCCAGCTTCTCGCTGATGCCGAGGGAAACTGCGTCCACCTCTTTGAGCGAGACTGTTCCGTCCAGAGGCGTCACCAAAAGGTCGTCGAAGTCGCCCCCGCTCCCCACCTTGACGAGCCCATCCGCCAAGCTATCTTGTCTGATGCGCTCAAGCTTGCAAGTGCTGTCAAGTACCGTAACGCCGGTACCGCCGAGTTCCTTGTCGACCAGCAGGGTCGCCACTACTTTATTGAAATCAACCCCCGAATCCAAGTCGAGCACACCATTACAGAAGAAATCACGGGTATCGACATTGTCGCTGCTCAGATCCAGATTGCTGCCGGTGTCACCCTTGCTCAGCTTGGTCTCACCCAGGAGCATATCCACAGGCGAGGCTTTGCTATTCAGTGTCGTATCACCACTGAAGACGCCGCTGCCGGCTTCCAGCCTGACACTGGCAAAATTGAAGTGTACAGGTCTGCCGGTGGTAACGGTGTGCGATTGGACGCGAGCTCTGGTTATGCTGGCGCGCAGATCACTCCCCACTACGACTCTTTGCTTGTCAAGTGCTCAGTGAGCGGTGCCACCTATGAGGTTGCCAGAAGAAAGATGCTTCGATCTTTGGTCGAGTTCCGAATTCGAGGTGTCAAGACCAACATCCCCTTCCTGATTCGTCTCCTCACCCATGAGGTGTTTGAATCCGGCAAGACTTGGACTACCTTTATCGACGACACCCCCGACCTTTTCAAGCTTGTGCTCTCTGCCAACCGTGCCCAGAAGCTTCTCGCCTACCTCGGTGACATCGCCGTTAACGGCTCCTCCATCAAGGGCCAGTCCGGTGAGCCTGGTCTCAAGACCGAGGCCATCATCCCCACCATTGTCGACGCCCAGGGCAAGCCCTGTGACACCAGCAAGCCTTGTCTGACTGGATGGAGAAACATCATCGTCGAGCAAGGTCCCGAGGCTTTCGCCAAGGCCATCCGAAACTATAAGGGCTGTCTTATTATGGACACCACCTGGCGAGACGCCCACCAGTCCCTTCTCGCGACCCGTCTGCGTACTGTCGATATGGCCAACATTGCCCGAGAAACCTCCCACGCTCTCCAGAACGCCTACTCTCTTGAATGCTGGGGTGGTGCCACTTTTGATGTTGCTATGAGGTTCTTGTACGAGGACCCCTGGGCGAGGCTGAGAACTTTGCGAAAGTTGGTTCCCAATATTCCTTTGCAGGCTCTGGTTCGAGGTGCCAACGCTGTTGGATACACCTCTTACCCCGACAATGCCATCTACGACTTTTCCAAGAAGGCCGTTGAGGCTGGTCTCGACATCTTCCGAGTGTTTGACTCTCTCAATTATGTTGAAAACTTGAAGATTGGTATCGACGCCGCCAAGAAGGCTGGTGGTGTGGTTGAGGGTACCATCTGTTACTCTGGTGACGTGGCCAACCCAAAGAAAACCAAGTACACCCTTCAGTATTACCTTGACCTCACTGACCAGCTTGTCAATGAGGGAATCCACGTTCTTGGTATCAAGGACATGGCTGGTCTGCTCAAGCCCGAGGCTGCCAAGATGCTCATTGGCGGCATCCGAAAGGCTCACCCTGACCTTCCTATCCACGTCCACTCTCACGACACTGCGGGTATCGCTGCCGCCAGTATGATTGCATGTGCTGCCGCTGGTGCCGACGTCGTCGACGTTGCCATTGACGACCTTTCCGGCCTCACTTCCCAGCCTGCCATGGGTGCCGTCGTCGGTGCTCTCGAGCAAAGTGGTCTCGGTACCGGTATCTCGCACGAGAACATCCAGGCCTTGAACCAATACTGGTCACAGATCAGGAAGCTCTATCAGTGCTTCGAAGCCAACGTCCGTGCTTCCGACTCTGGTGTCTTTGACCACGAGATGCCTGGTGGCCAGTACACCAACCTGCAATTCCAAGCTTCTTCGCTTGGTCTTGGTACACAGTGGTTGGATATCAAAAAGAAGTACATTGAAGCCAACAAACTCTGTGGCGACATTGTCAAGGTCACCCCGTCATCCAAGGTCGTTGGTGACTTTGCCCAGTTCATGGTTTCCAACAACCTCTCCGCTCAAGACGTCTACGACCGTGCCGGCACCCTCGACTTCCCTTCGTCTGTCGTGGAATTCTTCCAGGGTTACCTTGGTCAGCCGTACGGCGGCTTCCCCGAGCCTCTTCGTTCCCAAATTATCCGGGACAAGCCTAGGATCGACGAACGCCCTGGCTTGAACATGCCCCCTCTTGATTTCAAGAAGATCAAGATCGAGTTGAGGGAAAAGTACGGCCCTCATATCTCTGACTTTGATGTCGCCAGTTACTACATGTACCCCAAGGTCTTTGAGGAGTTCCAAGGCTTTGTTGCCAAGTATGGCGACCTCAGGTATGTCTTTTTGCTTGTTGTACAGGACGAAGGTTGACTCTTCATAGTGTCGTCCCTACTCGGTACTTCCTCGCCAAGCCCGAGATCAACGAAGAGCTTTCCATCTCTATCGAACCCGGAAAGGTGCTTACTATCAAGCTCTTGGCTATCGGTCCTTTGGACCAATCCCGAGGTACACGAGAGTGCTTCTTCGAGCTCAACGGTGAGACTCGAGCCGTCGTCATCAACGACACCAATGCCGCCATCGAGCACGTCTCCAGGGAGAAGGCTTCTAGCGACCCCGGAAGCGTCGGCTCGCCCATGGTATGTATTTCATCAGTGCATATGTGGACTGAGCTAAATCAACCGTAGTCTGGTGTTGTGGTCGATGTCCGGGTCAAGGAGGGACAAGCCGTCAAGGCTGGTGACCCCTTGTGTGTCCTGTCGGCTATGAAGATGGAGAGTGTCGTGTCGAGCCCAGTGTCCGGTACAGTAAAGAGGGTGCTCGTCGGAGAGAACGACTCTATCGGTCAGGGTGACTTGGTGGTCGAAGTGACGCACTAGATGGGAAAGCATAAAGATAAGAGCGGTGATCGAGTTTGTGAGAAGTAAAAAGGTTGTTTCCATTCAGGTTTTTGTGTAGATATTTGCAAGATATAGACTGCCAATGATGATGCAATGATTGTCTTGTCCTCTGTCATCTTGATGTACTGTTCATGGGCGGCTACATACAGTACGTATTAAAGAAGGAGATGGACACGTCGCGACGGGAAACGCGTCGCGTACCTGAGCGCGTCGACATCATTTCAACGCTTCCTCTTTCTTCTACTCTTGTCGTCTTTCACCTCCAAATAACGACTATATCTGGGAGTAGCTGCAAATCATACCCCAGAGTCTTCGCCGCCCTAGATTATACTCACGACTATGGATCAGACAATAGAGTGAGTCATCACGAGCGATAGGAAGTCCGCTCAAACCATGAAGCGTGAGTCAGACCAGGCCTGTCTGGTATCTGACTCCTCTCCCCCTCTCTCGCGTCAACCCTTCCGCCATCCGGCCTCGACTGCCCGTGCGCGGTCATGTTCCTTCCCTACATTCTCTCTGTCTGAACACAATCTCAGTCAGTTTCGACCTGTTCGAGCCTTCATCATTCGATGGAATGAGCCCACTACTGTTGAAGCGCATCTTCAGCCGCGTTCGCTCGGATAGAGAGTACGAGGACCACCAGGAAGAGATGGCCTTGTCCCTGAATCCCGACGAAGCGACCATCTGGGCGTATAATGCCCTACTACAAGGGCGAGACGCTGGCTCCTTCAATCTGGGTCTCCCTCTTAAGACTACTCTGGCGCACCTGCGCCCCAATAAATACGCGCCAGATGCTCAGCACCCCCTAAACCTATTACCTTCCCTGTTCCAAAACCCCAAGTCTATCGTCAACACATCCTTGCTCACGTCGTTGACGTTGGATGCGATGGACGATCTGATAGACGACCAATCTGTACAGGCTTTGCGGTACTGTACCCAGCTGACAGCCCTCTGGATGAAGGGCTGTAAAGTAACCGACTCTGGTCTGAGGCTTCTTGCCAGTGCTTTGTCTCTTCCTGGAAATCGAGACTCCAGGGATGGGATGGGAATGTGGAGACTGAGGGCGTTGTATCTGGCGGGCTGCTATGGTGTGTCGGACAGGAGCGCAAAAGTGTTTGCAAAATGGCCAGGATTGGTGACATTGGGTAAGCAGGCTGTTCTTCTTCCCGGTTCGCAGCTAAAGCGATACAGATATACGAGATACATCGTGCACTGAAGTGTCCATGGATGTCTTGAACAGGGCAAATCAAACACTCTTTGCGGGGCAGATTCCCGACTTTCAACCTTGTACAGACAGTTTGGTCCCTCTGTTTGCCTCCAACCTTCCTGCTGCCGATACTATATCAAACCTATGCTTGACACTCATCAAGCTTCCTAAAACACGTCCGGATCTCGTGACCCTCAATGTCACGTCATCCTCAAAGCCCATCCATCCTCACTTCCTCCCCTTCATTACTCCGTCTACTTTCTCGAGCAATCAGCCATCTCATCACTCTGTGTATTTGGATGGCGAGGATCGCGTCTTTGGTCAGGATCTTACGGCGATCCATACTAGGAGTGTAGCTCCGGAACCTCGAGATCCCGCATCTTCGTTCGACTTTGAGGCGCGAGAACGTAACAAGGCCCCAGAAAACAAGGACAAGAAGGCCGCTACGCCTGCCTCCGAAAGGGCGGAAAAGCGTCAAGTGCAGTGCGATGGCAACCAGGGGTGGGCAGAAGGGGTTGATCGGGCGGAACGCTTCTACCGGTATACCCTTCCAGCAGCCAATGCTGCTGAAGCTGCTGGGAGTAGTGAACAGCGTAAAGCCGATGCCAGGGCGAGGGGAGAAGGAGATAGACGTTTGATGATGGTCCGCATGGTTCCTGAAACATGGGATCAGCTGTCATATGCCAAGGTAGCTATGCCAATTCAAGCAGCCATCGGCGGCAAAACACAAGTGGCCCATAAGAGGAGGGGCCTAGAGGATATTCTGTCAGCCACGCAGCGTGCTGCGAAAGGCGGCCAATCAAAAGGCCACTCGACCGAAACAAGAACAATAGTGGAAAGAGACTCGTCACCAGTTTATGCGGGCAGTTCCAGCCCGAGTGCATCTCACCCACCGTCAGAGAGCGATTCTGGGGGCATCGTGCGTCACAGGCAGCCGCACAGGGTACTTGATGCTGGCGGTCGGACTATTTCGGATGTTCCCTCGTCCGAACCGTCAGGGCAATATGTGTACAAAGCGCCCCCCACCAACAAGGTTCTTTCTACAATGTATCGCAAGAAGAAGTCGGCTCGTCCTGCCCCGCCACCTCCTTCCAAACCCTCCCCTTTCGCCCCCCACTCGCGGCACGTGGCGTCCTTGTTGGGCTCGTCTTCCAAATCGACTCCCAAGAAGACTTCTAGCCATTCATCTCCTTCACTCGAGAGCAAAACGGTGCCCTCAGACGTAGGGCCCTCCCCAACACCTTTCACACCGTTGCCGCCAAAGCCCCATCTCAATCCGTTTGCCCCCAAACGCCCTACCATGTTGGCATCGTCGTCTCCGACATCAGCCACCGATGCTGACGGCTTGAGTTTTGACAGTGAGCCGGGGAAGAAGAGGACATTTGGTGGGGTACAAGGGGGCGACACGAAGCGGAGAGGAATGAAGATGTTTTCGGGAAAGCCCACTGGAATGCTGTTGAAGCGCGGTGGTACTTGAGCGTGCGCGAGATAATCCAATCCCGGGGCAAGGGAGCAATCGATACATGCATTGCTATCAGTGAGCTTGCGAAGGATAGCAGTGCTCCCTTCTTTGTGTGGAAAGCCTCGGTCGACGATCAGTCACTTTGGCTGGAGCTGCTCTAGCCTATTGTTGCTCAAGCTTAAATTATATCTTGACCATCAAAATCCGGTAAATTATCACACGATTGCAGTACTATACATCTAGGCTTGCTGTCAGATTTCACGAGCAATAAACACGAGCTAGCAACCCACATGAATACAATATCATGCAAAGAGTCGAGTGCGCTCTCAAAGAGGGCTTTCTGGAGGGTTCGTTGTAGACTGCCCTTCCGGTTGCTCACTCGCCTCTTGGACAGCCTCCAGTTCTTTATCGAGTAGTCTGGAGACGGCCATGAACCTGAGTGCAGTTAGCGGCGTTCAAGACAGCGTTGACTGGCTCACTGTGAACCACAGTGTATTCCCAACTTGGCAGTCGCGTCAAGCTGGTAGGCCATCATCTCTGTGAGCCCCTCGGTCTCCGCGAGGTTGGACTGGAGGACGCGGATGCGGGATGCGAGGGCCGAGTAGTGGCGCTGTTTTGTGCTGGATGCAGACATGCTAGAGATGCAAGAGCAAGCAAGTGGCATCTCTGGATCTATATGTATGGCTTGTTTGTGTACGCGCCGGTGGAGGTGTGTTACGTAAACCAAATTTCAGCCAGGACATAAGCAGATGCAATTCATTCGCTCTCTCTATCCGATCACCATGAAGTGGAACATCGGACCCCCTGCCCCCGTCCCCGTCGACCACCCCGCCCCCGCCTCCTCCTCAAACATCCCCGCCTCATGTCCCATGCACCAGTCCACCCCGCCACCCCCTCCCGACGCCCCTGCCCCCGCCGCGTGCCCCATAAAGCACGACGCCCTTGACCCCAACACCCACATGCCTGCCAACCTGTCTCTTTCCCGTCAGCCCAATCAGCAGCTCGACCTCCCCGTCGAACGTACTGCATCTACCATCCCCCGCCCCGCCTCCGGCTCTCCGGGAGGAGAGGCCTATGGAACTGGGAACACTTGGGACTACCCATCACCGCAGCAGTTCTACAATGCGCTGGTGAGGAAGGGATGGGAGACGCCTGAGGATAGTGTGGAAGTTATGGTAGCAATCCACAACTTTCTGAACGAGCGGGCTTGGGATGAAGTGATGAAGTGGGAGAAGCGGTTGCCGGGCGGTGAGAACACTCAACTGGTCAAGTTCCAAGGGCGACCAGGAGAGCTCAGCCCCAAGGCCAGGTTCCATCTCTGGGCGGGGCAGCTGTTCCCTTCAAAATTCAAGTGAGTGGTGACGCGGTTCTTCGATTGTCATACTAACAAGTGTGCAGCTCCGAGCCCCCTTTTGATAGACATGACTGGGTCGTCAAGCGTACCGTTCAGTCTGCCTCCAACTCGAATCCCTCCGTCCCCCCAGAAACATACGACGCACGCTACGTGATCGACTATTACTCTGCCCCTCCCGACGAGGACGGAAACCCCGTTTTCTCGCTCGATGTGCGTCCGGCACTGGATAGCTTTGAGGCTGTCAAGCAGAGAGTCGTGGTGGGTGTTGAGGAATGGTGGAGGGGCCAGGAGGTGGATTAGGTATAGTGGGGGCAAGCTGCGTTGCATTCTAGATGTTGTCGATCGTGCTTGATGCATATTCACATCTCTTTGATATCATCGCTATGTCATCTGAACGCTGGACACTTTCAAAGGCAGCTGAAAACCTGCGTCCTCCTCCTCGACGACCCATGGATGGCTCACGATGCTAGAGAGCCATCAGCACCAAAAGCGAGGAGAGTTTATAAAGCTCACGAAAACTTCTTTTCAATGAGCGGCTTGTTCTCCAATTCTTCAAAACGAAAGCTCTTGATCAACACGAACAGCATTACTTTGATTTCTGCCAGTGCAAAACGGAAGCCGATGCAGCTTCGCGAGCCACCCCAAAAGGTCAGGAGGTTGGAGTAGACCCCAGGGACAGACTTTGCGCTTTCCGGGTAGGTTTCTAGTGTGGGGTTGAGCCATCGGGATGGGAGGAACTCTTCAGCTCTGGGTCCCCATATCGAGAATTGGGTATTGGCGTTACTGATGGCTGGTGAGAAGTCAGCCAGGTGGTAATTCAAGACCATGAAAGTACCAACGCATCAGAATCGTCGTGCCCTTCCCGACCTCTACCCTGTCCATGAGATTACCGTCCTTGCCTGTGATAGGTGTGCTAAGGGGTATTGAGATGTCCTGTGAGGCTTCGCGCAGAGCAAGCGGAACGGGAGCGGATACTCGTAAAGATTCTTTGATCACGGCATCGAGGTATGGGAGCGCGTTGAGTGTGTCGCTAGCAACCATCATGAGTAATGCCCAAGAGCCAAAAGCGACTACTTGCATATCTGACTGCTGCTCTGAGATCTCCAGAAGCTCTTGACGTAGCCGGTCTTGAATTTCCGGGTGTTTTGCAAGTAAATAGATGCACCAGCAGAGCGCCGTCGAAGTTGTTTCGTATCCCGCCAACATCTTTTGACATGAGCTGTCATGCTAGCCAGTCAATTGTGACTGCTCACGAAAGTGTTCACTTGGTCTAGAATCTCCTCATCTGTGAGCCTTTCTTCTGGACAGGAAGCTGCCTGATTTTTTACTGTCACTTTGTCAGTAATGTCCTTGAGTGACTGCACCTCACGCATAGACGCCAAAAGCCCAATGTCTTGGTCATGATCCTTTTCCAGGTCAAAAGATCGTAAATTGTCTCTCTTTTCCCTGATGATCTTCTTTACCGGTAGCCACCATCAGTCATTGTTCCTACCTATGCCGGGGATGGATACTGACTCTCCCAAACTTTCTCGCCGTGCGCAAGCTTCGATCAAGAACTGCGGTGCGGTTGGTGGGCTACAAGGATCAGCACTGATAACGAGGAAAAGGTTTCTCACAATTCTCTTGAAGACAGGTAGCAAAAATTGCAATACAGTCATCACAGACACCCCTGTCCCAACTTGAAACATGCCCGTATAAGCATCAACCATCTCCTCTGCTTCTCCTCTGAGAGCATGGAAATCGTGGTCGAATTGCGCAACTCCCATCATATCGAGCGTGGCCCTGCTGATGTACCATAGAATGTTGATTCTGTTGTCCCTCTGGTCATCAAGATCAGAGGACAATCTCTCAGCCAGCTCGCGAGATTTCTCGTAAAAGATAGGTACCATCTTTCGTACAGCCGCTGGGCCCAAACTTGGGTTCAGAATCTTTCTCGTTCTTTTGTGAACATCACCCTCCTCCGAGACCAGCCCGTCTCCAATCATCTCTCGAAGCGCTGCTCTGACATGGACTGGTTTGGGGAAAGTGGCAGGGTGGGAGAGAATGTAAGAGATGGCGGCGAGATCAGCAGTGATGATGCGCGAGTTGCCGAGGAGGATGGGGTACTGGAAGGTCGGACCGTATGTGGTGAGCCAGTTCTGGTATGCTGTGGTTGGGTGGGGAAAGGAGTAAACGTATGGCAGGGCACCCCAGAAGACACTGGATGAGTATGGGCCTAGGTCCAGGTAAGACGTGGACTTGAGTCATAGTACAGCTGTACGTACCAGGCAAGTTGCGGTGGTGGGAAAAGTATCGCCGTATCGGCCAAAAGTAGAGATAGGCTGCAGTTCCCAGCAGGAGGGCAGCTGCCAGAAAGCGCGAGGCAGCGGCGGAGAGGAGAGAGGTCAGCAATGACAGCAGGTGGCCCATGGTCAGTGGGGTGTGAGGATCAGTTCAAAGGCAGGACAAGAGGTGGAAGCATGATACGATTGAATACACCCGGGCTGGATCGGCCTGTGCCAAGCAGCAACAAGGGTGATCGCCCCAACGCGCCGAACGATCGTTCATGGGGATTCGGACGGAAGAAAACCAAGAGAACGAGTAGCCACCGGTCGAGTAAATTCCACGTCACTCCAGTTTTGACATTGCTTTGACTCGCAGCCGAGGAGTGGCACTTGCAACTATTTTATGCTGAGCACCCGCCTTCTCTCCCAGGCCGCCAGATCCCAGACCCCGCTCCTATCCCCCGCCCGAAGGTTCAATCCCAAAAAAGTCACCGCCATGGCCGCTGCTGCCTCCACCTCCAAGCCCTCCGAGCTCACCGCTCCCGTCAAAACCGCCCATGCGTTCGACAAGAACACCCTCGACGCCCTCCTCGCCAGGCGATTCTTCTACGCTCCTGCCTTTGAGATCTACGGTGGTGTTGCCGGTCTTTACGACTTTGGGCCCACTGGTTCCGCCCTCCAGGCCAACATTCTCGATGCCTGGAGAAAACACTACATCATCGAGGAAGACATGCTCGAGCTCGATACCACCATCATGACTCTCGCAGAGGTTCTCAAGACCTCTGGTCACGTTGACAAATTTGCCGACTGGATGGTCAAGGACACCAAGACTGGTGAAATCTTCCGAGCCGACCACCTTGTCGAGGCCGTCATTGAGGCCAGGCTGAAGGGCGACAAGGAGGCCCGAGGTGTCAAGGAAGAGGTGAAGAAAGAGGAAGACGACAAGAAGAAGAAGAAGAAGAAGGCCGTCAAGTCTGAGGCCATCAAGCTCGAGGACGATGTTGTCGCCGAGTACGAAACCCTCCTCGCCCAGATCGACAACTTTACCGGTCCCCAGCTTGGTGAGCTCTGCCGAAAGCACAAGATCACCAACCCTGTCACCGGTAACGAGGTCTCTGAGCCTGTCGAGTTTAACTTGATGTTCGAGTCCAACATCGGTCCCACTGGTCAAATCAAGGGCTATTTGCGTCCCGAGACAGCCCAGGGCCACTTTGTCAACTTTGCTCGTTTGCTCGAATTTAACAACGGCAAGGTCCCCTTTGCCTCTGCCCAAATCGGTCGATCTTTCCGAAACGAGATTGCCCCTAGACAGGGTTTGCTTCGAGTCCGAGAGTTCACCATGGCCGAAATTGAGCACTACGTCGACCCCCTGGACAAGAGACACGCCCGTTTCAATGAAGTCAAGGATGTCGTCCTTACTCTTCTGCCTAAGGATGTCCAGAGCGCTGGTAAGACCGACCTCACGCAGAAGACTGTCGGTGACGCCGTTGCCGAGGTGAGTTACTTTTGTACGTGTGTGGTATGATGGCTGACACGAAGCAGGGCATCGTCGACAACGAGACTCTCGGTTACTTCCTTGGCCGAACCCAATTGTTCTTGACCAAGATTGGTATCGATCCCACCAGACTGAGGTGCAGGCAACACATGGAGAATGAGATGGCACACTACGCCGCTGTATGTGCTCCATCAAATGACACAATGTCCGAGGGTGGCGCTGACGAAATCGTGTAGGACTGTTGGGACTTTGAGATCCAGTCTTCCTACGGCTGGGTCGAGTGTGTCGGCTGTGCCGACCGTTCCGCCTACGATTTGACTGTCCACTCTGTCCGCACCAAGCAGCCTCTTCGAGTCCAGCAGAGACTCGACGAGCCTCGCATCGTCGACAAGCTCGAAATCACCTTTGACGCCAAGGCTTTTGGTATGAAGTTTAAGAAGGACGCCACGATGATCAAGGAATTCTTGTTGAGCCTTGAAAAGGACAAGTTGCAGTGTATCAAGGATGAGCTCGCGGACAAGCAGACTTCCGAAGTTCAATGCCCTGATGGCAAGTCTTACGAGATCAACTCTGATCTTGTCAAAATCAACCCCATCACCGTGACCGAGCACAGTCAGTCACTTGCTCTCCCCTCTCTCCCTACCCCTCCAGCTAACATGCTATAGTGCGTGAATTCACTCCCAACGTCATTGAGCCCTCCTTCGGTATCGGTCGAATTCTCTATTCTCTCCTCGAACACACTTACTGGGCTCGAGAACAGGATGCTGCCCGTGGTGTTCTCTCTCTCCCCTCTATCGTCGCTCCCATCAAATGTCTCATCGTTTCCATCTCACAGGATGCTACGTTGAGGAACAAGATCCACGAAATCTGTACGCAGTCATCCTACGATACGTGCTCCGCTAATGGATGTGGCAGCTCGACAGATGAGGAAGCGTGGTATCGCCAGCAGGGTGGATGACTCTTCCGCCACCATTGGTAAGAAGTATGCCCGAAACGATGAGCTCGGTACTCCTTTCGGCTGTACCGTTGACTTTGCCAGTAAGTCACCTCTACCTTCCCGCTCAACCGCAGCTGACTTCAAGCCTAGCTATCCAAAACGGTACCATGACCCTCCGAGAGCGAGACTCCACCCTGCAACTCATCGGCTCCATTGAGGATGTGGTGTCTGTTGTGGACCAGCTTGTGAAGGGTACACTCGACTGGGAGGGTGCGAGCCAGAAGCTGCAGTCTTATAGCGGTGTGCAGGATGTTGAGGCTTAGATGTAAATTTACACCCGGATAGGATTATCTCTATGCATCATTCTAGGCTATGTTTTGGCCTGTTCGGGCGTCGTTCGTCTATATATACTGTCTTGTCTGCGAGGTTGCCATCTTTACTGGCAAATCGCAGATTGTGGCCAATTGGTGATGTCACGATATTATGGAGCAGTCAAGGAGTTATCATTCAGCTCTGATTCAGCTTTTGTTCAGCTTGCATTCAGCCATAAAGTTGTTGCAGTTGGCCGATAGCCTCGTTGCTGAACTCTACTGGACCATAAAACCCCGACATGCGCCTTCGACCGTCTGAGCAACAGTGGATATTCCCCAAATCTGCGCTGTCGCGTACCCCATCCCATGCCGACGGCCACTCTCTCGAAAGCGAACTCCGATCTCGCAGAGAATGTATCAGAGACATTCGCTCCCTCCTCCTTCGCACGATTCAAGAAACGTGAGTTCTGATCCTTTTCTCATCGGTATCCCTAACAAGGTTGTATAGGAACGGCCTCAATGTAGACGACTCCAAACGCACCCACAAGCTGGCACAACACTTCCGCGGTCTTTTGACCGTCTGCGCTACCCTCGTTCATCGCTTCTACATGCGCCGCTCTCTGAAAGACTTTGGGATCCCTGTGGTGGCGGGAACAATTTTGTGGATGGCCAGCAAGATTGATGAGTCGTCGTTGAAACTGAGGTATATTGTGAACAATTGTTTGCACAAGTATCACCCTTTCGAGGAAGGGTACACTCCTTGGATTATCAAGGATGTTGAACGCGCTCCTGTAAGCTTATCTCTCGTGAATAGAGATATCATGGGCTGATCAGTGTAATATATAGGCACAGAGTGCGGGACACAGCGAGTTTGAGAATAGTATCGTGAACACTGAACAAATAGCCCTCGAAGCGCTCTGCTTCGATCTTGACATTGAACAGCCATGGGTTATTCTCTGGAGGAGTGTCAAGGGGCTCGATGAGCTATCTGGTGTGGAGGACAGGAAGAGTGGTGAGAAGGCGAATGGACATGGCTCTGGGGTGAAAGTTTCAGAAGCTTTGGTGACTGCTTTGGGGTGGCCAATCTTATCAGAAATGTACGTGGTCATATGTCAGTCTGAGCCGCTCTCTAACCTTTTCGCAGATCACTATCACCGATGCCAATTTTGTATCCCGCCTCAACAATTGCATTCGCGACGTTTGCCATCATAATATCATCAATCGAGAGCGTACCCCTATGCCAAGGCCTTTCTGCCGCGGCGGAGTTGGGAGACAAGTTTCATCTGGATGTGCGCTTCTCGGAGGAAGGTCCTGTGGGGAATGATCTGGAGATGATCAGCGGTGAGTGAGATTGCGATACAATGTACAGGGACCACACTGACATAGACAAGGTTGTCTGGAGTCGTTCCGTGAATATGTAAAGATGGAACTGATAAGTTTCGATTACGTCAGATATATCCTGGTAGGTCATTGGATCGTGAGGCTGAGGATTGTACTGATTATTTCGTTGAAGCCTGACCCAGAAGGTGGTTTGTCCAAACCCGCGAAGCGCCGCTTCGGTCCCAACTCGACAGTTGGAGAGGCTTCTTCGGACGGCACCACAGAAAAAGGCAAGGATGAAGGGAAAGAACAGTCGGGCTCGAGCCAAGAGCAAGCGCAGAGGGTTGAGAGGACGAAGAGAGACGCGGAGGAGGGCGAAATGGCATCACGGTCGCAGGCGGTTATCGGGGGCGCTGAACACTCAACCCCTACACCGCAGTCACGACCGGCTACTCCCGCTCCTCCAGACTCTGCCGTATAAGCATGCCACCACATCATAGAGCATTACATCATAGAGCATTACAACATATTACAGTTATGACCCACAGGGACTTATACGCCCATGGCGGCCAACCACCGCCTCGGGCCATCGGCACTACCGCCTCTCCCGCCTGGTGCAGATAGAACAGAGGGGATCAGGGTGTTGGATGCAGTTGCTGATTCTTTCCTGTTCTTCGTGGTGCCTCGCACTATACAGGAGTGTGAGCCAGCGTCATGAGTCGAGTATGCGAACGCACCACACGCGGAGATCTCGTTGATGTTTGTTTCCAGGACGAGTCCGCCTTGTATGATCTCAGACAAGACATGGTGGACCTTGATAGCATCTATCAGCAAATGACACTCAGACTTCGGATACACGTACCTCGTCAAAGTGGAATATCAAATCCAACTCGCAGACATTCTCGAACGCTCGATCCAGAGACTCTACAAAGACCTGCACGGTACGCGTCAGCCCATTTCCACTTGTTCGGCTCACGCTACACACTTGTATCAAATCCAAAATGCCCAGCTCACTTTCCGCCCCATCGACAACAAAGACAAAGTACAACGTCGCATAATGCCTGTAGATCACCCGGGAGTCATCGTCCTCGGCCACAGCCATCTTTTCTCCCACAGAGCTTCTCTCTCTCTCCTTGGTGTCTTTCAGGGACTGGGGAGTGGGAAAGACAAGGTCTGGGGCATCGAGAAAGTTGCAGACGCCGGCTGGGCGGTCTTGGATGAGGGAGAAGATCTGGGAGATGAGGGACTGCTGTACGAGGGGCGGGAGTGGGGTAAAGAATTTGGAGAGGCGGGGCTTGCCGATGGTGTTGAATATGAGGACGGCATGGATCATGGTGCGCGAGAGGGACAAAGAGGGGAGAGCGAGGATAGACTATAGAGACAGCAGCGCGGAGGTGGCCGCCGAGCCATCTGCGCCGGGCTTTGGTTCCGCCAGGCACCGCGACTTTCTCCAGTGGCTCACCACATCCCTTAAAACCCGATTCTCCATGGACTGCCCCTTCTCCTGACCAGCTTGCACTCACACCATGTCCCTCTCAGCCCCCATGTCCATGCACTACACCCCCCCTCAGCCAGCACACCGCTGCCTCAAGCGCTCACCTGAAGACTCGGGCGAGAGCGATGCTGAGGCGGACACCCTCCCCCGCCATCCCAGAGCTCACACCAAGCCTCCCATGACCCACGACGTCGACATCGAGACAGACAAGGAGAGCGAACAGGGCTGTCCAGAACGCTCGGCATTCCTGCGCCTTCCGATAGAAGTATGTTGACCAGCACGCAAATGTGCACAGCGCACGCTGACACTTTCCACGCCCAGATTATAGACAAGGTATTGACTTCTTTTGGCGATCACGACAACATATCGCTGGCGAGATCTGCAATGACCTGTCAGGAGATGAGAGCTCACATCTACCTGGTGAGGCAGACTGGGCGCAGGCCGTCTGTGGTGCATGCTAACGTCCGACAGAATCCTGACCAGTCCATCTGGAGAGACATTTTCCTGCAGAACTACGACGATTCCCGAAGGGCCGCAGCACCCTGGGAAAATGCCCACACTGAAGAGATTGATTGGAGACAGAAGGTGAAGGACAGAGAGTTCGTCTTTCGCGTACTGGACCTCTGGCAGGAGGAAAAGTGGGACGAAGCTGTGAGTACGCGATAGAGAGTCGTGGCGTCGAGACTGACCATGATGTAGCTCCGTCACTTGGACTTGATCTGTGACACTCTACTCGACATGTACCTCGATCTTCCCTCTACAGCAGAGGACGAGTGCCAGAACCAACAAGACTCTCCCAGGCCTTACCGCCCTCATGCCTCAATGAACACACCCATCCTCACATACCTCTGCTCCTCCCCCTTGTTTATCCATCTTTACCGCAACCATCGCCTTTACCCCCAGTCTCCCGGTCATCCGCGCCTCCGACCTTTGGCCGGTGCCCGACAAATCCCCCAATGGTCTGTTAGGCGCCAGATCAGGACACACACCAACCCCAAGCTCGCCAGACTGCACACACTCCTGCCCCCTCATTTCGACGAGAATGACGAGGCTGATAGAGAGTGGAGAGGCTTCATGAGAGAGCTGGTGTACTCTATCAAGGGCTTTTCCGAAGCTAATGACCATGGGCCTTTCCATGCGGATGGAACTGTGGACTGGGTCATTTGCGATGCCATCGGATCTGTCATGAGTAAGCTGCCGTACATTGCTATAGATCAAGGCTGATACAGAGCAGTGTCGAATGCCGACGAGGTTATGGACAACCCCGAGATCAGCGAGCATTGGCGAGGCTCGATTGTACCTCGATCTTATGGCGTCGAGCCTACCCGTGGGTGGGGCTTCTCGCACGTCGAACGACCTTTGGAGCTGCCGAGTAACCAGGTCTGGGACTGGGCCGGTGTTGAGGGTACTTGGGAAGGCTCATACGCCTTTATCGAGTGAGTTGATCCTTTCTACATAAACCCCTGTTCTTATCGAATTTTGTAGCTACACCGACTGGATCTCTCTCAATGAGCCTCAGCTCATCCTTCAACGCGGCCGAGTCGCCCAGCTCGATCTAACGCGATACCACGAAGCCGTCGGCGACCTCATGCGTCTCCGTCTCGTCCTCGATAATCCCACGGACCCCCCCACTCATCATCTCCCCCACATCGCTTCCAACCTTCCTGTTTCCAACGCTCTCCCTCCCATCCGATTTGTGGGTGCGTCGCTTTCGAGCAACGATGTGGAGCACCCCTCGCCACCTTTGGGATTCGTCAGGGGCACGGTGCAGCTTACGACGGATAATCCGCCGCAGGTGAGGTGGACTTTGGTGATCAGGTATGGAGGGGCGGACAGGTGGACGCTTGAAGCTGTTCATATGGGAGGGCGAGGAAGCAAGAGGGGTTTCTTTGGTATCTGGACGGATGCCGCCAAGGAGGCTCATACTCCTAATGGGCCCCTCTGGTACTGGAAGAGTTAATGTGTATCCTTCTGTTGCATCTCCGACTTTGTACTCTACACGTACTGTAGAGTACATGGTCCTAGAATATGTTTGTCCGTTGCTTGTCTCCAATACTTGCGTTTGTAATGTTGAGTCTCCTTATCCTAGACGTTGTATGATTATAGATGGGTCTAGATGTTTTTGTTTTGTAGATCACACTATATGTATTGAGCTTTTGACTATACAGTGCTCGTACTGTATACCAATCGATCAAGTCCACAAATAGACGACAGAAAAGTCGAAAGGTTCACGTTTACATATACAGACTAGTCCCTACCCGTCAGCGGGAGACCAGAAGCCTTGACCAGATCCTCCTTGAGCTTGCGCCTCTTGTGGGCATTGGTCTCCTCTGGCTCCTCTTCTCCCCTGGCACGAGAATTGGCGCCTCGTCGGGGCTGCCCCTCCTCCTCTTCATCATCAGACTCGCCCTCTTTGCCAATCATACTGACCAATGGGTCAGCTTGGGAGATGAATTGAAACGAACGATGTCCACTTACATCTCTTCAATGAACTTGGCGGCAGCCTTTGTGGAGAACTCAACCTCGGCCCTAGCACCCCACTTCCATTCGCAGGAAGCCCCTTCGCGCCCACCCCCGTGGCCAGGAATATCAATTTTTTCAAGATATCGCGTTCTGGCAAGCTGGTCCAAGAACTTGTCGAGAGTCAACAAGTCGCCAGTGTTGTCTTTGGAAGAGTAAGGTAGGACGGTCTCGCGATGGAGGTTGAGACGTTTGAGCAGAGCGTGCAGGTTGTCTGGTGGAAGGTCAGCCCACACGAGACTCGTGGGCCACAAGGCTCACCATCAGAGGTAGCTCGTCCAAGACCCATGATAAGAGACAAGATGAGCGTCCGAAGGCCCATAAGGCCAACGTGACCAATGACGCCGCCATCCGCCTTGTCCCAGGGTAAAAGAGCCCCAGAATCCTCCGCTTCCTCGACCTGGTCTTGTGTCTCCTGAGGAAGAGGTCTTGGGTTATTCATAAAGTCGATGATTGAGCTGGGCAAGGTGGATTGGAGAATATAGACACCAGAACCGGTTTCTATCGGCATCAGTCAGTCAGTTTAATCTGTCGATCGTCGATGGAAAGACGGTCCCACCTTTGGTCCGTTGCGTAGCGGCAGGCTCATCGTCTTCCTCATCCTCCTCCTCTTCTTCTTCCACGGCGTTTAATCCTCCATTGGATGGCCTTGCTCGCCCTTTTCCCTTGTTTTTCTTTGACTGGGTAGCTGCAGCTTGGCTCTGCTGGGCACGGACAGAAGCGTCGGGGGCGGCAGCACCCTCATTCTTCTTTCGGAGTTCAACCATTTCACAGCCAAAAGTCTCGCGCAAGATTTCCTGAGCACGCACCAAGACAGCCTTGAAGGATCTCTTGTTGTTGGGAACAACTGTAGAAACGAGATAAGTCGGCGAAAGCCCCATCATCAAAGCCGACACGTCTTACCTTCTTTCGCGGCATCAGCGCGTCTTATCGGAACCCGTCTGTATTCCTGAAAAAGCGCGAACCTGACCAACATTCCAGCGCGAGATTCAATATCCTACTCCATTGGTAAGCATGTGCTTTCTGATGTCGGAGTATGGGATACACGCGAGCCAAAACGCGTGATCAAAAACACGCACCTTGTTGCTTAAAGCGCCAGAGGGGACCTCCTCCTCCTCGTCCTCGACGTCAGAACTCTCGGGTTGGGCCTGGGTAGCCCTGCCTTTCCCCTTCTTGTTGGCATTGGACGCTCTAGGAGCCATAGTGACTGATTGATAGTTGTATAGAACATTGCACAGCATTCTCCCATGTCGCGTCGCGTACAGCGGAAATAATCATTACGTAATCTAAGGAATCGTTTTATGTGGCACCACCACCACCACCACGTGCACGTGCATAGCAGTGCAGCTCAGCAGTTCCCCCAAGCCCAATAATGCACACCTGAACCGGAGATGATCAATGCATCATCCATTCTATTATGAACAAGAATGCAAAAGCCATCACACTATCCACATGATAAAACCAAACATCAAGCAAAATGAAAAAAGGAATGTGCGACAGAGTCGCAAAAATGCTGAGTGCCACGATGGGCGAGAAGTCATAATGTCATTAAACCTCCGCCTTTCTCTACCTTCTACCTTGTTTCCTCTCCCCGTATCTATCCTCCATTGCCGCCACTATTATAAGTCTACATTGTTTCTACAACCTCAACTGGGCCTCAATCCAACCTGGGCCACTTAAGGGAAGCCAGCAGCAGCGACCTTGTCGGGCACCTGGCTCTTCAAGTGCTCGACCAAAGCACCAAGCTCGGCCTTGACCTCGTCGGTAGTGTCGTCGACGTGGTTGGGGTCGAGGAGGATGTAGGCAAAGGCCTGGAGGAAAGTGTCGATGTGGGCAGTGATGAGCTGAGGCTGGGTTCGGTAGACCTGGAAGAGCGCTCGGAAGACGGGGCCGTTCTCAAGAGGGTCAAATCTCAAGGGGAGAACGGACGCGATAGCGCCAACGACGTCACCCAAGGGAAGAGCGGCGGCGTTCTTGCTAATCATGCGGGCAACAGCACCGGCAGCATTGTCTCGGGCGTTGTAGAGCGCTGGGGGAGCGTGCTCAGGAGGGGTGAACAGAGGCTGGAGAGCCTGAAGAAGAGCACTGTAGTGACTGGAGAGATCGGCTTCAGAGTGTTCGATAAGGACACCGGATGCGAAAGCAGCATTGGAGCGCACATCGGGGTCCTCGTCGATGATCCCTCGAGAGATGACCTGGAACAAGGGCTCGGTGAACTGGGTCACACCGCCCTTCAAGCCGACAATAATCTCGCCGAGACTGCCGATGGCCATGGACCTCTCGGTATTTGTCCTCTTGGGCTCGGTGTACTTGGCAATCAAAGGCAAGACTTGGCCGAAAGCCTGTTGGAAATCGGGTCCGAGGACAGTGGCAAGCGCACCAAAGACATCGGCGGCGTTGGAGACGAGGGCAGCCTCGTACTCGGAAGAGTCGGCGTCGGCCGAGTTCTCATCGTCTCCATCAGGGTCCTGTTGACAGAGAGACTTCTTCTCAAGGATCTCGATAGCGAAAGTGGCAACCTCATCGAGGTCTATTTGACATCAGTGATAATTCCACGCAGAAAGGAGACAACTTACAGCCCTCAATGATGGCGGGACCGCACTTGTTCATCGTGTCCGCGAGCTCGGCACACATAAAGATGACGACAGACCTGATGAATTGTTGTCAGCTTTGCCAGTACAAAACATGTCTTGTATAGTATGAAGGACAAGGTATATCAGGGTCTAATTAAAATTCGTTTAAAGCCTCATAGCCTAAAGGGCTCGGGGTTTTGACATAATTTCTCATCACGCAAAGTGTACCAGACAGAAGGGGAATTGGAACCAAACTCACTGGTCATCTTCAGTCTTCCAAGTCTCAAAGATCTTGGGGAGGACGAGCTGGGCAATGCTCTTGACGTGGTCGTGAAGGGGCACGGCAACCTTGGCTCCGGGAGTCCACTCGGGAGCATCGGAGAGCTCGTACATGGTCTTGACGAACTGGAACAAAGCTCCGACGGCAGACTTCCTGATGCCTTCATAGTAGTGGTCGAGCAAATCGAGCAAGACCTGAACAGTCTCCTCGACGTAAGGCATGAAGGCAGCCTTGGTAGCGGAGAAAAGCTCTCCGATGGTGTCGGAAGCGACCTCCTTTTCGATAGCGACGGCACTGTTGACCTTGGAGAACATGTCGTCGAGTTCGTTGATGTCAGTCTCGTCATCTTCGTCTTCCCAGGTGCTGTCACCCTTGCTTCCGCTAGCAGCAGCGTTGAAGGCATCGATCAGCTGGGCAGGGTTGGAACCATCCTCGTCAAGCTCCTCAGCCGTCTCGCTCTGTTGGCAGGAAGCGATCAGAGCAGGAACACACTGAGGGAGGTACTGGGCAAAGTCGTTGGTGAAGACCTGAGCCATGATACCAAAGAAGATGAATGAAGACTCCCTGAGACGAGAGTTGTCCATGGTAAGGGCCTCGAAGGAGGCCTTCATGAGGGGCTGGAAGTAGGGGCGGAAGACATCGGCGCCCACAGCGTCAGCGATGGTACCGATGGTATCGGTAGCAACACCACGGAGGTCGCTCTGTTCGTCAGACTCCTGGAGCTCCAGGAAGGGCACCAAACGCTGGATAGTTTGGTCAAAGTAGGGCACAAACTTCTCCTTGGCAGCATGAGCAGCAGAACCGATGGCACCAGTGACGGTGATCTTGACGGCAATGATGCCGTTCTCGAGGAGGACGAGGAGTCGCTCCATGAGAAGAGTGAGGTAATTTACAATGTCGTCACCAAGGATTTCAAGGTAAGAGTCGAGACAGGTACAGGCGTTCTTCTGGGTGGCAGGCTCAACTATGAGGTTGAAAAGGATGGGGACGATGACAGAGTGCCTAGTAGCGCACTCTTCAGCGAGCCATTCACAGAGACACCCGAGAGCGATACAAGCGGCCTTTCGGACGATGACCTCGGGGTCTTGCAAACCACTCTCAATCACGGGCCACAATTGGTCGACGTGAGGTCGAATGTACTCGCTGCAGCCCTCGACAGAGACACCAAAGGCCATGAGAGCAGACTTGCGCATACTGGCGTCACCAGCCATGTAGACTTGGAGCTGCTGGGTGAGGACTGGGAAGACCTGTTGAGGAGGAAGAACCTGGGCGAGGGTGTCAAGAGTACGGAACGCGAGACGAGAAGGAGAGTCCTCGTCGACGTCCTCGGGATCGTCCTCAGTGCCGACAGGCAAAAGAGCCTCGATGATGGGCGTGGCAAGACCGAGAGCCTGAACCTTGCTCTTCTTGTATCGAATGACCCAAGAAAGGACGTTGAGGGCACCACACCTCATCTCGTCTTCGACGTCCTTGTTGCCGGCGACGCCGAGGAAGAACTGTACAAGGTCACCAACGTGCTTGCTGACAAGGGGAGCCTCGAGGATGAGGAAGGTCTCGAAAGCATCGTAACCGTGCTTGACACCCTCGTCGTCGCCGTCCTGGATGGCCTTCTCCAGAACCTTGAGCATGGGGACGATCAAGTCCTGGAAGGCCTTGATGTCATGCTTGTCCTCGACCTCGATGTACTCGGCCACCTTGGCGAGAGCTCGCAGGGTGGTGACTCGAACTTCGGCAGATTCGGGGTCGACGAGAGAGACGGAAAAGGTTTCAAACAGACTGGCAAGGTGGTCCTGGAAGTTTTCGGCAACGGTGTCGAGGATAGAGAACAGGACGTAGATGGCCGTTTCTCGGTGAGTCTTGTCAGAGGAGCGGGCGGCCTGGTAGAGACCGGGCATGAGGGTGGGCCATTGGGACGGCTGGGTGGCAAGCTCGAGATCCGCGATGGCAGCGACAGCCTGGGCCTGGGAATGTCTGACGATGGGGCTACATGATATCAGCGACCGTGCATGCAGACGTCTCGAGGGCAACGTACGAAGTTTCACCCGTCAGTCGCTGGAGCAAGCTGTCCTTGATCTGCTGTCTCAGCTGCTCGGGGTTCTTCTTCCACATCTTGCCATCTCGACTTGATATTCTCTTTCGCAGCTCGACGGCGGCCAATTGCCGGATCTAAATTTCACGTCCCTTCAGTGGGTGTTCGCGGCGACGAGAGGTGCAAGCTCACGGAAGGGTTCTCGTTGGTGCATGAGATCTCATAGAGGGCGGGGATACAGGCGGGGTCCTTGTAGAACTGGGTGTTGAGCTGGGTGGTGGCCTGCGGGGGGGTGAGCTGTGCGGGGGGTGGGCTGGGAAAGACTGACGGCCTTGATGAGGGCTGTGTCCGGGGCGATGGTGGCCTCGAGGAGCTGTGTGAGGGCGGGGATGTAGTTGGGCTGGGGTTGTCAGCGGGGCCGGCGCTCAGTTGCACTCACGTCCATCTTGGCTTTTGGGAGAGGAAAAGACACTGCAGCAATTCGCCCTCGCCAAAAAAAGTTGCCAAAGCCCGTGCACGGCAAATTTCATGGCCACGTAAGGGTATGCTTATGTAATACGGTGGAGGGCCATCATGTATATGTCGGTATGTATGCATTGTATGAACCAACCATTCATATGCCCTCGTATGTAGGCATGCAGCGCTGTGAGCACAGGGTACTCCCTCACTGCTGGCTGCGAAAGGGCGCAAGCTGCCATGTGCTTGCCTCGTGGCCCGTCGCTGATCCTCACTGGCCATACCGCCATACAGCCATTCGGATCTCTACAGATGGTCTCACGTCACTGCTGATGCCGTCCCAGCCCATCCATTCCTCGTACGCTCCAGAGTGTGCCGGGGCCAGGGTGGGAGACCATATTGAGACCTACGAACAGCCTCTTCCACAACAGCTCGCCTCCATCGAAGCTGCTCTCGCCCTCATGGTGGTCCCGGATAGCGAAGACCTCGATCAGCAACAGCACAATCGCTTCGTCCATGCCCTCACCAAAAGCCTTCCCTATCCTCAATTCCACCACCATTCACCTTCTCGCCAGACTTCCGCCACCTTTGCCCACAATCCCATATCCATAGACTGCAGCCCTTTCGACCTTGGTCGTTCCAATAGTCTCCACCATCCCACTGCTACGCAGCCTCTCACCCATGCCACTTCCCAAGTCATATCGCCCGCCTTTCACGCCCTCTCTCAGCCCGACATTGTGGTGCGCTTTGTCAACCTACCTCAGCGTTCCGTGTGTCTGCACAGGCTGTATGGCGTAGGCGTCGTCAAGATGATCCAGCTCGATGAGCTGGGACAAGCTTGCTCACTGCTCGAAGCCAATGCGCGATTCCGTCAGGGTGTCGCGCTGGCTCTTCTCCATCTTGCGACTGCATTCCAGATAGACGGTGCTTGGTTGGGGATCAGCCTCGTCGGATCGAACTTCTCCAGGATCGTCATGCTTGATGACCGTCATGCCGTCGTCGAGACCTCGCCAACATCCGCACATGCTTACCCTGCCTTCCAAAGCGTCGCCGCCTACTTTCAATCTCACGACTATACCTCGCTCGGCCGAAACCTCCTCGCCGTTGATCAAATATCCTCAGACAACCCCTGCAATATCGATCCGGATTCCTATCTCTTCTTTGCAGACTTTTATACCGTGCTGTTTGCCGTCATCAGGCACTCTATCGTCGAACAAGCCCTGTCCCCACTCGACAAGTCGACCACCATGCAAAATCTCTTTGGCGATATTCTCAACGACATCCGCGAAATGCCTCGGGCGATTGCAGTAGACACTCGGCGGGAGAGGAAAGATGTGACCACAAGTTCGTTGGCGAAACGGAAGGGATTCACTCATATCACAGAGTTAAGTGGGGATGGGCGATGTGATGACGAGATTCACCGCGCTGAAAGTCACGGGAGTTCGCCACATGGGTCAGGCTTCTGGACCAAGGAGGCAATTGGGCGATTGGACAAGCATCTGCGAGATAAAGTCTGTGAGTTGTACTGTGTCCTGGACCCGAGTTACTGCTGATAACCCATACAGCACCCAGCGTAGCCAAATGGCAGCAGGGTGTAGCCGAAGCTGGACATCCCACCCTGTCTGTCGATCCTGCCGAGTTCTTCTACACCGAAGCGTCAGCGCGTCAAGATCTTTGGCCAGGTCCCCCCGAATACTGTCACGGTCGAGATCCCTATGACATGATCACTGCTCTGGATATCAGAATCCTCCCCGTAGATACCGATACCTTTGAAAGATTCGTGGCACGGCGGATGGAGCAGGCAGGCGTATTGTATTCGGATAGTTTGGAGTGAGTTGGGAGACGGCAGGAAGGCTCCGACATCCCTTCGCGAGATGAGGAAGAGGGGCAGGTTACACTCCTCATTGCATAACATGGACAATCATCATACGAGTGTCTGGTCGGACAAAGGTTTGACAAATAGAGGAAGCTGCAGCCCAGCTTCCTCCTCTCCGACTACCCGCGGCCTCATCACGACGCTGCCATTGAATCAGTCAAAGTTTGCATATAGAAAAAGAACAACTCACGAAACTTTCCTCTCTATCTCTGGCCGACTGTTTAGCTCTTCAAATTCAAGTTAATATTAGCTTCTGGGAAGGTGTGTCTGAGAGAGTCATTTGGTGACTTTTCCGGGGCAGGTCAAAGTCCCAGACTAATATAGCGATTGACCGCAGGCCATTATAATCCCCTAGACCTGATACCGTCGGATGCAAGAGCACTTGTAAGATCAGTACCTTGAGCTGCCCCGAAGGAAGGCAATCTCACCCTTAAAGCCCATCGACTAGATTCAAAACTGTGTACCCCACAACGTCTATTCCAGTATTGTGCCGCCTTTGGCCTTTGGCCTTTGACTCGGATGCTTTGTGTGCTGCTTCTGTTTGTGGCCCGGGGAATTTGCGTGCCCGTGCTGTCGATTGTCCGGAGGCATTGTGGCATATGTATACAGCGAGACTTGTCGTGTGCTACCCCCTTCGAAACGCAACACAAGAGAAAGAGGAGCATTATTGCACAATTGGCGCCGCCGCAATTGCATTCAGTTAAGCAACAACTGATGAAAAGGCAAACGAGATGGACAATGTTACGTAATTCGGCCTTTCGGGTGACCGCTTGCTTGGGCCATTTTGCTCTGCCCGTATATTCTTCTCTGCTGATTATCGTTCAACATCCCCCCATCCGCCATGAACCCGTCCTACTTCCTGCCAAACGCGTACGACGATGGACAGGGCCCCTCGTCCCGGCAGTACGACGACGGTTCTGCCTCGGAATCAGACGCCTCTCTCTCCCCCGAACCCCTCTACCCCCACAATCCCAACGAACACTACTCCCATTCCCAGCCACATCACTTCCCTTCCCATCCCCAACAACCCCACGAAGAGCAGCGCCCTCCTCTCCAGACCGGACCAATGGTCGCGCCTCATCAGGATCTGGATTCCTTCCTCGAGTCCTTCTGGACGAGACAGATGGACACTGTCGAGGGCGAGACGCCAGACTGGAAGAGCTACAATCTTCCCTTGGCAAGGATCAAGAAGGTAATGAAGAGCGATGAAGAAGTAAAGGTGAGTAGCCATTGATACAATAACGAGCACCGCTGATGCACAGCGAGTAGATGATTTCGGCTGAAGGTAGTCGATATTCCACATTTGCCGTTCCAGTGCTGACAACATCTTCCCATAGCACCTATAATGTTCTCCAAAGCCTGCGAGAGTGCGCCACTTCTTTACGCGATTGAGGCTGGTTGTCTGACGCGATCTTAGTATTCATATCCGAACTCACTTGCCGCGCGTGGTTAGTCGCCGAGTCAAACAAACGCCGCACTCTACAGAAATCGGACGTGGCAGCTGCAATCGCGTACTCGGACATGTTTGACTTTTTGATCGATATCATCCCTCGAGATGATGGCGGCAATGGGGGGACGGGTGCAGCGGGGCCCTCGGGAAACGGCCAGGGGAGTGGAACCCAAACAGGGGGCCAAGGCAGTGTGGCGCAAGAGGACGGGGTAGAGGAGGAAGAAGGGGAGGGAGAGCCATACGAAGGTACGGAGGGTGGAGAGGAAGGCGAGGATCTGTATGGCGAGTATGTGCAGGACGAGTAGTCAGCTGTGTATAGTATGATCTTGCTGTAATGGCAATATGGCTTTGTTGTGTTTTTTTTCTTCACATGAATAAATAGATTCATCAATTCGTTTCCAAGTCCACTCAATCTAGCAAGCACCACGTCGATGGAGCGCTAAGGCCCATTAACACTCATCCTATTGATCCCAGACGTCACGCCCTCGGCACCAATCTGGGCAGGTGCAACATGCGCATAAGAGCGTCCGTCAGGCATTCCATACCCAGCACTTTGCGGCGCTTGCCCATAAGCAGGAATCTGATGGTAGTACTGCTGCGATTGCTGGTGAGGCTCACCCTGCTGCTGGTGATACGCATCCCATTGCTGATGCTCCCCGGAACCTACCCCCGCCACACCCGGCTCAGTCGTTGTCCTCGAAGGTGGAGTATGAGGTGGGTACGGCGGGGCAGCTTGGGGAGGGGCACCCTGTTGGTAGCCCTGCGTCTGTTGCCCCGGGGAGCCAGCAGCTGGGACAGGGGCAGAAGCGGATGCGACTCGGTTCACGGAATTGGTGCTATTGCCTTGCTGATAATACAAGCCCTGTTGGGCTGGATCATGCTGAGGAGCATACTGCTGCTGCTGGAGACGGGGCTGCTGTTGAGCCCCAGAGGCGGGAGAAGCAGACTGCTGTGGGTACCCTGCTGACGGGTATTGTGTCGACGGGTCAGCGGGGAAAGGTGTCTGACCATGAGCAGCTTGCTGGGGCTGTTGCCCATGGTACGAGTTCTGAGTGTGGAGCTGAGGTTGAGGCTGAGGAGCATAGTCGTAGACTTGACCCTGGCCCACTACTGGGGGAGGAAGAGAAGGAGGATTTCGCAAGTCTTCGTACTGCCTTATGGCCCTGATAAAGTTGGAGTTCATGTGATCCAGCTCGGCTGATATATGTCAGTAAAAACTTGGCTACAATGCACGTATTGAACGCACCCTTCTGGTCCGAGTACTTCTTGATGAGGGCATTGATCTGCCCTTGGAGAGCTACGCTGGCCTGGTACATTTCCTCGATTTCTGGTCTGTCATCCAGCCTGTCTCCGCGGGCAGGATCGATTCCCTTGAGAGTTTGCAACAGTTGATCAACGAGGCCTGCGAGAAACAAGTCAATAACCTTTCTGCAACCTTACATTGTCAACTCACCCAAAGAAGCAAAAACCCTTGCCTCCTCCTGAGCCTCCTCTTGCAATTCCCTGGTGGACAACTCTGGTAGACCTTCGACATATGTCACTGGAAAGATACCGATTTTCCCATTACAGGCTCCTCGCCACCATTCCTTGAACCCCCTATCAAGCACTTTGATCACATCACCCCTATCAAAGTCAAGCTCACCAACCTCTGCACTCGTGAAGGGGTAGATGGCGCGCACGCGGGTGGCAGTGTTGATATCGATCTGAGGAGGCGTAGACTCGAGAGGCTGGGGCGACTGGATACGCTGAGGCTGAGGAGGGTAGTGGGAATGTGCAGGCGCTTGGATAGCTGGTTGTTGTTGATACTGGGACTGTGTAGGTGCTTGGGCATGAGGCTGAGAGGGGGCGGGGATGGGAGGCTGGGAAGCGGCACCAGAGGGGCCGGAAGAGGACGAAGCCCCAGCAGACCCAGAGGGTTGGTAAGTAAAAGTTGAGCGCCCGCCTTTGTCTTGCTTGGAGAGCTCGAGAACACGCTGGAGCTCTTCTTCCTCTTCCCTCCTACGAGCTTCCGCCTAGATCAGACTGTCAGTAGGTGACCTTCCCATCGCCAAGTGTAGCTTACTGCACTTTCGGGAGCAGCTTCAGCCTCATCGAATGGAAGATCTAATCACTCCGTCAGGTGTCATTGTACATACATGAGCACTGGACTCACTTTTGTTTCTCAGTTGGTCATAGAGCTCCCCCATGAGTCCCAAGTTGGGATTCCCGGTTGCTTCAAACTGCCTAGCCCACTCCTTGATATAGACGAGAGCCTTCTTCTTGACGGGAGCCGCGGTAGTCTGGCTCAAAGTGAGCTCGAGCCTTTTGAAGACTTTCTCATGTGCTCACTCGGTCGTTCGCGAGCCTATCGAGGGCCTGAGTCCAGTTCCGAGAAGACAGCTCGCCGAGAAGCTCATTTCCGCAATTCTGAGCCAGGACGTTCGCCAGCTACAGGTCACATCCATCAGTCCTTTACTTGTAGCGAAGCATGTGGCCGCACCTCAAGAGCGTAAATCTGCACATTGGGGTTTCGGTGGGAGAGTCTCTTCTGTAGCGCGGCGATAGCCAGTCGGGCTCTGACCCGCGACCTGTCAGCACTTGCAGTCCGGGCGCTTCGGGGCACTCACCCATTCTCCCCTTCCCCCGATACCTTGTCACAGACATCCATGTTGAGGGCCCAGTCCTCCGAGGCGAGATTCTCGTCGGTGGCTTTGACTAGATGAAGCAATCCGAGCAAAGGGCGACGCCTGTTTAGCGGATACCACAGGGGACGAGGGTATCAGAGCGACACTCACGGACGAGTTCATCGTATGGGTTGGGCGCTGACGAGAACATTGCGGCGGTGGCGAATGGAGAAAGAGGAATGAAAGAGGAAAGTGGCGCAGCACGATGACGGAGCGGAGGGCGATGCAACAACCCGGGGCGCGGCGGCAATGGCCGAAACGACAGGCGACTCTTCTCAAGCAACTCCCTTGGCAGTCTCTATGGGTTCATGCATGCAGGAAAATACAGACGTAGATTGATGATTGCTACTGATGGTTGCGCTTGACAAAATTCACAGAACTCGCCGGAACTCCCCTACTTGCCTGAGCGCCGCATCAAGCAATAGTTGCCATAAACTCTCCCGCTTTCCAACAGCCCACCTGGAAGCCAGATCAAACGGGACCACCATTTGGAAGATGCAGCATCCAAGAAAGGAGTACAGAATTCAGCTTCAAAGTCGGGGTGGACTACCCAGTCTGGCTCCAGCTCGGAGGGGGTGGCTGAAGGGAGGGAGAGGGCTACCAGATAGGTGCACTCGCTGGGATCGACCTGAGACAAGATGTCAATTTACGATCACACTTCAAAGAGATTTACATACAAAGTTTCCAGGCTCGGCCGAAGCCTTGTTCTCGCCGTTGAACCGGCCTTCTCTGGTGACCCTAGTCTCGCTCCTAGGCCATCTGCCATCTTTCGCCGCGCTCTCTTCCCACTTCCTAGGCATCATGCCATCAAACTCTGACTGGATCCAGTAGGTCTGGATACCCTCGGGAATCAAATAAGACCCAGGGAATCGATGCCACTCCGAACCGTAGCAGAGAGTGATGGGCTCCTCCAAATCTTGCAGAGGTGAAAGGTCCCACTGAATGTCAAACTCCTCGTTACCGTACTTTTGGTAATCCTTGGGTGGAGCTATAGGCTCGTACCCCAGCTCGGAGAGAACACTAGGGAGGGTTTCGTATTGAAAGTGGAGAATAATGTCGAATGGGGCATGGTAAAATTGATACATGGCTCCAATTCGGCCGAGCGAGATGATGGAGGGGAAAAGGATGGCGAAGAGAGTGAAATTGGAGAAGAGTTGAGATTTGCTGGCCTTTGAAGAGATCAGCCGTGTTTTTTTCCGCATGACAGAAGCGTACCTTGTATGGAGACCTGGTGAGATAGACGTAGCCCTGCTCGAACCATCCTCGAATCAGATAGATTGACACTGCCGCGTTGAAACACAAGAGCGGGTACGCAGGGAAGAAGAACCTCTCCTCCTTGTGAGCCTGGGCGGTCAAGATGGCTCCCCAGATGTAGAAAGGTGCCAATCTCGTAGCCAGAAGCAGATAGGGACTGGTCTCGCCTTCGACAGGCTTCCTCTGGGACTTTCCCAGTCTCCTGAAATCATATTTGTATGTCACGGCCAAAGCAGGCAAAGAGATCAGAGCAAGGGGAAGGAAGAAATTAAAGTTGAGGAAAAGATTCGCCAAGTAGAAGGTCGAGGGAGATGTGCCGTAGAGGTCCGGAGAGCCGGAGGAGCTAAAAATATTGTACGTGATGATGTTGAGGGTAGGAAGTACGGACTTTCCGTAAGCCCAAGAGTCGATCAAATACACAGGAATCTTTCGGCCGTTAGAGTGCTGGTACAGATCGCGGTAAGAGTCACTCACAGCTATACAAGCCGCAAAGGCAGTCGCCTTGGCCATGGTGTCCCATCTCTTTGTCCTCCACTGACTGACAGCAGCCGCGGGAACAATCTCACCGCCGCTCAGGAAGAGTTGCTCAAAGACTGGGGGAATGCCCAAGGCCGCACTGAAAGGCCATCCAACGATCGCGCCAAGAGCATAGAAGAAGGTGGCCCGGTAGGTTCGGCTCACGCCCTGGGGGGTGGAGGTTGCCGGTTGGAACCAAAAGGTCGAGGCGAGCATAGTTGTGTACATTGTGAAAGAAGACGGCAAGAATGCTGTAGACCGTATCAGGGTCATGTTTAACGGTTGTCAAGATGACTTACAGACAGAGGCAAAGCTCATGCCGGCACTCAGCATCATGATGAAGAGCAGGTACCTTCCCACACGCTCGTTGACAGTTTCTACAACAGTTCTGTAGAATTTGGCCTCAGAGAACGAACAGATGGCGCCAAGGGAGATTCTGAGGGCAAAGAACGCGGGACGCTATGACCAATGTCAACGATATGTCCAGGCTTGTGCGACTCCCAGGAATACTGACCTTTCCGAGACGCAACAGAAGGGGTCCGAGGTGCGCCATAGGCCAGTGTAAAAGAATATAGGCCCAGCTTCGCACGGCGAATTCCGGAGAGAGCTCCCACGTCTGGAAGCCGTGGTTGTACTGAAAGTAGTGGAGAGGCTCGAAGAAGTTGAACACTGCCCATGTGAGCTACTTGATTCTTTCTCGAGCATGAAGCTCACCTTCGTCACAGTCGGCAATGACATTATACATTGCGCCCGCTGTTCTGATGAGGAGTAGCAGGCGAACGGCAAGCGACAACGAGGGCACAAATGGACCTCTCTGGTTTCTATAGGACGCAATGAGCAATCTAGCCAGATACCCAAGCTCAAACAAGCCACATACCGTCCGCTCTGATCTTGTAGCAAGCCTTGGTGTCTCGCCTTAAATCCTACAGGTGCCATCGAGCCAAACTCGTCTTTCTTGGGCGCCTGTGTCGACTGGGCTACCGCATTTGGACCCGCGGTAGGACGGCGAAACCGAATCGTCTCTGTGCCAGGGAGGGCCATGCCGGGGGAGGATGTGATTTTTGGGTTGGCGTTGATGGACAAGCAGAAGAGAGATTTGTCTGGGATTTGTTCGCTCGTAAAGCGGAAAAAGCCAATCGCCGGTGGGTGACGCATCTCAGTCGCTCCGCTTACCGTGACTGCAGCGGATACATTCCTCATTGACCCCAGAAGGTATCCAGCAGCAGCATGCGTGTCCCCTTCTTCAGCCCCGCCCCACCCTCCAGCACAGAGTCTTCCGAAGCAGGGCCCTCAACGCCCACGCCCGCTTTCACGCCAGCAGCTTCAGCGGCCACCGCCCCTGTGGTCAATCGATTTGAGCATATGCTCGCCGACGAGACTAGCATACAGGAAGCACAGTATCCTACCTACGACGAGGTGCCCGGGTGCATGAGACTGCTGTAAGCTTGTGATCACCCGCTACGAGCAGAGTTCCTAACGAAATCCCAGAGACGAGTTCTTGATGTGTTATGGTATGTCATCTTGCTCGAAGCAGCCATAGACATTGACTTGATTCAGCTCTTGTTCCACAATTGCGCTCTTTCTACCGCCGAGGAGAAATGAGTGATTGCACGTGGAAGTTTCAAGACTTCAAATACTGCATGTCGTTAAAGTCATCTGACCCAGAGGAAAAGAGGCAGCTGTGGATCAAAAGGCGTGCAGAGTGGTGGGCTCAGAGGCGATTGAACAGAAGCAGCGAAGATGTCTGGGATCTGAGAACGTGAGTACCCTCGCTTCTCGTCTATCTGGTGCTGATTCATAATGAAAGAGAACGACTAGAGAATTTCCCTCCCCTGGCCCCCGAGGACGTTTCCAGCGACACGACGACTGCATAAATTCATTCACAAACGATGATGCACCTCATGTTGACAGTGCAAGCCCTCCGCTCATCGGACAATCGCCTCTAGTTGCTCACGTCTACCTGCGCCTCTGGCTCGCCCGCCTTGGCTTTCTTTTGTTCCGACCCCTCAATTTTGGTCTTGCCTGGCTTCGCCTGCATCTCACGAGTGGCAATGGCTTTAGCTTGCTTTTTCTCAGCCATCTTCTCCTTTTTGGATTTGTGCTGATTGAGTGGCTGCTTGGGACCTCAGCAAGTTCGCTCACACATCAGAGATCAAAGTACCTTATCTCTACCCATGCTGATCGTATTATCTTGGTCAGGTTTCGAAAAGTCTCTGTGGTCCTTGCGAGCTATATAAGTAAAGCTTCACGCCTTCGCGGACATAGTGTATCCGATGTGAGATGTTGTGAGATCTTACCCAAGCATGCTTCGCGCTTACGACAATGGGAACCAATGACGAGGTCCCCTACAGCCTGCTTTGTGAGATCTACCAACAAGGGGAGGGGGAGGCAAGAGACCCTTTTGCGGCCCAACTGATTGATCATGCAGAGAAGACGTCTGACTACCTATTGTCATTCCGGTTGTGCTGCTTCTGTTCTTGAGAAGAGGCGTGTGTCGACCGAAGGCGTGATAGTTTCTGAGGAACCTCTCATGGGCCGCAGGAACCTTGCGAACATGTCTTCTACTATTACATGCAGCCTCTACAGCATAATTATAGCAAGCTTATACCAAATCATAATGACAAATTCAAATATCAACGTAGCACCTATGTGTTCCCTCCATGGGGATCAGAAAATGGGCCTTCTCTGTCTCTCCTTTCCTGGAGCTCTCTCATGATCTCTGCCAATGCAGTCGTAGCGTGGCCGCTCCCCGTCCCCAAATCGACCTGCACCTTGGATGCACTCGCAAGCTGCGGCTCGGCGGCAAAGTAGGACATTGAGGAAGAGGTTGGAGATGCCACATCTCGAAAGTGTTCGTGTTCCGAATGTGTCGAGTTGTACTCCTCGAGATAGTCGACAGAGTCGTGTTGCTCCCCCGCGGGAAGCGGGGGCTGATCGCGGAATGGGGTGTTTAAGAGAGCCGACATGCCTTCCCCGAGCGTGGGCGCGCGAGACATTGGTCGCGGATAGACAGCATGAGCCCCGTCACTCGCGTTCGATTCCTCATGTGAATGAATAGCGGGATAGCGTCCTGGCTCGCCGTCAATATCCCTCCCATAGAGCTCCGCATCAACCATAGTCCACTCGGGCTCATTCTTCTTCTTCGCCTCATTAGCCCAGTCGTAACGAGGAGTGCGGGCAGTAGGCACCTGGCTTGCCCCAAAGCTCTTCTCCGTGCGCTGGCTCGCACTCCTCCTAAGAGCCGCACCATGTTTCTGGCCCCGTGTAGGGAAGAACGCTCTGACACCTTCAACCGCCCCATAAAATTTGTCGACCCAAAACGGCTGAGGAGAGTTTGGGCGATCGGAGGATACAGAATTCTGGCGAGGGAAGGGCGAATTTGCATGGTCTCGGGAGTAGAGTTCGGAGCTTTGACCAGCAACGAAAGGTACCTCGTCTTCGGCTGGGGTAGGGGTACCGGTGAGCTTGCGGCCAGTCAGCTTCAGGAAGCTTTGACCAGGCGCGGCCAGAGAGGCAAGAGTGTTTCGGACCCCAGAACTCTGTCGACCAAGCGTTGGGTCACCGTGACGAGAGTCTGGTACATGACGGAAAAAGCTTTTCTCGTCGTTGGAGTGAGGCAGGTCGTAAGACGGTACAACCAAATTCGGGGCGCCACCAGGTGAGGGAGATGTCCCTCGAAATTGCTTCTCGGCGTACGACTCGTAGATAGGATGATCGTTCGTCATCCAGCCTTTCCACTTTGGCTGCTGCTTGATATCTTGGCCGCTCTGACCAAAGCCGTCGGGCCCCGTTGGAGGCATCCCTCGCAATGCCATATATTTGTCCTTGCCACCACTATACCAGATGACGATGATGAGGCCAATCAGAAAAAGAAGGAGCCAAAAGGCTAGCATGATGCCGTAGAAGACCCTCTCCACCTTCAGAGCGCTCTCAAAGTGGGTGATTAGAGTGCCAACAACGCCGTCATCGTCGTCATCATCGCTAGACCCTACTGCCGCAGATGCAATAGGTGTAGCGATCTCCTCCATCGAGCCATTTGATAGCAGGAGAACGTCGCTAGAAAGGGTAGGAAGGTCGACGAAGGCGTGTTCAGATATCCAGGTGAGGCCCTTCTCGAGGTTGGTGATTTTGGAACCCAGGATGCAGTACATGAAGGTGTTGATCGGGTTGTAAAGGATTGTGTCGCCAAAAGTGGTATTGAGGACTGTGATCTGTCAGCAGTGGGTCGAGAGAACATCGCAAGACTTACTGCTTTCGACATCGTCGTAGAACTGGACAAGGGTGGTATTCAAGGTCACAGCAGTGGTATTGACCCAGCTCCCAAAGAGCTCGTTGTTGATCCTGTCCTCAAACTCTTTGATGGCGGTATTGTAAGAATCGGCGTACTCTTGGCTGCTGTTGAGAGCTGCAGCATTGAGTTTGGCCACAAGCGCGTTGGACGACGCGGTCACAGTTGCGTTGGCATTGGAGTCTGCGTTTGATTTGATCGCATTCAGAGCGAGGAGCTGGAATTGGATGGACAAGAAACCGATGATGGATATGAACAAGAGAGCCAAGCAAGTCGGATGAGCTAGGTATGACACTATTCAACAGATCAATAAAGGTCAAGGAACGAAGCGATGGACTCACTGAACCATCGGATATTCGTTCTGGTCCTCGGACTCTTGCTGACGCGATTCAAGACGTGGGATGAGTACCGCTCCAGCACGGGGTGCTCCACAATTGCCACCATCCTCCAAGCGTCGCTTCGTCCATCATGTTGCCATTCCTCCTGAATTGTCTCGACGGTGTCCTTCATGATTTTCCACTTGCGCCATTCCCATATTGCAAGAGCAGCCCACACCAGGAAGAGCAAGAGGAACATAAGGCCGATAGCGATGCTGGAGAGCTTGTGTAGAGCTTTGGCGGTGTCGTCAATCAAGGATGTGTCCAGGTCAGAGCACAGCTCATTGGACAGATCGTTGCCACTGCTCGCAGAGAGAGACGAGAGAGAGGGGACAGGGAGTATGGAGCTGTTGAAACTCGCTGCCATCTCGAGACGGGTAGAATTGATCTCTGAGATCAGAAGCTCAAAGGGGGTGTCGATTATCTCGTTCATTTTCTCCTTTAAATCATTGAGAGTGGGGAGAGAAGAATTGAGAGTGAGAAGCCCGTCTTCAAAAGTCGTTGGGATGGTGACATTGGCGAGGAAGGAAAGAGAAGGAATGGTGAAGGATGGGACAGTCAAGTTGACATTGACCAGATTGGTTACCGTCTACGGTTACTAATCAGAGACATGCTCGGGAAGAAGACGACGCCGCAACTCACATTTATGCCGCTGACAGCACTCTGAATAATGTTGTTGGCCGAACTGATGTCGTCCTGTATGTCGGTGCGGACCGAGTTCAGTGTACTGGTCACGGAATCGGATATCTGCGTGTGTGTCAGTATCAATACTAGAGAGACGAGAAACAGTACTCGCCGTTTGTACAGCGGAAATCAATATCTCCAAAGTACCTCTTACTGCCAACTCGATCGTACAGAGCAACAAGCTTCGGTAAGTGTCGACAATAAAGTTGACAACCGCCTCTATAATCTGGATAGCATCCATCAACATGGTGCCCACCGCCAAGATAGTGGCTTGTGTAGCGCGAACAGCCTCCTGGTTCGTTTGCATAGCAAGATACCTTGGGATGGCTTGTACTGACGCTGCCCCCTTGGCAAGACCAGAACAAGCGGAGAGAAGGGACGACTTCAGAGAAGACGCAAGAGAGGCTGTAGAAGAACGATTTTGGATCAAGTGGGCGATGGTCAAAATCATCGGCAAAAGGCATGGCGAACAGAAAGTAAGGATGATTCGTGGTAGTAGAGCCAAGTAAGGGCGCAGTGGCATAGATGTAGGGCGCTGTTGAAGTGGTGCGGGGGAGTATGGTGTATGAGGGGTCGGCGGCAGAGGCGATGATGAGTACTGCACGAAAGGTGGCCGTATAGGTGGGGAAAGAGGGATGACCTCTTCAGGGTTGATTCGGGTGGGAGCTTGGAGGTGCGCCATGGCGAATCAACAATGGTGATGTTGGTCGATAGAAAGGGGATGTAGAAAGCAGGAGTCTAGGAAAGAGCTGTGAGTGAGGAGATGGATTGACAGAGATGGTCAAATGCGTTCGACATAGTCTGCATATGACGGTCTTGCCGCTTGGAGTTTCACGAAGAATAGGCAACTCGCCAAGTCAGCACACAAGGAACCCCCTGATCCCGGTGGTGAATTTCTATTGTTCGCTGGCGAGTCATGTGGGAGAACAACAAGCGTTGAAAAAAGGGCGTGTTACAGAGAACAATACGAAAATGAATCTGAAACGACCAGGTCCCTGGTCCCACTCGGCGGAATCAAATCGTGCTGCACCGTGGGAATATCCAGTCCGCGGCGCGCGAGAGTGGCAAAATGACTGACCAGTCCCTATGTCCCTATGTATACAACGCACGATCCCATGGATGGAACTCCAAACTATCTACGTCTGCGCCAAGTGATACGATGAAACACTCGCCCAATCCCCCTCCTCGACCTCCTTGACGACGACGGCGGTTCGGGCGGAGTGTCACGGTGTACTCTAGAGTACGGTGCGTAGTGCACGACTTTGCCCGGCGACTCGCCCTCTCGATGCCTCAGTTACCAGAGTACGGGCACTGACTCACTCGAAGCTCGACTGAGGCAGGTGACGACCCCATGCTGAAACCACTCCCTCCGTTCACGAGTCGAGCAAAAATCCATCGAGGCCGTCGACATCCTAACAGTAGCACGACCGCCCGTCATAATTCACACTTCTCGCTCAGCATCCGAAAGACGTCCTGACAACCCGTCCTGACAACCCCCGTTCTCTCCATTGAACGAAAGGAAGGAGGCGCACAATTCTCCTGAAGGCCGTGGCCCGTGGCCCGACAATCCCGCCCACTTCCACATCAATCCTGTTCAATCCGTCAGGGATACGGACAATCTTCGCGCTTCGCTTCGGTCAACGGTTTCTGTATGTACTCTTTCGTCGCATATTGACTGCGCATTGCAGCTGTACCTCACGAATACTCTACGCGCCAGCATCTTGAGCTCGATCTCCCCTGGTCCCTCAGTGTGCCTAAGCATCTTCCGTACAGTGTTTCAGCGCTCCCGAATGGCAACGTTGTTGACTTGGGACTCGTCCTGACGGATATATAAGAGGTCACAATGCGTCTTTTTCATTCCCCAAGCAACTTCAAGTTTCTTCTCTTTCAACCACTCACACTCTTTAACAGGCTTGACGCCTTGCACATTCTTTCCTTACCTAGCTTTCTATTCGTTTATCATCCAACATGCCTTCTTTCCTCGTGTAAGCCACTACCCCTGGTACACCACATTGCTCGTATGCTGATACCCTACGCCCAGAAACAAAGTCGCTCTCGCCACTCTTGCCGGGCTCGCTGCACTCCCTTCGGCTTTGGCCCATGGGCACGTAACTTCTTGGCAGATCGGTGATACTACTTGTACGTCTGACGCTTATAACGTCTTTCTTACTGACACCCATCTTAGACGCTGGTTTCAACCCCTCCAACTCGGCCGAGCTGGGCTCTACCCCCGAGCGAGCCGTAAGCTCACCCTCCCCCTTTCATGAACGATATCCCCGGCTGAATATCATATCAGACGACCAACTCTGACCAAGGCTATGCTGACTACACCACGGATGTGGTGGCCACGGGTGGGACGGCTACATCGAGTGACCTTGTCGCGAATGCTACGGCAGGAGATACTGTCATTGTCACATGGAACACATGGCCCGAGAGCCACAAGGGGTGAGCAAATCGGCCTCAGGAGCTTCAGCTGAAACCTTTCCCAGGCCTGTCACCCAATGGATGGCCCATTGTCCCGATGATCTCTGCGCTGGCACAGCTGGCGCCGACATGGATTGGTTCAAAATCTCCCAGAGCAGCTACGACGAGTCCTCGGACTCTTGGCCCACTGATTACATTGCTAAGAACTTGATTTGGACCTTCACTCTCCCAACCAACTTGGCTGCCGGGTGAGCATGGTATAAACGCCCGATGGATAGAGGCTGACGACGGGGGGCAGGCAGTACCTCCTCCGACATGAGCTGTTGGCAATGCACACCACTGGTGCTGTAAGTCATTTCCTTGTTTCCTTCTGAATAAAGCCAACTCACTTTGCCTTAGCCTCAATTCTATCCTGTTGCCATCGAGATGCAGCTCGAATCATCCGGGTCCACCACCCCTTCTCCCACTGGCACCTTCCCCGATATGTACAACTCCGATGACGACATGGCTCTGACTCAGAACATCTACGGTGGCTCCGCTCTCAACGCAGAGTTTGTGGTGCCCGGTGTCGCTGTCTAGTACGTCATATATTCAGAAGAATGTCTATGAACGACGCACTGATACAGGGCTAGTGATGGCAGCGACGCGACGGTATCAAACTGGGACTCCACTGGCCTCGAGAACGACTCTACCAGCTCCTCTTCCGCTACCGCTTCTTCTGCCGTTTCTGCCACCACCTCTTCTGCTGGGGCCTCTGCCACTACCTCGTCCGCTGAGACCCTTGTCGAGACTTCCGCTGCCGAGTCTTCCATCCAGTCCTCCGCTGTCGAAACCTCTGCTGTCGAAACCTCTGCAATTGAGACCTCTGCCGTCGAGACCAGCGCTGCCGCAACTACCACCAATGCAGTTAGCGAGGCTGCCACTTCCACCTGGTGAGTATACCTGACGTTGCATATGAAGCGCTGACGATCTCTCAGCGCTTCGGCCTCTGCCACGGCTAGCGGAGCGAGCGGTACCAACTTGCAGACTTACACTGGTGCTATTGACGGTATTTCGGCTCCGTCCGTGACTGGTGAGTGGGCTATATTCTACTCTGCCCATTTTATACTCACTCGACTCTAGCCGACGGCGACCAGTACACTTGCAATGGAAACACTTTCAACAGCAAGTCTGACGCGCTCACCCGTTCTTGCGACGTACAGAGGAACCAGTGTCTCGACTCTGCCAACAGCAAAGCCAACGACCAAGTCAGCGCTGCCATGACTGCTTGCGAGACTCAGGTATGTTCCAGCTTGATTGGACACTCGTTATCCGGTCCGTATGCTGACTTGTCCCAAAGGCCACAGAATGCGATGCTTCTGTCTCTTCTGCACGTCGACGCGACATGGTCATCGGACGATACGCCAAGCGAGCCTTCTAACCATTGAGCGCCTGCCCCCAGCGCTCTGTTCTATAACTTCCTTGTCTTCTCTATACTATCTTGTCAGTAAACCTAAAAAAAAATATCATCATATGGCGTCGATCGCCCTATGCATAACCTTGTGTAAACGTATGCTGGCAATTTGAGTGACGCCATCCACCAAGACTGAGGCAGCTCTCACGTAATGGGTATAGGGCAGTTTATTAACTAGAAGCAATTGAGGGTCATCTGGAGTCGACAAGGAGTCGATATTGTTTAGTGCTGGCACACGGGTGACTCCTGAGACTTGACACCGAATGGGGGCAAGCGCCCGTAGATAGACATTCCAGTAGCATGGGACAGTATGAGTGCGCAGTCAGTATCCGACATTCCAGACATCGCGTGCGCCTAACGGGGATAGCAGCGCAATATTTGATCCCGTTTGAGAGGTGACGCGTCCGTTGCTTTGGATGCTTTCACCAGTACTTCTCACCACTCTGCCCGGCATGGCCCTCTACGCACAAAGACCAGCCCACCACGAGCCCACTGCGGCCCACATCGAACAGCAAGTCATCTCCAAGAGGCCATATCTGCGTCACACGCTGACTCGCAATCCTTAGCCATGGTTTCAACCCGTACAGCGACAACGGTGGTTCCATCCTCTCTATCTGCGGAGCCGACTTTGCCATGATTGCCGGAGACACCCGACAATCAGAAGGCTACAGCATTCAAACTCGATATGCTCCGAAAGTGTGGCAATTGTGAGTCCTGGCTGTGTTGGAAGGTCCGTGACTGACAACCTTGATAGGACCGACAAGGCGGTTCTGGCTACGAACGGCTTTGCTGCTGATGGAAACAATTTCGTCAAGAGAGTGAAGCAAAGACTGGAGGTGTGTAACCTTTGTGCTGGCGCTGCAAAGATCCACTAACCAAGGATTTTAAGTGGTATGAGCACGCTCATCAGAAGCAGATGAGCATCAAGTCTATCGCAAGGATGATTCAAACAATGCTCTATGGCAAGAGATTCTTCCCGTACTATGTGTACAACATTCTCGGAGGTATCGAGGAGGACGGTGAGAATGTTCATCCTTGTTTGAGGGCGGTACTGACGCAAGGCAGGTTCCGGTGCCGTGTACTCTTTCGACCCGGTCGGCTCCTACGAACGAGAGGCGTGCAGAGCTGCCGGTGCTGCCCAATCCCTCATTCAGCCATTCCTTGACAATCAGATCTATTTCAAGAACCAACAGCCCGCACCCGGGGCTGGCCCCTTCGTCCCCGGCAATCTCCCCTTGAGCACCGTCCTTTCCGTGGTCGTCGACTCCTTCTCCTCTGCCACCGAGAGACACATTGAAGTGGGTGATGGGCTTGAGATCTTTGTGGTTATGGCTGCTGGAAGGTCTACGGACGATCTCCTCGGAGAAGGCCGATTGGCGGCTGGAATGGAAGTGGAAGAGCTACACCCCCTTGGACAGGGAGGAGGCGAGAGAACGTTTTTGGTCAGGTGCCCTTTGAAGAGAGACTAGATGTTGTAAATATGAACTGAATGAAGGGCTTCACGAATCCATTTGACGTTTCTGTCAGGACAACGAGAAATTTCTAGACATTCATGATTCACCAATGACTACAGAGCTTTACCACATTAGTCACAATACAACATAGACCACACTGGGAGGCCTTTCCAAATCAAGATGTAGCCTCGGAGTCAACGACACTAGTGAGATCATTGGATTCAGGCTCATACTAGTAGCTACCAGGGGGCTTGTCCCACTTTTGGTGCTTGTGCCAGTGTCTGTTGTTCTCCACATCCGAGACGCCCCCACCGATTATCAGACTGATGTTCCGTCAGTGAGGTCGTATATGCGATCCAGCTAGATCACTTACCCTATGACTGTCCAGATGAGCCAAGCCCAGAAAAACGCTGTCCAGAATCTGCGCAATGCTCGCGATCTCACGACATGGTCTGGCGGCTGCACCCATTCTCCGTGGGCGACGGGCCCTTGCTCCGGATGAGCGGACTGCGTGGGGTGTTGTTGAGGCTGCCTTTGAGGCGGCATAGCCTGTGGTTGTGGTTTATTGGTGCTGTGACCGTCATCTGAGATGTGAATGAGTATGTGACCAGGGGACTGGTGTTAGAGGATACTTGCAAGGAGGAGGGGCTTCTGATAGCCCGGCATTGTGCTGTTCAGGCTGAGGGAGATGAGAGTCTTCCGGGGGGCTGGCAACGACTGCGGCGTAGGAGGGTTTGTCAGGCATCGTCGGTGGAACCAGTGGTGGCGATAAAAAAGCACAAACAAAAGTAACATCGTCACGTCATCATGGTGGTGGACATCATGGAAAGAGAAGGACTTGTTACGTCATCACCTGCCCGTTCCTTTTTACTGCGCTGCCCGCGTCCGACTCCGTCCATCCAGCTCGCGTCGACGAACAAAGTAATCGTCTGACAGGGCTGTGCAAAGCCTTTGAGCTTCGAGATGCGTACAATACTGGGCCGATAATCACTTTACATCCTGCTATGGCGACAAAAACAAGTTTACTTTTCCGTATTACAACAATGATATTCTTCTTTCTTTCTTTCTTTCTTACACCCCGATGTCTACACCCGCTCTCGGGACTCGACAACAGGCTTCTCATTGTGTTCCAAGAAGGCAGACTTCTCAATGTCGTCCCTAGCACCGACCTCGGGAGTGTATTGCCCAGTGCTTTCCTCGACATTGACGTTGGTCTGTAACATCACGTCAGCACCATCCATGGAAGGTTGCAATCCAACGTGGCTTACCTGGCTAGTCCAAATCGTCAAGCGACCGTGGTACTTCTTGCTGTTGATGACCCACATGACACCACCGTAGCAGAGCAGGGGTACAAAGCCGGTCAAGGGAATAATGAAGGACCTCCAAGTGCTGATGGCGTCGGACACGGCACCTTGGATGGAAGGCACGACCGGACACCCCCAAAGCGACTATCCCTGAACCGACCTTGGCATGAATTCCCACCAGACTTTGGGTGGCCACGCTAAAGATCACAGGATAGCATACTCTAGGGCAAAAAATCAGCGGCCGAGTCGGGTCAATCAGAGACGGCGGTGAGACTTACGACTCGAAGAGGTATAGATCATGAAGAGGCAAGCAATACCGCCCTTTCCGGGAATTGTGGCCCTCAGGGTGGAGAAGATCACCAATCCAATACCTTTAATGAACAAGGCGAAGGAAGGGTCCATCCAACGAAGGTAGGCTACCCCCAAAAATCCCCGAAGGTGAAGACCGCCTGCGTGGCAGCCGGAAAACATGTTTGCCGCGGTCGCGGAATCGTACGTACGCGGGGGAGATACTGTCACGGCCTGGCTGGGACGCAGCAGGGGAGGGGACTGGAAAAGGTGTTTTTGGAGGGGAAAAGACCTTTTCGGTATTATCGCATAAGGAAAGAGTAGAACAATGAGATATGAATTGAGTATGTACACCGCGCGTCCTTCAACCATCCACACAACTCAGCGCCAATGCCACTTCAGGGAATTACTACGTGTGACAGATACCAGGTTGTTCCGTGATGTAGAAGATGGTGAAGGAAGTTACAGCTACTTGAGCACCGACGTAGAAGGACTGGGCGGCTGTAAAGATAACCAGTACAGATGTCAAGGTACCGCATGGGCGACTCACCGGCACCGAACAAGGTGTGATACTGCTTCCAGATTGACTGCTTGGCGACTCGTTCTTCCTGGTCTTCGGACACTGCCTGCTTGACTTCGAGGAGCGTAGCGAATGCAGTCCCGACATTCAAAACTGCTGAGAAGCAAGCAAAAGCCAAGTAGAGGTATTGGACTGTATTACCGAGGTTGTTCTGGTTGTCGCCGTTAAAGAAGGTGTTGGCAGCGATCTGAGGACTGATGACTGTCGCAATGCCGTTGAAAGCTTGAGCCAAGGTGAGGCGCATGACAGCATGAGAGGGAGGCCCAAGGATGGTGATGTAAGAGTTGGCTGCTGTTTCCAAGGTGGCAATACCACTGGCGGAGACAAGGGTGAAGGCGACAAAAACCCCGTACGAGTACTGTTCAAACTTGGCAGCAGGACAGAAGAGGACAGCACCGATAGAGAACAGGCCCAGACCGATGTGGATGCCCTATTGGATAGGTTAGACTTGTGACTGTCTATTCGCGCGAGAGACCCACTTTCTTATAGCCGTAGCGTCTCATGAAGACACCCATGGGGGGCGCAACCGCAAGGTAGGACACGAAATAGGCAAACTGCAGTAACGTTGATTTAGTCTTGGTTAATCCGACTGTACATAGTGGTGAGCTAGGCATTTGCGGAATGTCAGGATCGTTTTCTTACAGACTGTCAAAAAGTGCTTGTTGAGTACATCGAGAAGACCATACGACAGGCGCCAGAGAAAGAACTATCTAATAGGAGTGAGAACTTGCGCCAGCCGTGCTAATGAAGGAAAGCTGCTCACCAAAGAGGTGACCAAGAAGAATGAGAAGTACAGCTGACTCTTGCTCAGAGAAGTGTAGTCGACGGCAGCAGGGCCCGGACCGATGGACGTAGTAGGCATGGTGGTCGGGTCTAAGAGGGATTGTTGTGTTGAATGAAAGTAAGAGAAGTGGTTACAGAGGGAAGCGCTGTGCTGTGTGGGTACATTTCCAGAATTCCGAGAGGGGGCTTTATATAGCAATTCAATCGACTTCCGCATCGAAGGCGGCTAACCGTACGTGGCCAATGCGTGAGACTGAATGTGCCTTGGACCTTTCGGCTCGATGATGCTTATTCTGGGTTCCTGCAAAGATTCCAGTTCGAGGTCGATCAAGAAGCGGAACTTCATCGTAATTCGTACATGACTCCATCGAAAAATCACAGTTATAATTTTGGTCAGATCTGAAAGCCGAAGGTCAGCAGACCATGTTGTGAAGTAGAGGCTGCCATACGCTATGCAGACGTGGTCGTCAATCTACGATACCTGAACCTATGGAGGATCCTGCAGCATATTGAAGGTGTAGATGGGTGCAGAGATGCCCCAAATGCCCAACAAACAAGCAATAGATTGTATGATCGATGAGATATCATGAGTAAGTAAGGTACAGGCACAGGAACCAAAGTTTGCAATCAGCCATTGTCGCTTAACTATCCCTGAGATTTCCGGGTACGTACCCGCTTTGGAGTGTTAATAGGGGGCCCTGTGGGGTCCCTGGTTGGGGGATCTGGAGCTCCGGAGCCTCTTTCCTCGATCTCTGCTCGATCTCCTCTTGCCTCTGCAGCTCGATGTGGGCGAGGGGACATTCTCATTCCGCCATTGCCCCAGCACCCATCGGCACGGTCGACAGGATGGTCAAGCAGCCGATACCATTCTCACCTGCAGACCCGAGGTCACCCAAGTTGCCGGGATCCATTCGGCTGGTGAGACAACGTGCAGCAGTGGTCAAAATGCCAAGATTTGTTGCAATATTGGTTGCGAGTGACCTGTGACAGCTGAAATATATGCGGATACAACTGGTGTATAATAGCTACAGTGAGAAGGATGGTGGCACAAGTTCCTTTGACTCCCCACAATGACATACGTACGATTGTCGTTAGCCGGCGGCCCACGGCCTACGGCTCATCATTTCTGCGGCATGTTTCCAGGAAGGAAACTCAAGATAGCCGCCAGCGGCTTCCAGCCCAGAGCATTTACCGGTCCGTGGGCCTCTTGTCGCTCAGACAGGACATTACTCCTACCCTTTCCCACTCTACTCGAGTTCACGGTCCACGGGAATCGGGATCAGAGTTTGACACAGGAGTGTATTACGTTGTGGGCGCATCGCGTAGCGCATTAGATAACGGTCGGTAGACACATTTAGATGTCCGCTGATCACAGGCTAGCGATCGCTCTCCATTATTCAAGCTTGTCAATCCAGACTATCTTCGTGATATTCCGCCCCCTGCCTTGTCAGTGACCAGTGGACATATCTCGACACTCAACGAATCGCATCTTTGTGAGAACGATATTTGATTGCATCACCTTGAACGTTTGTACCAAGACGCTTGCCCTTGCACCTAGACTTGCAACCCACCCATCCTCCCTGCCAATCCACCGGCACCACCCTTGGCTGTGACAGGCCACACTACCAATCGCCCGTCCTTGCCTGCAGTGCTGACCTTTGCGACATCCCCGTTGGCTGCCCACTCGTACGCATCTAGCCAAGTGATGGTGTTCTGGTGCACAGTGGTGAGCAGCCCGTCGCTGCCAACAAGGGTCAAGCCAGCGCTTGTGGGAGCACCAGGAGAAGCGGGGCCACGTTGGCCCTTTGAGTCGGCTGCCTTGAAGAGGTTGAAGGCCTCATTGTTGCCGAGTCGGCCGACACCACCAGAGCGAGAGCCAGTCCCGCTGGGAGTGAGGGGTCGGGAACCGCCCGAAGAGGGGTCGTCGAGTGAATGAGAGAAGGCCCATCCTTCGGGGGAGCCGGTGAAAACCATGGGCTGGCAGTCGTGTCCCGCCGCAATGAGGGTGGACTCGCTAGTAAAGGTCAAGACCGTGAAAGGCAGCGAGGGGAGACGAAGCACGACATGTGCGGAGGGAGGAGAGCCAGGAGAGGAAGGATAGACAACCGAGATGGAAGCATCATGGGCAACAAAGGCAAGAGTGTCACCAGAGGGAGAGAATGCGACGTTGTGCACCCAGCCACCATCAGACGACTTGAACTCGCCGCAGATGGTGCCAAATGGCAATCGCTCGCCCCAGACCGTGGGCTGAGGCCTGAGAGATCAACATCAGCAACACTCTCACGTAGGCAGTCGTGTGTACCCACTTGGCGTCCAGGCCCTTGATGTAGGCAGAAAAGACATAGGCCTTGGACTCTGCCGTACCTGCCGCCAGAAGCACATTGTTGGGGTGCCAGTCGAGCGAGAGCACGGTACTTCTGAGGGGCTTCTTGACATGCTTGGATACCCACCAGTTGTCTTCTTGGTCAAAGTAACACACGGCGATAGTCCTCGCGCCACTGCCGACGGCAAACTTGTCCTCCTTGGGTGACCATTTGACGCAAGTGGCCGCCCGGCTGATACGGAGAAGGACAAGGGCAGGCTTCCATCCAATTGCAGTAGGAGTCCAGACGTAAGCGTTTCTGTCCTGAGAACATGTGACGATGCGGTTTGAGTTGGGAGCCCAGGAGATGGCAGTGATGAGCTTGTCGTGCTGCGACCGGGGATCAATGACGGTAGATAAGACATCCTTCGCTCACTCACCTCGGCAAGCACATCCTTCAGTTCCCACTCGGAGCCCTTCTTCTCATAGATGTGTACTTCGTTGGAGTTGGGAGAGACAGCCACCTCTACGACGACATGTCAGTGATCTTCACCAATGATGTGCAGAGCACGAACGGGTTCTGTCGGGGCTAAAGGCGACACCTGTGAGGGGTCCCAAGGAGAGCTGGAATACTTCGGGGGCAGACATGGTGGCGGGAGGAGGGAGGACTAACAGTCTACTCGCTCGATAGGTATGACAGATGCGAACAGACGCAAGAAACAACAACGATAGAAGCTATCGCCATGACGCGTGCACAGGAGTGCACTTGATCCCGCCCCATTTGTTCCGCGTCATCACTTCAGACGAGTCGCTGATCAGTCGCTGATACACAACTGATACAAGTCATTTGCTACATAGCGCTTGCTTCTCATCTCCCAAATCCCCCATCATGTCTCGGCCGGTATCCAAGAAGCCTTTACTCAAACCATCATCTTCCAACCGTCTCGGTCAATCGTCCTCGAAACTCGCCGGACCGAGAAAGATCGCTGGCGGTTCGGCGGGAAGCAAAGGCGTTGATGAGGGCTACTTGTATATCGCAGGCGTCAAAGACCCGAGTAAGAGAGTGACAGAATATAGGGTCAGTATCAGTCCCAGTCGGATCTGTATATTTCTGACATACCTTACAGACAGAGCAAGATATATGCCCGATTTGTCATACCGATAGGCAGTTCAACAAGAACTTGCGGCTACTCGTATCACCTTGCTACCACAAGATGTAAGCCATGAACAGCAAACTTATATTGTGTACCTGCTGATGAGTGTTACGTAGGTGCGAATCGTGTGTCGACAGGTTGTTCGCTTTGGGCCCGGAGAAATGTCCGGTGTGCAATAGGATGCTGCGAAAGATCAACTTTGCACATCAGACATTCGAAGATCTGAAGGTAGAGAAGGAGGTCTCTGTAAGACGCAGAATGTCAGACATGTGAGCAGATACCCGTGACCCGACTGTGCGCTAGTGCCGACAATGTCCTAGCTTCAACAAACGGAGAGGTGACTTTGATAGTGACAAGGAGTACGACGACTACCTAGAGAAGGTTGAGGATTACAGTAAGCCGACTCCCGCTGCCTAATCATAGTAGAATCTGACTGACGAGCTCTGCCCCCAGCTTTCAACCTATTGAACGACGTAGATGTCGCTCAGACCGAAAAGTATATTGAAGATTGGCAGCGCGATAACCGCAAAGATATCGACGAAAACAAACTCAAAACATCAGAGGAGTTCATGACCCAGTCCAAGCGAGAAGAGACAGATCGGAGAGTCCGTGAAGAACGTATGCGAAAGATGGAGGAGGCGGAAAGAATTGAAAAGATTGAAGTGGAGAGAATACGAGGGGAAATTACCGACGCATTGTCGCGGGGGGAAAAGAGGCGGGCGAGGGATATAGAGCTCAAGGCCAGGGACGCAAAGAGGCTTCGCGAAGAAGCTCTCTTTGAATACGTCCCGCCTTCTCTCCTGGCCAGCATGATTCGAACCGACACTCAACACTCACCCCTCTCTCCCTCATACAACGGCCCCTACGTTCCCATACCCTACTCTGACCCTGATCATGCTTCATGGGTCAACTGGTATGACCCCCAGCCAGAGTATGTGGATAGGAGGTCTAGGGTGATGTTCATGAAGGAGGATAAAGAGGGCAAAGTGCGAGGTGGGGGTTATGATCTGAATCTATTCTGGGAGATGGAGGTTCGTAGTGCCGTGGAGGCTGTGGGCGTCGAGCCACTCGTATGAGAATCTGTACATGTATGCAAGGTCAGGATGTACAGTTGGGCTGTACCAACCCAGGATAGCCGCAATGCATGACTGGAGAACAATACGCCACGCGTTGGTGCCTCAACAACACACACGACTTTCAATCCGCATCTCGCCACCAATTCACAGCTTGTGTATAATCTTTTTCTCCATCAGCATGCCATCGCCATAGACAGCATGAGCATGTTCTTCAAAGACAATAATCCTACCCCCAGACGCACCTTCACATCACCAAATAACAAGAAATTTGCCATCACGCCGGTCAAAGCCGTCGCACAGACATCGCTATCACACGCCAGCCCGCTATTTCGGATACCCAGCTTTGACCACCCAAGTGCCACTGCTGGAGCCGGTCCATCTCAGAGGCAAAGTGGATCGAACCTCCGAGACCATGGTGGGCGTATATCCCCCACAAAGAAGATAGCAAGGACGTTTGGGTCTGCCAGTACGCCGGTCTTGACAATAGCGAGTGGACGGGCTGAGATCGAACATCGGCGGTATGGGAGTAGTGATCTTGAAAGAGTGTTGGACCGTGGTAAGGCTTGTGTGTGGCGGCAAGATATACTACTGATGGTTGACTATAGTCTTTGCCAAACATGACAAAGCCTCCCAGGACTTGGGTGGGAGGGTGCCCGTATTCTCCAAACCAAAGGGAAGCCATCGTACGGAATTCAAGACTACACACGGGCATCACACGAAAGCCTGGAGTACAGGCTCTACTGCATCCGGGCTTTTTCCCAACTTTGCCATTGGGGCCAGTGGAAGAGGAGACGATCAATCTGATGTGTTTTCCGAGGTGAGCGATCCCGTTTCGCCTAGTTCTGTGGACTGATACTGTCCTTCGATAGATACTCACACCTAACACGCTTCGCTCTCCTACGACTGTGTTTACCGATCTTGGTACTCTGTCCGAATATGACCCCTCAACTGCCGGCTACATAGCACCTGATCCGTTACATGGTAGAATGTTTCAAGGAGTCAAACCCAGGGCCAAGTTGTCTTGGGTCCAGCAGTACGACAATATGCTGCCTGCGATGGGTACCAGATCTTTTGAAGAAGGTATCCACCCCGAGGGACTTGTTGAAGAGAATACCGAGGTGGTAGCTCGTATAGTCGACCTCTCGGCCCGGGTCCAATCGATGATCACCGAGGGCGAGGGTGCGCTCAGATCAGCGCCACCCATACTCCCTCCCACCTCTTCACATTCACCGGACGAAAATGTACTGGACCGGACCGTTGGGACTAGTGTAGAGGAGGCCGACGACACCGGCTGGGATCTCTGTGACGCTCTTGACCTGGCCATCTCCATTGGTATAGCAAAGCGAATAGAGCTTGATTTCGCCGCTGAAGCCGTGCTTGAGGCGGACCCACGCGATGGGGAGTGCATCGCAACCGCCAAGAGAAGAAAGGACAGTCAATGTCTTGGAGAGAGGATATCGCATAGGCAGACTGAGACTGAGATGGAGGGGCATGTAAATGCGGTGGGACTTGTGCGATCTCGTAGTCTTGGGCTGCTGAGGTATGGGGGGGTGGACGTCATGTGACTTTGTGAGACAGATAGATGAATCATGAACTCGGCGTCTGCGAGCTACGGAGCGACTAATAGCAGATGTGGCGATGCGGAATGGAATGCTGCGGCTGTGACATGACGCGGGCCACGCCGGTTAGGGAATTTCAGCTGCTGCATCTTGGCGCAAATCTATCATCCATCTCTCTTTCTTCTCTCTTTCTCCTCTCAACCCCCCGCCATGCTCCCTCTTGCCCTCGCCCTCGCCCTCCTCCCTGCCCTCCCTCTCGCCCTCCCCGCTTCCGCCCCCGATCCACTCCGCGTCCCCCTCACCTCGTTCCACTCTCGCCAGTACTCGGAAGATCTATCGGAACGCCAGTCTTGGCTGCTCGGTCAGGCCAAGTCTCTTCGGACAAAATATGAACCTCATCTCGGCGAACGGGGCCAGGAGCTGTTGAGGAGAGATAGGATAGAGGCCAGTGTCAAGCGGGATCAGCGTGAACTGGGACGACGGGCGACGGGCAGTGTTTCGTAAGTCTGCGCGCACAGTAGCCCAGTCATCTTGCTGCGGTGGGTGGCAACAGCAGGCATACGTTGCTGCCCAACTGCGTCTCCACGAGGCTCATGGGATTGCTCTTCGTGCGCCCATCTGTAGCATGGAGCATGGTCTTCTCATGCATGGGCCACAAAATTGAGACTGCGCTGACGCCGCCCAATTAGGTTGACAGACGTCGGTCTTGATGCTTCTTATGCCGGAACTGTATCCATTGGGTATGTCTCGGACCCTTTCTGCCGTACCAATGTCCTGGACTGACCTTGTTCAGCACACCGTCTCAAGATTTCTTCGTCATCATGGACACTGGATCCTCAGACCTGTACGTACCAATGCACTCAGGGTTCCCGCGCCGCCAAGCATTTCATTTGGCTGACCATCATTCATCGTTTGTTTTTATTTTTTTGAAATGATGCTGCATATACAGCTGGGTCGCCGGATCAACATGTACCGCCGACTTTTGTACCGAGACCACCACTTTCGACACTAGCAACTCGTCCACCTTTTCGACATCAAGCGAGGCCTTCGACATCACCTACGGGTCTGGCGACGCCAATGGCGACCTTGCAACGGACACTGTGTCCATGGGTGGCTTCTCGGTCAGTGATCAGACTTTCGGCGTTGTCACTTCAACCTCAGCCGATCTTATCAGCTATCCTCTCTCAGGTCTGATGGGCTTGGCCTTCAGGTCTATCGCCTCCTCCGGCGCCATGCCGTTCTGGCAGTCTCTTGCCTCCGGGGGCTCATGGGATACCGCCGAGTTCGGCGTGTACCTCAATAGGTACCGAGGAGACAACAGTGCTAGTCAGATCGAGAGTGATGGTGGCGAGATTCTCTTTGGGTGAGTTGTCAAGTGCAGGAGTGGCAGCACATAATCTGACCTTGCATAGCGGTACCGACTCTTCCATGTACAACGGCTCCTTCAACTACATCTCGATCGACGAGGCAGACGAAGACTACTGGAGGATTCCGCTAGAGGCGTTGACGGTGCAGGGCAGCGATGTTACCATTGTGAGTCATTATTAGTCGCATGCCCCTGTATACGTCTTCTGATGATATTGCAGACTTCTTCTACTAGCAGCGGCTCTTCGCCTCAGTGTGCCATTGACACTGGTACAACCCTGATTGGTGTGCCTTTTACTGTCGCGGAAGCCATCTATGCGGAGATTGATGGCGCGGAGGCTATGTCGGCTTCGTCTGGCTATTCTGGGTACTACCAATACCCTTGTTCTTCCACCGTATCGGTTTCCCTCCAGTACGGCGGGCTCTCTTACAGCATCTCCGATGCGGACATGAACCTGGGCTCTTTCACCAGTGACTTCTCCATGTGCACTGGCGCCTTCTTTGCCATGGACTTGTAAGTCACACCCACTTTACGTGGCTTGAGCTGACATCCATCACCAGGTCTGCACGATCCCCTGTCCAGTGGATCGTCGGTGTTTCCTTCATGAAGAACGTCTACACCACCTTCCGATACGACCCCACGGCCATCGGTTTCGCTGCGCTTACGGGCGGCAACTCCGTGTCTACCGGTAACTCTTCGGCCACTACGACCTCTGGTGGAAGCACACCGGGCTCTGGCTCTGGGTCAGGTACCAGCTCCAGCAGTGCTGCCACGAAGAACAGCGTCCAGTGGTGCTTTGCTGCTTTGGGGGTGCTCGGCGCGTACGTGATGCTCTAAGACAGCTGTCTATCTGGGTTCCGACATATATCTCGTAAAGTGTAAGATATTTCGGGGGGATATGACGGGAAGGCCCATGCGAAAAAGGGAAAATCAGAGGAGAAGATTTGTACGATCATACCGGACAACCTTTTTTTTTCGATATCCAAAATTGCCAGCCAAGCTCCCGAGCAGCTAAAACCTCCCTGCCTCTCCTTTTCTCCCTGTTTGTAAAAAAGTAGCTACTCAGCTTTCCTCTTCTTTCATCACTTGCTTGGTTGCGCGCTTGCTCCAATCCACGGATCATGTATCTACACCACATTTTAGCATCTTCGATGGCATTCGAGTAATTTTCCATTTTCTAGTCTCGACCATGTCGGCTCTGTCTCCGTATGCATCAATCATTTTGTCTGGACGAAGCCGCGGGCAGACACCCGAGGTACCCAAGGATACATGTCGATATAGAAAGTGTACACATGTATCAACTGAATTTCCATCTATTCCCACAATTCTGCAGATTTGGTCAGACACGTACCCCGTACCTACGGCCGGGCGACTCACTGTACATCTGCAAACACAAAGAGAGAATTACAGCAGTTAGTTAGTCTTTCCAGGTGAGCACTAAGAGAAACATACGTAACAAACGTCTGCATTATCTATCAGCCATGACCTTTTGTGTAAAGAAGACACTTACCGTCATCGGTTCATCCGCACTTCTTGTTTGCATCTGGTAGTAGGTACACTTTCTCTGCTGGCATCGCCCACATTTGAACGCATCTGTCTCTGCTTGTGTCTCACCAACAGCCTTGGCCTTGAACAAATTGTCGGTGGCAAGTTTTTGGTTGAGCATGCGGACGCTTTCGGAAGCCATTTCCTGGGACCGGTCAGCCAAGGAAATCAACAACTGAGGGGAGACTTACATCTTTGGTCATGCTGGCAACCGTTTCAGGAGTCACGTCCCCAAGCACGATCTCGTTTCTTAAGGCGGGATTGCCCTTGTCCTTGAGGTTGAGGTACAAGGATCGCATTTCTGGGATCACGTTAGTGGTGACTCGAGATGCCGCAAGGCAGCTCACTAGCTCGATAATCGTTCCCTGTAGAGTTGTTCATGGCCTTGTGAGCAGCACGTTCGATCCCTCTGGCTCGCTCCTGCAAGATTTTTGATTCTGCCGAGCTCGATCAGCTGACAGCCAAGAAGGGACCGACGGAAGCCACCAACCGGCATTGCTATCCAGAGCCAGGGCATCATAGATCAAAATCACACACTTGTCCCTCACATCATCTGCTCTGCCACCGTCATAGCTAGCGTCAGCTTTCAAAGACGCAGCGATTCCGTCAGATTTGGCGGTTCGGGGTGTGGTACGAGAGGAATCGATGGTAGAGAGTGGCTGACGCGCAGGTGGGGAAGTCTGCTTGATATCTGGTGTCGAAGTCGAGGCTGGTGTGCTTCTAGAATGAGAGGCAGCCGATGATCCCGCTGTCCACCCTTGTCAGCTCGAGCGTAGGTTGAGGATACTACGCACCCTCCGCCTTGACCCGCTTGGCACCTCCATCCTCCTTCTCCTTCTTTACGTCCTTCCCATCATCCCCCTCTGCCCTCTTTCGTTTCTTCTTTTCTTCCACAGCATCTCTCCACTTTTTCACAATCTCTTTGGCCAGGCTCGAGACGGCCGGGGTAGGGTGCTGGCGTAATTTACCCACAGCGACACCGGCTTTGGAAGACTGGATCCGGGCATGTCAGATGGCATCCTGGAGAGGCGGGATACGACTTGAGCTTACACGAAGAAGATCTTCTGTGGGAACTACCTGAGACTTGAGAGTGTTCAGGATGACGAGGACGTCCTGCAAAGAGGCAGATATGGTGAGCCAAGAAAGACGTGAGGGGAGAAACGACCTACATCTGGCTTGCCGGCGTGGTTGGCGGCGTTGAGGTCCCTGACCTTGTTGGTGACGGCGGCAGCGTCCATGAGGGGCGTGGGGCAGAGATGGCAGAGAGAATGATACCGAGTATGGCCCGTCAGCTGCTTATGTAATCGCGTCAACAGCAGGAGCAGGAGGGAATTTCAATCGTCGTCTTCATCTCGCCACGACCATCATCCCTCGCCATGTCCCTCCAGTCCCTGCGCGCCTCCTCTTCCCGGCTGCCCCGCAGCACCCGCTTGTTCTCTACCTCCTCAACACTTCTCCAAAAATCTCCCCTCGCAGCTTCAGGTGCGTTGTCCGACAAGGGTCACCATGCCTTACCCTTCAGATCCATGTGAAGAATGAAGGGCCTGACTCGTATTGCTCTTTAGCCGAAATTCCCACACCAGCTGCTCTCCTCGAGAAGATTGGGCGCAATGCCGATAAGAAGCTCACGCCGTTTGCCGAGACATGGGAGTCTTTGAATCAAGTTTGGGTCAGACCAAAGAAGATGGCCGAGTCGGGGTTGTCTACGAAAGAAAAGAGGTGAGTGGACCGTCATGGCCGACTAGCCAAAGCTGGCCCTCGATTAAAAGTATGCTGATGTATCTTTTCTAGATATATCGTATGCCAACCCGTAACATGACTGTGGCATATCACTGACATTACATTTGCAGCTGTGGGCGTTCTCTCGATACTCACAAGGGAGCAGTCCATCGGCATTTATCCGCCCGCCCAAGCCAGCCAAGAAGTTTAGAGGGTGAGTGTGTCTTTGGCTGAAGCGACCTGGCAGATCTATGAGCTGACTCGGTGGTGATGCAGATGGGGTCCCAAGATACAGCATGGTGTTCGAGTGGGTGGAGAAGAGTAGTATCATATACACAGGTCGTTCGGATGTATGCCCTTTTTGTTGCAAGTTTAGATGTCATCCAGATTCCAGAGATAGATACATGTGTCAACAAATCTCGACGTATTGCTGGTCAGATCAGATTGTTTACTACTTTACGCATGCCATGACTGGCATATCAAGTGCTTGCATCTCAAGCGACGGCCTTATTATAGCCTATGTCAGCCATCAGTTGGCGTACCCTATTAGGTAGCGGGACTTGCCTGAAGACCCTCTATATCTTTGCGTCCACCGCCTGTGTCGCTGCCGGTTCCGTGACCACTCCCAGCTGCCTAGTCACCTTCTCCCACTCTTCCAGCTCCTCCTTCTCCCTGGCCTCTCTCAATTGCTTGGACTCGGTCCAGCGCCAGGACACGAGTTCCTTCAGGGTGTGGCCGGGAGGGGGTGCTGTGCGGGGGTTTGTCTCGTTGAGGTAGTAGGCAAAGACACCTGTGAATGCGCCGAGGACGGGATCGAGGGTGCGGGAGAGGAGATATGTGCGTGGGGGCATGATGCATGGATGGAGAATGAGATGCGGGCGATGCAAGATGTGATGGGCGGGGTGGAGGCAGCTGGAGTCTGTTGCCGCTCTCTCTCTTGCATGTACATGTACCACCAACAGCGTACTATGCCTCCAAGGTGCGTCCCTCATGGCCCCCAGCTGTCCACTGACCCATCCCAGAACATCCCCCGGCGACGGCGGGCCCCTTGCCACTCCGCCCCCGTCCACCGACAAGGTAGAGATGACCGCCACCCTCAACAACCATACAGACAGCATCATACCCACCCCGGGTGGTGTCGTTCGTGTCAGGCCATTCCGGTCGTCCAGCAATGCCCAGCTCAAAGCCGTGCTCAGTTTCACACCCAGAGTATCCGCCTTGGATCGGCACAACACATCGTCACAGACCGACCAGTTTAGAGGCTTCTTTGTCCTCTTTTGGATAGGTAAGTGGTACGCTCAGGAGACACTGCTGAGACCTAGCAGGACTTGCTCTTCTCTTCCTGAGAACAACTATAGAGTCGTGGGAGACGAACCGTACACCTCTATCATGGACATTCGGCCGCCTCATCACGGGCGACGCACTCGTACTCGCCATTTCTGATGGTATCATGGTACTCTCGATGTTTTTGTGCGTCCCGTTTGTCAAAGCCTTGCAATACGGCTGGTTTGACTACAACTGGACTGGATCTATCATACAACACGTATTCCAATCCTTATATCTGGCGATTGCCGTGTGGTGGGGCTACCACAGGCAATGGTATTGGGTGCAGTCGGGATTCTTGGTATTGCGTGAGTACCGTGCACCGAGTAGCTTCTCATACTGACAGCTATTGACAGACGCCATGTCCTGCATGATGAAGGTACCTCGCTCTCGCTGATACAGATCTAGCTGACACAATGCAGATGCACTCCTACATGGCCCACAATGGAATGCTCGCCACAGTGTCCCGACGACTCCAAAAGGAGAAGAGGCGTCTAGAACAAGTCATCGCAGAGTTCCCTGGAGGAAAAGAAGCTCTACTGCGAGAGGCAGGGGCCCGCAAGGCGGATTTGGAAGCAGAGGAGGCAGAACACGAAGGCAGCCGAGAGGCCTCTATACCGTTGGGTACCCCGGCTGCAGAGATGACCCCTGTGGAAGTACCTCTGCCCTCTGCGGGCTACGAAGACCCCAGTGCCCTTCCAAAGAAAGCACAGGCTACTGTCTCGGAGCTCAAATCTACCGGCACCTCCACTGCCAAGGAATCCGCGTCCCGTTCGGAAGCCCGCAAACGACTGCACATTGACCCGCCCAAGCAAAGACCCTATGCCAAACACGCTCTACCCTCTCCCCGACCCGATCTTCCTCTGGGAACATCCCTTGAGCCCTCCCACACCACCTCCCCCCACAGTCTCAGCCCGCCAGGTGCTCTCGCTTGGTCGTCAAACGAGGAAGTTGCGCTCTTGGCGACAAACATTGACGCCATGCAAGAAGAGCTGAAGAGTAACGGAGATTTGGGAGTAGTGTGGCCTCAAAACGTGACTTATAAACACTTTTGGGAGTTTATGCTTTTCCCTACTCTGGTGTATCAGCTCGAGTACCCGAGAACCGAAACGTAAGTCTAGTCTGAGGCGGACAATTGCTCACGAACAGTATGCGGCCACTGGTGGTTCTTGAAAAGATCGTCGCGACGTTTGGCACCTTTTCTCTGATCTACACCATTACCGAACACTATATCATGCCCCATCTGCCAAAAGAGGGCGATTCGCTTTCTTTGATCAAGAGCTTTATCAGTCTTGCTCTGCCTATGATGATCAATTATCTGCTCATCTTCTAGTACGTGTTGTGGTTCGCAATCGAGTCTTGGCTGATGATAGCAGTATCATATTCGAGTGTGTTTGCACTGGATTTGCAGAGCTGTCATAGTGAGTACCGAGAATATTGACAGACACACCTGACACCTTGCAGCTTTGCCGACCGGGAATTCTACCAGGATTGGTGGAACTCTACATCTTGGGACCAATTCTCTCGCAAGTGGAACAAGCCTGTACACGTATGGCAATCCTTTTCCCTCTGGCCGAGCTCACCACCGTCATAGACCTTTCTCCTGCGCCACGTATACGCCTCTACCATGTCTTCCCTCCAGCTCTCCCGCACATCCGCTGCTTTCGTCACATTCCTTCTGTCCGCCCTCTGCCACGAACTCGTCATGGCGGTCGTGACCAAAAAGATCAGGCCCTATCTGTTCCTCATGCAGATGGCGCAGCTTCCTATGATTGCATTGGGCAGACTGCCGGTGGTGAAGCGAAACAAGACGATAGGCAATATCGTGTTTTGGATAGGCCTGATGATGGGATTCCCGTTACTGTGAGTGCCTGTGTCGTTGTGTGAGGTGTCGCTGATGAATGCTGGATCGACAGGGCCATCTGTTATCTCGTTTGGTAGATGTATGTGTGGATTGTGTCAAAGTACTTGCGCATGATGATTATTGTTGTTTACCCCGACATGGGTGATGGTGACGTGTTGGCACACAGCCCTGATAGTGGGTCGAGTATGTATACATCAACGAACAATGATACGAAAGATGGAGATAAGAACGAAGATTTCATAAGATGGAGATAAGAACGAAGATTTCATACGCCACCAGAATAAACCTAATATAACCATGTATACAAGAAAGGCATCAGAAGCAAGCATTGGAAAGAAGGGGTATATAGTCATCGAAACAAGAAAAGCCGGGTACTGGATACAACCGCCGCCGCCGAATGACCACCATCCTGTACCTAACCAGAGGCCATCAGAGGCTGGTACAGGGGCTTTGGTACTATCTCTACAGAAATATAAAGCTAGATGTCGATCCAAATATCACTCCTCATCTACAAGCGTAACCTACGTGACAAGATGTCATGGGCCTAGCGTCACAGCGTCTCCTCTGGCGAGGGCTGCGAGCTGTGCATGGACTCGTGGTAAGAGTCTTGCGACCCGGCGGGCGAACCAGCAATGTGGGGCATGGCCTTGGGCTCGTCATAGCTGCTTCCATGGTGCGTGACCTTGGGCTCGTAGTAGCTGCTCGCGTGGTGGGGGTGGTGTCGCTCCGACTCGTCCGTACCCCTCCTCCACATCTCGGGACTCTGGGAGCCTGCTTCGTACCCATGAGGGGCGTACTGTGGAGGGTTGGGTGCGGCGTAAGGGCCCCAGACGGGGACATAGATGGGCTGCGAGGGCTGGGGGTGACCGGGGGCAGGGTTGACCGGGACGTAGTGGTAGCCAGGAGGCAGATGGGATGTAGTCTGGGGCGAAGAAAACTGCTGACCGTACGGCTGCTGGTATGGAGCCACCGCACCACTGGAGCCGTCGTACGCAGGACCAGACGAGGGCCCATCAGACGAGTCGGGCGAGGGGAAGCCGGGAGGCAGCTTCTTGAGGTCGCCGTTGGTACCGATGGCGAGCTGCTTGCTCCTGGCAGTAGACTTGGCCTTGCCGCCCTTGGCCGACTTGTTGGTTGTGGCGGCATGGTTGGGCGGGTGGTAACCGCCGCCGGCGAACCAGGACTCACAGCCAGCGCGAATCCCCCATTTGCGAGCGGAAGCACTCTGGCAGCCATAAGGTCTATCAATGTGGTCAGCTTGGGCAGACACGTGCACCACGCTACGACTCACCTGGGCAGTTTTACAAAAGCCTTGCACATGGACGTCTGGTGTCGCACACCGTTGTAGATCTTGGTGGGGTTCTGTCGATAATCTGGGGCGTCTCACGTCAGCAACGAAAATCATGCGATGGAGAGCGACTCACATGGGTACCTCTTCTTGATCGAGTCTGAAATTTCAGACACATACAGCTGGTGGGGCGGGGCAGCGAGCAGGAGAGCCTCTCCGATGAGGGCGGCGTACGACATGGGTGGCCTGGGCGCCGGGAGCTCGCCGGGGCCGAGGATGGGCTCGTCCTGCTTGGAGGGCATGGTGGTGGCGGGCGGGACGGCGCCCCAGGTGGGGTACTGGGCTGGCTGCTGTCTGTGGGCCATGGGATGGACGGCGGAGGACATGGCCCAGGGGGAGGGCTGGGGGTACTGCTGGTTGTAGGCTGGTGCGCCGCAGGGGGAGGCGTGGTAGGGGTAGTCTGCCGGGTAGGAGGGGGTGGTGTATGGGGGTGTGTAGTGGGGATAGCCGTACGGGGGGTGGGAAGAGGGGGGATGGGTGGCGGCGGACGAGGTAGAAGTAGTGGAGTGGGACAGCGAGGGCGTGTTTGCCTCGTGGCGCGCGCTCTCGGGCGCACCATGGACATGCTGATCGTCCTCCACGGCGGGGTCTATCACCGACGTGCTCATCACGCGACGGGGCCAGGGGGGGCTGGGGGCGCTGGGCGAGAACGGGCGGGCAGCAGGGCGTGATGTTCGCGGGAGGAAGGTGGGTAGCAGCGTGCCGCCCTGCTCGCTGGGCCGTGTCAGCATCTCCAAGCAACGTACACCGCGCCACACGCCACGTCGCATAGGGCACAACAGGTACCCGGAGCACATGCAGATACATAAAAAGCTGACTCACTCTTGCAGCATTGACGCCGGCTCGCTCACTATCAGTCCACCAGTAATGCCGTACGCCTGGGGCGGGGAAGAGGGGTATGCCGTCTGCATCGGGCTGCTGCCAAAGTCCTGCTTGTACGTGATTGGGGTGTGATGCCTTTCTAACGATGCGTACTGGAAGGCGTGTTCTGGCGAGGCAAAGTTGACCGACTGAGACGAGGCGGGCGAGGACGAGAGCGCAGGGGCGTAGGGGGAGCGGGCAAGGACGCGTTCCGAAAGCAACGACGATGGAAGGGGAATGGGCGCGAGGTCGGCGGGGATATAAGTGCTGCTGGCTGGGACCGTCGGGGGACTGGCGAGCATGGAAGGCGGGCCAGGGATAGGAGGGCGGTGCAGGGGATGGACGAGGAGGCAGATGGCAGAAGGCCTAGAAGGAGGGTTGAAGGAGGCAGTACGCGGAAGGCGGTCCTTCGGCAGAGGGTCTGTGTACGAACGCTGTGTTTCGATGAGTGGAGGAGAGATGGGAGGCTGCCAGGGTCAGTATGTTATATACATGCAGCAGAGAGGGGGGGCTCACGTAAACGGGCGGTTGACGTGTGCGGTGATGAGCGGAGTGTATGCGGATGTGTGGCAGCTGTCGGGGGATCAGATCACGTCCGCTATTTATGCCTTCCGCTGCCTTGTCTCTGATCGCACCGTGTTGTCTGACGAGCAGCTGAAGGGGAGAGCGCAACAGTGCGCACAAGGCCGGACAGACCAGGCACAGTACATGAAACGCGCCTACCCACCCAGAACCAAACATCACTGATGATTGCCCTTTTTGCTCCCGAGCTCCGGCGCGAGCTTGCCCCACGTCCATCGCGGGCAAGCATTGTCCATGACTGGAAAGTATTGCAGTTATGCAGTATGCAGCGCGGGCGCCCCACTGCGACCTTCCGGGGACCGGAGACCGCACTCAAAGGTGGCATGGGCTCATGTCAACAGGCGCACAGGCATGGCATACCCACATGGGCAGCACGCAAGAGCAAAAGCGGACAGGATGACAACCTTCCGCTGGAACCAAGGCCTTGCTTGTCGAAGGTCAGGGTCCGGCTTTCAGGGGCGGAAATCTGAAACGCCCCTTGCTCCCCTTGCTGGGGGATGGCACAGGATCAACACAAGGTCAGCGGATCCTTGATCTTTCAGAATTCCTCGCAATTTACCTTATCGCCATATGCTTCTCACAGCATCCAGCTCGCGACTTGGGGATGCCGAAGCATGATCATGATGGCAGCGCTGCGGGAGAAGCCACCATCTATCTGTACACGGATCGACAGCGCACATCAAAACCTAGTTGGGATTCCTGTGGATCAGAACCATTTGTACCATTTTAGTGTCGGATACATAGGCTTTCGAGCCCCCACTCACCACGCTGTCATAGATGGCGGATGGCGGAGGGCGGCGCCCACGTGGGTGGAAGGGGCCAGCCAAGAATATTGGAAGTGTTTCCCGAACATACCGAAGAGCGATGATCCGAGAGCATCCTTTGCATTTGTCTGATGGCTCCTGATCGAACGAGACCGATCGACACTACTCCTGGAATCCGAGATACGTAAGCAGAGGAGACCGGAGGAGAACAACAATACGTACACTCCCACTGATAACAATGGCGCGCATTCGGTTTCACTGTATGCCGAAGCCTGGAAGCAGATTGCACGGGGAAGTTCGGGGAGTGAGCACAGGGGCCGGGTGGTGCAAGGGAGTCAGGGTCCAGAGTCAAGACTGCATGAGCGCAGAGAAAAGAACAATAGACCGTAGGTGAGCACCGGCCGCCGGGAATACGATGACGCGAGCGAGACGAGCTTGTGAAGGCTGCTGAAGGCTTTTCATCACAGGCGCCGGGTGCGCAGTCGCCAGCCCTTGACATGACATCCGACGGCCGACGGACAAACATAGATAGGACAGAGAGTACGTATAGCGGAGCGGGCCATGTCGAAAAGACAATAGCGAGGTTTCGGTCCCGGATGAAGAGGAAGCGAATCTCGTCCGAGGCCGGAGTCGGCCTTGTTCTTGATGAGCCTGTGATAGATGTACAATACTGTCCGAGCTGCTTTGAGATTTTGCCGAGACTCCGTTATTGTGGTTGCTGCTTTGAAATATGCACACAGAGGCTGGGGACCGTGTCGAGCCAGCGCAGAGTTACAGTGGGCGACTATCCGAGCGTCAGTATGGTTATATGGCATGTATGGCGGCAGTATCACCCGGGCCGACAGAATCAGTCAACTCACAGTCTTCTACACATCATCCACTCTGGTCCTCTTTGGTGACGGCGCCTCCTCCTCGTCATCATCATCCAGGGGGTCGCGCCATACCACGGCTTCATCCATCTCCCCATCTGCCCCATTCACCCCGTCCTGAGCCACCGATGGATCAGGGCTGCTGCCCACATAGATACTCTCTTCCCTGCCTTGCTGCCGTCTTGGGCTGGTGGTCTTCTCTGGTCGTTTGAGACCCCCGACCAGGAAGGGCTTGTTGAAAGCGTCTACAAGCGATGTGACCTTGGTGGCACCTAGACCCTTGACGTTGGACAATGCCTTTGCCGACTTGCGCGACATGTTGTCCAAAGACTGCACGCGTCAGCCAGACATCCTCGCTTTGCACAAATCAACTCACCCCAAACTCGGCAGCCAAATTATCCGCATCCGTCTTGTTGACCTTTTTCCCGCTCGTCAATACATGCTGGAGCTGGTCGTGGTACGTCTGCTGTACCCGTTCCTTCAACATGTCGGCAGACTTGTGCTCAAATTGCTTGAACGTGACCAGATACTGGGCGATTTCTTCGTTAGACCAAGCGACAAAGACCGTAAAGTCGTTAATGATGGCGATCTTGCTGAGCTCTCGAAGAGATTGTTGATGTTCGTTCTACAGCCGCGTCAGCTGCCATTGCAAACAGTAGCGCCAATCTTACCACATCGCAGAGCACGAGGATAATACGCAGATTGTACATGTTTTTCATCTTTTCGATCCGCTGATGGATATACTCGGGATGGAGCCGGTGGTATTTGAGACTACACTGCTCGTTAGAAGGCACCTGGGTAGGGGATATAGACTTGCCTGAGAAAGAGGACACCGTTGTGCGCACCAACTTGATAGTCTGCTGGAATATCGCCAATCTCGATACCCACGCTTCTTATAGCACCAAGCACAGGGTTGCGCCGCTGATATAGTGTCAGTCGTGCATGTGGAAATGTGTGCAAGACTTACTTGGACAGAATTGTAGACGATACTGCTTTTACTGGAAGCGGGTCTGTTGATAGGCCGAGAGGATCCCGCCTGGGGCTGAACTGGCGGCGCACTGGGGCCACACTGGGGCTGTGTATCGCTGCTCGAGTCTTCCGAGTCTATGACTTGCGGCTGACCACCAGAAGCGTTCCGGAAAGAGGCTGCACCCGGACCCGCGAGTGTTTCGGTGGATTTGAGGAAGGAGGTAGCGCTTTGGAAAGCGGGAGGGCCCATTGCAGAGTCGCCCGTGGGCTGCCCAGGATTGCTCATGGCGGGAGTGGGGAATGGGTGAAGAAGAGATGGAAATGCGTAGACTGGACTTGGAGATGCATGACGCGCATTGCCACAGGGTAATTCACCGAAGCTCCGTTAAACGTAAACAACAGCGAGACGCGCCTTTCTTTTCATTGTTTGTCTCCCCTCGATATCACAAGTTGCAGCATGGCAGCAGCAACATCCACAAAGAGCACAGCAAAGAAGGTGATCCAACAGATACAATGTCAGCCAATCAGCTGACATCTGGCAGACGGGCAAAGAGAACGCCGCTCCTCGTGGCAAGAGCCGGGCCCTTGATGAGATTGCGAGCGAGGACGACGAGATCGGTGAGTTCCATTTCCCAAGGGCAACAACACAAGCTAAAGCCAAGGCGTAGTACAAGAGAAGAAGTCTAGCAAGAGTAAAAACAAAAGACCCTTGCAAGAGGCCGACGACGAGGGAGACGTGAGAGAGCTCAAGAAGCAGCTAGCTACAGTAGGTGTCTCGAAACATAGTCTGACATTGGCTCACATCTTCAAGGTCTCTGCCGAACGCAATCGGCTGCGATCCCAAAAAGACACGTTTGCCAAACAGTTCGAAGAGCTTTCGAGGCTCAGATCGACCGACGCCGAGTCTCTTTTGGAAAAGTACAAGGAAAAGGTCAAGATACAAACAGAAGGTGTGTGCTATCCTTCTCGATATATACAAGCTGACAACCCCATCAGCCCAGAGCAAGGCCATTGATGACTCAACAAAGCTCAACGATTCTCTCATGTCTCGAGTGCAACACCTGGAAAAATCACTGGCAGCCGCCAAGAAGGCTGTCACCGAGAATATCGTCAATGCAGACCCGAAAGAAGTACGCGCTTTGAAGGATGAAATCAAGAGAGCAAAGTCGGATCTTGATTCCAAGAATGATGCTTGTGGGCGCCTGTCTTTCAAAGCTCCCGCATAGTGGCTGACATTGCTGTGATAGATCTTGCACTTCAGAAAGAGTACAAGACCGAGATTGAAAACTCGCGGTCCTTGCAAGCGTCTACCAAGAGCGTACCGGCTAGCAATGCAGTCTCTACTGCGGGTCCCCCGTCCGAGGATGCCGAGATGGACACTGCCAGTCTAAGACTCTACGAAGATCTCACCTTGCTAAACATCATGAGCGTCAAGATACAAAAGGGCAAATATGGAAACAAGGAAAAGACTTTTAACTGTGTCATGGCTGCGAACGGTATCAGTGAGTCAAGCGTGTACAGAACAGCATCCTTCTGACACTTGTGTCTCTCCAGGTCTCAGCTTCAAGCTCCGTTCCTATATCGAGATCGACAAGAAACGCCCTGCCGATTCGCCCTACGTCAGCACCGTACACTACTCCCCGTCCTCCCTCAAAAACGAACCCAAGGAGGTTGTGGAGAAACTTGGTGATTTCGGGACTGAATTTGTGATACCACGTGAAGAGCTTGGGGGCTTCTTTCTAGAGCTGAGAAAGAGGCTTGAGGCGAGTGACGATGACGAGTAGGGGGACAGGGTTATCTATGAGTGTGGTGTATACTAGTACTAATTATAATCAACTTGCATTTGTGTGTATGACGTGACGTCTATACAGGAAACATGCGTATACATAACGTGTCTCAATATGGCTTCGTGCAACGGAATGAGAAGCGAACGACTTGCTACCCCCAAGCGCTCGGGCCACAAAGGCAAAGTATTATTCTAGTGATATGAACAAATTATCTCGAGTGATATAAATAGTAATGGAGAAATGTCCTGATGAAGCTACCTCACATGTTACTACGCGTAATAGAATGATCACAAAAGTGACAGTATGATAAAATGTGCGATTATTGTCCGGAAACCTCGATAATCAATAATTGTCCCTCCAATTCGCTACTCAGGCCAATGCCAACTTGGATTTTCTCCTAAGCCATGCCGCCAAGTTTGACCTGCTCCCCTTCTTTTTCATCTCTCCTTCGTTGGGCACGGCAAGGGACTCGGTATTCACCAAGCCACCCGAGCTGCGGGGTGTGGTCTCGAGAGAGGCGATAACCGCAGCATTGTTTGAGCCCTGAGAATTGGTCTCGCCGAGCGCAAAGCTGGACGAGCAACTCGACGCGCTGGGGTCGAGATCAGGGGTGGGAGGAGATACAGGTGGCTCTGCCGCCGCTGCAACAGTCGAGAGCATCGACCTGCGCTTGGGCAGCGAAGGCGACAAAGGAGGAGATAGCATGGTGCTCCTTGGGCTGACGGGAACCGGGCCTAATGTGGAGAGGGGCAATGCTGCCACCGGCGGAGGTGGGGGCAGTGTAGCGAGCTGTTCAGAGGAAGAGTCGCCTGGGCTTGGTTGACGTGACACTACACGAGAGCCGGAGCGGCTAGAGGCGAGAGACGGACGGCGGGACTCGGCAATCATGCCCGTCATGGTCATGCAGCAGTCCCAGCTCGGAAGATAGACCCTGCCCTTCATCTTTGCACCATGTCCCGTCACTACTCGGGTGGGACATCTCACTCCGCCGGCAAGAAGGACTTCGGCGCCGCTGACGCTGACATCGTGCAACACACTGGAAGACATGTTGACCAGAGGAGCACGCCAGACAGACAAGGGCACCGCACAACCAAACAGCTCCCGGGCACAGCGGCCTTGAAAGTTGGGGAGAAGGGAGAGCACAAACGTTTCCAATATGAAAGGTAAGGCGGTTGGGGACCTGCTGGGGAGAACGTGTAGAAGGGTCACGGGAAGGACGCTGCGGTCGTCCCCACTGCCCTTACCAAGCAGTCGAGCAAGAAGAGGCAGGACACCAGTGGTGACGATTGATGCCTGGTGTATGAGATCTCGCAAAGCCCCTTTCGGCCCAGGACTGGGTATAAAGTTGACCACGGCATCAAAGAGATGAGGAGCGTCCTTGGCCTCGGACTCGGACCTGATCATACCGTTGAAAGCGGTGGAAAGACGGTTGCGCGAACTTCGGGCCGAAGACTCGCTGCGCAAAGACTGAGTAGACATGGTCTTTGGAAGATTCGGGATGGAAGTGGAGGAAGCAGGCCTGGTGAGGTTGCCTGACTCGTACGACGCCCTTCGGGACCCTGTGGATATGCCCAGCCCAGACATGACCCTCGTCCGCATTCCTGGCGATGTGTTGGACGAGTTGGAATTTGTGCTGTCAAAGGACGCATTACGGGAGCGAGTAGGCGCAGGGGAGCGAGCCCGGAATTGCTTGGCAAGAGAGGCTGCCTTATCAATGAGGATGGCAAAGGCTTGCGCTTCCGTATCGTCCTTTCCGACAGACGGCTGGAAGGTGTGAATCGTAGGATACATCTCCCGGCGGGTCGACTGCGACATGAGGGGCGAAGGGGATAGCAGGTCTTCGATGGCAGCCACAGGTTTGTAGGTCCCGATAAGCAAAGCGGTGTTGGCGAACGCTGGGTTCGACAGCAGGGGCTCAATCGATCCGACCGTGGGATCTGAGATGAATGTCAGCATTTGTGAATCGAAACGAAAACAAGAAACTCACCGCCAAGGACCAAGACTACTCTGCTCGCAGTAGACCACGAACCCAACTCCATCTCACTGGGATCAAGCACCCACGGTGCGGACGCAGAGTTGTGCGGCTCCTCCGGGATTCCTCCAAGACCACCCGCCGAAATCTCTCTGCCTTTCCCCTTCTCGGTCGATCTCCGTTTGTCCATAGTCAACATGCCCTCGTCCGAGTCTGAGCTCCCGGAACGGCGAGTATCCGGTCTCGGGGACGTGCGTTTCTCACCAGCCTTGTAGGCTGACGGGGGCGCTGAAGAAGTGTTGCTGCCAGATGGCGGTGCGCCATTGGTGCTCTCCATCACCGCAGTCAAGGACGCCTGAGGCGTGGAAGAGCTTCCAGGAGTCCAGGTCCCGCGGGCGGCGTCGTACTGAGACATGCGTCGGGCATTCTGAGCCTTTGCGTCGAGAAAGGAGTCGGCAATGGGAGAGTGGGAAGTGGACTGGGCCTCGGGTGCAGGGAGGTAAGCCGAGGTGGGCGAGGGGAGTTGGGAGGTGGTGGTCGAGCGCGGTGAGACGGTGGTGGACATGTCGGATTTGGGCTGCTGCGGGGGGGCGGAGATGTGTGAGGCGGATTTACTTCGTCTTTTCGCAAGCCAGCTGTCGAGGCTGCCGCCCATGGCGTGTGTTAGCCCTGGCGAGGAAGGGGGGTACAGAAGGGGGAAGAAACAAGGGTGCGAAAAGATGGACAATAGAGAAAAAGATACGAGTGACGCAACCTGCGCAAGGCTCTTCTTTGCTCTTCCTTGAGGATCCCAAAGTGAGGCTTGGCCGGGTACACGGTACAAGGCACTGCAGGGTGGGGGATGGGAGGCGGCGGGGGATAGATGTATGACGGTGGGAAAGAAGAAAGACGGCGAGAGGAAGGGACTACTCACCATGCACAGCTCGCTGCTCCTTTATGTTGGACTTGCGATGGGGACCCCTGAGAGGAACAGGTGGGTGGCGGGTGCGATGGGGATGGGCGAGGATGTTGATATCGCTGGATGCATGCATTTCATAATATCTAGGGAGCCGTACGCTAGCCTGCCGCTCTCGGGAGGGCAAAAAAAACACCATGACGTGAAACCCGCAGGACGGCAGGAACCAGAGCCACTCGTCTCTCCCGAAGCCGTAGATCAACCTTATCCTGTTCCCATGTTCCTCTCAGTCCGACATCCTCCTCCTTATCAGCTCTGATCGGCAGCCACCCACTGCAGCGTCTCTCAGCTGCAGCCCGCCCTCGGCCCCCAGTGGGCTGCGACCCGCACCAAACTCTCTTTCGTGCTGACGAGTGTTCACCGTGACTACTCTACAACAAGAAGGTCTGCAAGAGTTACGGGTGGTGACGGAGCTTGCGCCAGCCAGGATAGCAAGCGACGCAGATAGGTACAGATAAGAAGAGAAAAAGACTGCAAGGTGCAAGGTGTAAGACAGGAAAACAGCAGGTAATACAGCAGGAACCGCCGGTGTCCTTTTATGGAATTCACACTTTAAAGCTTGAGCCACTCTGACTCGCTTTGCGTCTCCTGTGGGATCTGCGTTGAGTGATCGACGAGGCGATTGAGGTGTGCTTGCCAGCGTTGCCAAGTACTCTGTTCCTTGACTCTCGTCTCTGCTACTGCTACAGTCTTGCCCTTGTGCAGACTTTCCTCGGCCTAGTTAAACGATTCATGGTCAAATGTTCATCATTCACACTTTCGTCCCTTGCCCTTCTTGAACCTTTCAAAGGCCTTTTTCGTCTCGTCTGCAAACGAATCGTCCACCAGGAACTTGGCCCCGACAGCTGCCAGTCCCTTGGCCACCTTCATGGCCAGCTTGTGGGCTTCGAGCTTGCCGGCCGACTCGGTGAAGCCTGCCGTGTGGTTGCCAGACCCAAGAGGACATGGTATCTCGAAACCGGGATGAATGGCGGGGACTTTGTAGCAGACGTTGCCTAGTATGTAGATGTCAGGTCGACTTTGAGCTGGAAACAGAAGGCAGACGTACCAAAATCTGTACTTGCTGTGGACATCCCACCCATGGTGATCTTTTGTCCGATAACATTTTCCATGAAAGCTTGGTATGAGTAGGCCATTGGCTCGTTATTCCTCAAGTCGGCGTATACCTCTGTCACACATTAGCGGGAGAACAGACAGTATTGTTGATCTCACCATCCTCTTCAGCTTTGACTTCCATTGTACAGCCAGTAGCCCTGTCGAGAAAAGCGATCAGCACACGTCAACGAGCCAAATCATGTACACTCACTCGGCAGCTGCTTTGAAGCACGCAACGACCTTGTCTCGAAGCTCCAGACAGCTCTTGACGTCCAACGCTCTCGTGCTGTATGACACCTTGGAATCTAAAGCGACAGTCAGACCGGTCGAGAGATACACGAGCACTTGGACTCACAACTAGGGATAATGTTCTGCGCCCACTGCTCCGACCCTAGGATGATGCCGTGGACTCGCATAGTGGGCTCGAGCTGCTGCCGCAACATCGACACTGCGGTATCTGGACAATTGCCGTCAGACTAGAGATGCAACATGATGGGCCAAAACTTACAGCCTTGCACGGCAGCATCAAGAGCATTGATACCCATCCAGGGAGCGGCCTGTTCCACAATCAGACGCCTTCACACTACAGCGAAACAGACTCACGCCGGCATGAGCGCCCCTGCCGAAAAACTCAATCTCAAACCCAGCCCTGGCCAAAGTGCCCGGCCCGCCGACTGTACATGATCCCTCATACTCGGGCGGCCCGGATCCACCTCCAGGATGAGCCATGGCACATGCGTCGAGGTCGTCGTAGATACCTTCCCTGAGGAGAATGACCTTTCCACCGCCACCCTCCTCCGCTACCGCAATCTTTAGCATTCTGGACATACGATACAGACAGCGTTTGCTCACCAGGCGTGCCGATAAGCTTGACAGTCCCTGCTATGTTGCAGGCTTTTAAGGCAGCTTTGAGCCCAACAGCCGCGGCAACGCCTACCACAGCGATTAGGTTATGTCCGCAGGCTATGGCAAGGGGTCAGCAGGTCATACCAATCAAGGACACATATGACTTGCCATGGCCAACGTTGGGTAGAGCATCGAATTCAGAGTTGAATCCGAAAACCCGGCCGTTCTCTCCGTGAGTGTAGGAGGCGACAAATGCGGTGGAGAGACTGGAGGGATTGGTCACATCAAAGTCTAGCTTGTTCAAGCTCGCTACCAAGTTCTCGTGGGCTTTACTGCAAATCACCCCGTTAGGCCAACGAGCGTTCATATATCTGAGAAAAGACTTACAACTCTTTGAATCCAAGCTCGGGATTTTCATGTATGGCCAGGTTGAGCTCTCGCATATCCGCATCGATCGCATCGATGGCTTGGAAGATGGCATCCTTGATCGTGTCCTTCACAATGGAGGCGGTCGGAGGCACAAGGTCTTTGAGGGAGCTGATGGTCTGGTTGACCAGGGCCTGAATGTCGACAGGCAGCTGGCCCGGGGTGGATGTTGGTGGTGAGATGACTCTCATGCTGGGCAGAGTGATAGTTGAGGGCAAGTAGTGCTGTCTGGAGACCGTCTTGGATGGATGATGGGTCAGACCGAGGCTGAGTATCCGGGTGGACATCTGGCTTTATCAGTCGACGGGACCAACGTACGGACATGACCGACGGCCTGATAGCAGACTCAAGTAGGCACTTCTGCTCGCGCTACATAGATCGTTCTTCGAGGCTTTGAGCCTCGGCAGCCGCTGGTAGAGCACAGGCATGTAAAGATAGAGGGTAGATGGAAGTTGTGATAAGACCCTGGCAGAGACAGCCAAGACCGAGGGAGACTGCTGGCCGGGCAGGCATGCTATACGCATGGAAGTTGGAGTCGGCGAGCTGTGGTGCGTAGTGGGAGGAGATAGACACGACACAGTCTGGAGACAGCTGGGGGGTAGCTCCAGAAGGGGATGGGATGCGCTGGACGAGGGCCGGAATGGGAAAAGCATTCGCGCCGAGCAAGGAACGAAACGCGTTCAGTTGGGGATCTCATGTCTACATGATAGTCCTACACCATCCCGAGCTTTTCCACGCCTGCTTTCTGTCTCCTCTGGTATCGCGTACGGCGCACTCTCCCCATCAGCACCCCGCAAGGCATCTCGACATCCGCCCTGTGGCTGCCCGGCTGTTAGACTTGCCATGGATTCCCACACAAATCCCCAGGTGCGTGCTCATTCCGCGCGCGAGGAGGGCGATTGGTGCATTTGCTGAACACTTTTGAAGGGTGCCCATAGCCAGTCTCCAAATGGAGAGCCTCGCCAGCCCTCTCCACTGAATCAAGACTACAGCGGCTTCGTTAGCTCTGTTTTTCCCATTCCCGGAAGCCGTCGAGCAGGTGTCCCCTCTTCCGTCTCGCAATCAGCAGAAATACCGCCTCAAGATATAGAGCGACATCAGCGCTCATCAAACGGGTCGATTCCCAGCGATCCATTTCATGATGCCAGACGAGGCACCTTCCCCACGGCCGGTGCTCTTCCCCCACACGGACGCAAAATCCATGTTTCTTATGACTTGGCCGCATCTCCCGAGCAGCCTGGCTCCTCTCATAGCCAAATACACCCTATCTCCAACTCCCCTCAGATGCCCATGTCTGACAATGACTCGATATCTGCCTTCCTGGCAGAGATGCCGACAATGGCCGAAGACCCTGCGCGGCACGTACTTTGGACGGAACTTGTGCGCCTGAAGACGAAGTCACTAGAGCTTCAGATCGCCGAGGCGAAAAGAAAAGAAAAGGAGGCGGAGCTGGAGCTTGCGAGATTACAGAGTGGTGCCGTCTCTAGAAATGACGGCGGAAGCAATGCCATGGCAGGGCCAAGCGGATCCAACGATCTTTCGGCTGCTGATATTGCGGGGAGTCAAGACACATCCAGCTACGGTATATCGCAACAAATTATGCCCCCTCAGCATCAGCTCGAACACCATCAAAACCAACAGCCATATAACGTGGCCCAGCATCAGTTGTACGGTGCGCCCCAATCAGGTCAGGCGCCATGTGCCATGTCTCCTTTCGACCTGGATGCGCTGCTTCAGACTGATACCAACAACTTCCTGTCGTGGCTACCTGATTTCGGAGGGCACGACATCTCCCAGTCAGATCAGGCTGCACCATACGGCGCCATGCTGTCAACGTCGCATGACCTTCCGTCTACTAGCGAGCATAAGCTTGTCGCTCAACCTTCCCCCGCTCCTCCAAGTCCCCCAGATATCCATTCCCCACCCACAAAAAGATCAAAACGGACAACGGAGAAGAAGACTGTAGTTGAGCAAGCGTGTATCTGCACCTCTTGCTCCGAACCTCTTGCGCGTGTATTGATTCGGGCCCCGAAGTCACAGATTCCGAATCCAATCAACGTCTCAATCAAGTGCCTTAAGTGTGCCCCTGTCCAGCAACCGTCGACCTTGCCCGATCCCAATCAAACGGCCAGTGGCTCGGCAATAGGGACAGTGGAAACCAGAAAGAGGATGAGGACGTCTATGGAAATAGATGACGAAGATGCCAAGGTCGTTGAAAGAAGAGCTTGGTGTGATGTGTGCCAAAAGGTTGTTGGCTCTGGACAATTGATAGGTGGAAGGCAGAAGGAGAACATATCACACATGGCGGAGATAGTGTGTGTGAGCTGCGATAGCAAATATCAGAGGTGTACGGATGTAAGTTTTGTGGCTCAAAATGCAATCTTGTACTAACCAATCAGTGTGGCGGTGGTGGTGGTCCCCGAGTCGGTATCGGAAAATGGCGTATGAAACAGGTCTTCCATCCGGGACGCAAGACGTGCAGCCTTTCTCACACGAGGTTCGTCTCTTCATCGTGATCCATATGGCAGTATCTGAAAGAGCTCATCGTTCTAGGTTGGGCGATCGTACCCGTGAGCTCGGTGTCCACGTCACCCCTACAGACTTTACTCCCGAACAAATGAAGGAGGTACTATCCCGCTGTAAGGCCTTGTGGAATGAAAAGACCCTTTCGCGATTAGCCATTCCGGAAATGCTAGAGTTCGTCGTTTCCATTGATGCCCGTTGCTTAGCTCATGGACTTGCAGGGTAGACTTGCCGGCAGACTTTGCCAATCCCCTCCGTGACTTTGCCGATGTCGACGATATTGTCACTCGCAATTGGCCCTCGAGGGAAGCAATGATCCATGGAGAAGGTATAGATCAGACCCGCTTCAAACGACTTCTATCTCTGATAGTATGTAGACCATCAAATTTCTACACCATATACTGACTTGCTGTACAGTGGGCCCACTCTAAACCTCGACGTACTGTCAGAACGGTCGATCTGGAAGAAGAATGGACAAAGCAGGCCGACGAGAATGACCACCAAGACATGAGCACTGTACTGGCAAATGTCCGACGAAGTGAGTTTCATCCGGAAACGAAGTGTGGAGCTGATACTTTGGCCAGCAAACGTAGTCATTCCTGCGGGTTCCGAGCTCATCGGTATGTGGGGTGGAGAATGGGATATGCAGAGTGAGTCCGCAGAGCGTCCAGTGTGTCAGAGTTGACTCTTACAGACGGCTCCCTCCTTATCTCTACCTTCATTCCGTTCGAGGGAACTGACGGAGATGACAGCACTGCCCTTTCAGTGGGGGAGATGATTACCAAAGTTCAAGGTTTGCTGCAGGAGATCAATACGGCAAGGACGGTTCAAGCGGCTTTGGAAGGCAGACAACCTGTCCTTCTGCCGCCTTGCCAGCACTTGTGGACGGTGTCTGGGGTAAGTCCTTGATCTCTCAATACTGTGCAGACCGCTGACCCGTCAACAGGGCTACATTCCCCTGGTACGGGAACGATTCGCAGATGTCCTGGTAAAAAAAAGAGCGTTTGTTCATCTTGAAGAGTATCTCACGAGACACCCGGAGTTTATCGAATGCGTCAAAGCTAGACCTGGTAAGCCGAGGATTCTACACGGGAGCTGTATACTGAGTTCTGCCAGTCGGTTTGCATCCTGATATACATCGTCCCATTCCCGTGTCAGACTCGAATGATGCGGATGCGTCGACCCCACGGCCTCTCATTCTTGTAAGATGGCTCGGTAACGACTTTGATGCGCAAAAATTCCTAGAGATCAAGCAGATGGAGTTTGGCGGTGCCAAGGGGAAGACTAAAAAGCGGCCGAGGGGTAAGGCGTGATGGTGTGCATGCTATCCGTACAATTGAGGGGGCGGCATCTAGTCATGGCTTCGCGTTATAACGCTATATGAACTGACGCGAATATCGGCTATCCACATTTAATTGACAACTTCAGCCCGCATAAGATACTCCTCGCCGAATATTAACGACTTGTACCATTTCATGTGGACTTTGCGGACCAGCCTGTGTGCGTCGGCGACAGAGGCCAGGGTGAAACAGCAAGTGGTGTTGAGAGAATATATTGACCTTTGGATGTATATCAGCGGCGGCCATTTTGGCGTGGTACACGCAATTGAACGTACGGTGGCAGTGTCATTATCGCATCCTTTGCCTCCCTCAAGGAGCATCCACTTGCCAACCGAGCTAGGTCTGGTACAGTGACTCCGCCTGGCAGTCCTCTCACGACAACTCTGCGCCCCCTAAATTCTGGTTGTAATGCCCAATCAACTGTTAATTTCCAGCTTTCCGTCGATCTCCAGTCCACGCCTCTTGTCCCTTTCAGCTCGTTCCTCGTAGCCATCTCGATGGTAGCCTCTGTCCATTCCTCTTTGGTGCTCCATGAGAGTTGGGCGGCCTCCAGCATGTGAAGTTTTGGGTTCAGGTTCAAGTTACGATTGGGACTTTTCCCAGTGGGGTAGGGGAGAGTCGAGGAGGATGTCGCAAACAAAGGGTGGGCATTCACGTGAGCATGGATGGCCAACGTTTGTCTCGGACCCTCAATCTCGATGTGCCATTTTCTGGTGAGAGACGGCATACGGGGGAGAGAGGGAGGTAAAGCGGTGACTATAAAGGTCAGACAAGGATAAAGTACAAGTGGTTCGAGACATAACTTACTCGAGGATAGAGGAAACGACTTCCCGACAGCCTTCGCATCTTGGAGGGCACGCAAAACATCTTGGGGGAGGGCCAATTTCGGGACATTATTCAATATCAGGAACTTTGGTTGCTTGTTAGGCGACAGTTGTTCTGGGAACCATGAGCAGAGTACGAATAGGATTACAAAAGACTGACGGGCTCGAAAGCGAGAGACGAGTTTGGGGCGGTGGCTAGGGGCATTTTGAGAGATCTTGGCCAAATGAGACGATGCGTCCTCAGCGACGCCTCTGAGCATGACTGATGGTCGCATGTTGAGATATTGACCTGGTACGTGGTTAGATGTTCACCATCAAACATCGCCAGCCGCCACCACCAAAAAGTCCAAGACATCAGTGATTACGTAATGCCGAAGAGGAGAGCCGCCGGCGGCCGCGCGGCGGTATCGGCAGAGGAGTGCTGGAGGGGTGTCCTTCGTTATCCACAATAAACGAGTGCATGCGATCTATGTGCCACAAAGGCAAAGGCGGCAGCTACTACAG